ATTATATTATAATTAAAGTTATAAAATTTTAAATATTATTATTAGCTTTAAAATAATATTTATAATTATTAAGAAATTTAAATCTAAAGTTGGGTAGTAATCTTAAAGGTGTTTAAAATCCTTATATATATTGGTGGGGTTGTGTGTGGACCGGTGTGCTGACTTACTAATTCTCTTTAGTAATACTGGGGATGTGGCTGAAGCAAGACTTTAGTGATGCTTGAAGTACTCCAGATATCTGAGACAAGTTTCGCTCCTCAGTAAGCATTGTTCGTATCTAGTGGAAAAGGAAACTAATTTAGGTCACACAACTCGGAAGTTTGTCAGGACCGTGGGCTGATAGCCGGCAGGACCAAGCCACTGTCTGTGACAAGCGAACCTTGGAAGTCAGCCCCCTCACCTGGTTTTATCAGTGAGCATTATTTCGCGGAGGTTATTGTGGACCTTCGCTACGGGATATAGCTCTTCATTGTCTGCCTCGGCCATGGCCACGTCTTGCTCATCGTCTGCCCCGGCTACAGCCGCTTGCCAGTGGTCGACGTTGGGGTATCACGGCTCCCTGCCGACCTCATGATTAATATGATCAGCCTCCTCGACGCCCTTGTCTGCTATTGAGTCGCAAATCATCCACATTCCCTGACCGCCTCAAAGGGTAGCATACCGTCTCCCATCAGGTACCAAACATCATCCCAGGTCAGAATGAAACGTTCCCATCCATCGCCTTTCACGTGGCCCTTGCCTCATCACCTGGGCAGCGCCAACATCGATCGGCTCGTCGGAATCCACAGTGGGATGAAGGATGGCGCCAAATCTAATTAGACAGGTAGTAGTATCCTCGTCATCGTCTGTACCCCAGCCAATGATCAGGGCACACCTGGGCACTAGGTTCCGGCGAAGCCAAAAGTTGCATACTATGAGTTGGGCGAACAAACTCTTCCTTTGTCATTCCTCGTAATCGCGACGTCGTTCTCCACGTGGTTGGAGTTGCTGGTATCGTCAGCTGGTGGGTTGTTCAGCTTGACGACCAGCGCAGAGACGCCTTCGGATGGCCCTTCGCAGGTTCCAGGCTGTGTTCCCGAGAATGGGGAGGTCAGAGTATGTGCAGCCTGCTCCACCCTGAAGAGGAATTTGTTGAGGGTATATTTGTAATTGCCTTTGCAAGTCAAGGGCGACTTGCTTTCGTGGCCTTATTTACACTGGAGTCGTGAGAAAATCGGTTACTAACTGCATCGCCCTCGTGGGCGCTACGAAACCCTTCGAGAAGATGACGCTGGTCTGTTTGCTTCATGAGGTCAGAGTCGTGCGGAAGGGTGGAAGTATTGTTGTGGAACGCCAATCACTGCGGCCATAAACCGGTAAATCTTGTCAGACTAGAAGTTCCCTTGCATGCTTCCGACAGTCCAATTCTTTGACGCTATCGACATCGTCGAGGTCAAAATATCCGACCCCGAACTCGGCCAGTGCTCCTCTGTTCCGGAAGAGCCTGCCGAAGGAGTCGGAGTGGTCGACCCGTATCTTCTTCGGGTAGTCGACTTTTCTGAAGCCGACTGATTACCCATCTCTCACTGAAAGCTAGCAGGAACTTCAACTTCAGCCCCTGCTTGCAGTAAAGCAAGTACTCTGCACATGTGGCCTGCGGCAGCGGCCGTCTGGAGGCGTGCCCTCCTCGACGGGCTCACCATACTTGTTGAAGAAGTCGTCTTCGGGACCCAATCGAGAGGAGAGCAGGTCTCTCCCAGTCTGGCTTAGGGAGACCGCCCCCAGTCTGGCTTAGGGAGACCGCCCCCAGTCTGGCTTAGGGAGACCGCCCCCAGTATGGCTTAGGGAGACCGCCCTCAGTCTGGCTTAGGGAGACCGCCCCCAGTATGGCTTAGGGAGACCGCCCACAGTATGGCTTAGGGAGACCGCCCCCTTCGCTGGGTTTGTCATTGCCGGCTGGCATCTTTCACCTAGCCTTTTCATCCGCCGGAAATCATCTACTTTGAAGTTGTCGCGCAGTTTGCCACACAACTTGATGACTGGGATGTTCTCGTATGGGAACTCGTCCCAGATGACACCCGTCCGGAAACTTCACCGCCAATTCCGAGATTATGCTGTGATTTCAGCAACACCCGATCCGTCCTTCACCTTTCCTCGTCAAGCCGAGATTGGTGGATCTGAGCTGACAGCCTCATGCTCTTGGCCTCGATCACATATGGTAGGGTCCACCGAGCTTATTAGGAATGTATTTCGAGATTGGATTCGCCATCTTCAAGTCTGCCTTTCTTTCCAATCGAGTAGGGTACAGGCAGCAACCTCACGAGCGGCTTGGCGCCGGGGGCCATGGTGTTCAGCCGCTCGATAATTTGGTCGACCAGGTAGCCGATCACGACATTGGCACCCTTCGAGCCGAACTCGGCGGGCAGCGTGTTCTCGGATTCGGCAAGCGAGTCGGCCAGACCAAGCAAACAACACGAACGAAAAGAAGCTCCCGAGCTTCTTGAATAAGCCTTGCTTGACGATATTCGACGGACTCTCACAGGAACGAGTGATCAATTCACACACGTCGTCCAGCTTCTCCTGCTGAAGCTTAAATGAGTTCTCGTCAAATCTCCCCACGATGACTCCATTGGCTTCTTGTCGAAGATGTCTCTCTCAGTGCGCAAGCCGTACACTCAACAGAGGCTTGCGGGGTCCTCAACCTCGGTCTAAGTCGACAAAAGCCGTGGGTTGATGGAGTCAGCAGCCATGACCTCGGAATGATCGGAGTCATCAGCTCTGGCGCGAGAACTCTCTCGGTGGAACTTTGTCATTTTTTGCAACCTCCTCTGAGACTGAGCCGGGATACAGACTGGTAGGCATTCCGGTAGGCTGGTCGGTGGGCTGGTCGGTGGGCTGGTCGATGGGCTCAAACCAAGCCACATAAATCAAAGGGATGCACCCTCTCTCCGTATTCATGCGGGACTTGCGAAAGAATCTGGAAGCCGTACTGCAACAACTTTTCGAAAAGAGGACCATCTTGTAGAACAGCCTCCTTTGAGCCTGGAGTTGGCTTTGTCGAACCCCCCGTCGTAGTCCTTCTTGTCCATGAGATCCTTGAGGGCGGCGGTCCTCGCGACACGCCAAAACTCTCCCTCTCGGAGGTAGTCTCATTGTGATCCTCGTTTGCGCGTTCAGGATCATGCACCGACCCATAACATGGGCAGCAGGCTCAGCCATCGTGGATGGCTTAGAATGAAAGTCAGCGTGGAGCGCTCACCTGTCGTGTGTAGAGTTGGTTGGGTTTTGGGTGCTGGGAGTATGAACGGACACACTTGCCACGGTGGGACCGCGGAGGCCAATCTCCTTTGCATGTCTATACTCTTTCTACACAGGTTTGAGGCCGCGGTCGGCTCCACCCGGCACCAGTCCATGTAAAACCTGGTTTCACAGTTCCGTGCCCACCTGGTTGGGATGGTGGATTGCAAGCGACCTCATTCCGATTGTCCCACTCGGATGTGGGAGGGCGACTTGACGGCACCGCTGATGCGTCCCTTCTTCTGGTGAAGGCGGGTGAGTAATGCTGTAATCCAGATACCGCGGGGCAGTTGACCATAAGAAGAAGGCTCCGTTCTCTCAGTGGTAAAGATCGACTATCCATCTCAGTCCGGATCATACGAATGGTCTACTCCGATCAACTACTTTTTACCCGCATACCTAGGTAAGCTGGTGGCTTGCGTGTCGAGATCCTGCTCTGAGATTGTCTTTGTAATTTTGCCTTACTGCCTTTAGTCCTCCATCTTGGCGTCAACTTAGGACAGCGAAGATCCGTAGCGGACGGCTGATGACTGGTTGCTTGACTGCTGGCTTGAGCTCCTCGACGTGGGCGCCGTACCGCGTTAGGGGCCCTACTGGTGTTTGTGCGATCAATTGGCAATAGCAGACCCCTGAGAAGAACCATGGACCTTTGGTATTGTTTGCCAACCTCAAGAAGGGAATAGATGAGAAGTGCTCCTTTTGCAGTCCCGAGGTAGTCTTCCAATTACCTGACAATAGTCGGAGACAGCGATTGACGGGGCCGTTAAAATTTTGTACTCATAGGCTTCTTAGTAGCTCGAAAATGAAGCAAAATAGAGTAGATCTGGTCGTGCTCGTCGATGTCTTCTTGCCACTCGGGATCCTTGGGTCCTTTGACCCGATTCTGTCGGGTCTCTTCTTTTCACTGCCTCCTTGATTCGGAGCACTTGAAGGCACCCTGTTTACGACTTGGTACTGGTGACTTCTCTCTAGGGTTTCTTAGTTGACGGAGTTGGATTGGATGTTGAGTGTTTGTAGGTGCTCATCAAGTCTAGGTTCTCTTGCAGCACACACGTCTTTCTTGCAGCACACACGTCTTCATGACATCGATCAGGGGCTCCCATGACTTGGAAATCTCGTAACTTTCTTTGGGACTCATATTTGCCGAAGATTCGTTCGATCAGGGGCATATTTCTAATCTTTGAAATACTCCTGGCGGTGAGAAGCGGCTTTTTTGCACTGCAGAATTACACCGCCGCGATCGTCGCCAGACTCGGTCTTAGCAGATTCCTTCTTCGCGGCCTGTTTCGGGGTAGGCTTGGCCTTCTTGGTAGGCGTCTCGTCGATGTCATCTTCGTCGCCAGTCTTTGGGGTGGACTGCTTGCGCTTTCCAGACGGAAACGGCTTCCTCCCGCCCATCGACGTGGCACTCCAATTTCCTCAATAGAGTGAGCACACCATATGGAGAAGCCTTAAACAGTCTGGCTGCTGTTTGCGAGAAAGGTACCCTCCCTCATGCTGTCAAATCTTCAGCACAGGGGCTACCGCGGTCGTTGAGCCGGAACCAGAGCCAGAGCACTTGAGCCTCCGGTGCGAGAGGGCAGACGGCATGAAGGACGCTGTGAGATAATGAGTCAGCTATCTGATTTTATGATGTTCGGAAGCCTCGAAATCCTCATGTGATTGAACGGAAGAGATCCATAAATGGCCGTATGCAAAGAGTATTAATATCAGGAGGTTGTCAACTACTCACCGAAGGTGCGCACTTGACGCCCGCTACCCCGACCAGCACTTCCGAACCGACTACGGCCGCAGCGTGTCCTCACACACATAGCCATCTGGCTCTGATATGCCATGAACGGGGGCATGTTAAATTTCGTGACCGCGTAGTCACGTTCGGAATGGGCTTGCACCAGGGCCAGCGTCATCTGCGGCATTGCCCAGTTGATCCGCCACTCGATAGACCTGGAAGCCCTAGACTGGTCGCATGCGAACATCCAGCTCACCCTCTCCTTGTGCTGGGCGAGGAACCCAGCGTTCGGGCTTACGACCACCTCTCGCCGGCACTGGTTCGACCAGCCCGCCATGTCTCGGATGTAGTCGGTCATCATTTTCACCCAGGCCTCGATCTGCCTCATCATGAGGCGGTCGCACCGGGCGACGCTGTCCAGGAGGTCCGACAGCGTCCAGGAGGCTGATCCGATGTTCAAGTTGTTGTGGGACCCTCTGGTCCCGAAGGAGAACAACATATAGTCTCTCGAAGTTGACTTAGTCCATGTCGTTGAGATAGTCAGCCTCGGCCGTCTGTCAGCTGGCGTATCCTCGGTGGAGTGAGCCACGTCCCGGCTCATTCAAAAGGCCGAGTCTTGCTTGGCATGGGTTTCCTTCGACCCCCACACCACGGTGTTTGTTTGTTCCTGAATTCGCCGCCGTTGCGGTTATTTGAAATGCTCACTTTTCAAGTAAGCAACACCAAGTTGCTTGTGCTGCAAGGCTGAGCGAACGGCCCGCTCGACTACGAGAGAGTCTGTTAGTATGTTTGGCCAGTGCAGAGATCATTCTGTGTTGCAACTCACAAAGTGGCTTCAAAATTACTCAAGTATGCACCGCCAAGTACTCAGCTGCCAGGGATTGTGTCGCGCGCGGCGGGCTTGGGTGCTCACAATCGGCGCTCAGCTCCACGAGGCCGTCGTTCTTGTTTCCAGCGGCGGCCGCGACGAGCCACACATCGCACAGCGTGAATGTGCCTCTCCGGACACTCGTGCTGCTCGCTCGACATACCGGCACAACTCAACCAGTATCGATCTTTGGTAGCGCTCCCGGTGGATTCCTTGTACCGGAATTCGGTGGTTGCGCCTGCGAGATCCAAGGCTCCCTCTAACAGCGACATGGCGGGTGCCGGTGTACATGGTGTCGTCGACGATGACGACCTCTCCGTCCTGTGGTGCATTGCTGGGCACAGGATCTGAGACGCACCGTCCCATTACCAACGGCCCCTCACCTCACAGATTCCGAGTTTGTACCACGGCCAGGTTCAATGTTGCCGTCAATATCGAGCCCCATTGTAGTGTTTCTGATGGCAAACCCTCCCCGTCTGCTTTGGGGCTCCCCTGAGCCAGGAGTATCTGCAGGAGATTAATGCCGGTGAAAGTGGTGTCTCAACCAACCCCCAGTCCCCACCACCGTTGCTGCGATGTAGCCCCCCCCCCGGGTCTTGGGCCTCGGCAACCCATCAATGATCTGGACCAGGAAGCATTTCCTTCCTATCGGGACATCCAGTCACCGAAATCGCTGCTGGAACTGCCGCTGAGAAATCCGGAGCAGCTCGTGGGGTGGTGGTCTCAGCGCCATGACGCCGTCAGGACCTTCCATATTCTCGAGGGAATTGAAGGCGATCCTCTGGCCGCCTTTTCTTGCGGCAAATTTCCAAAGGGATGCCGGCTCGGTCCCCATGGGTCGAGTTCGCTCCCCGCCAGCTTCATGGTCCGCTGGAGCTCGGTGAATGCACCAGAGTATAGGGGACCCGGTTTGGTGCTGGCTTAGAAGAGACCGGGCCGGACGCGAAGTGAGAGAACACGAGTGTCCCCCTTTCCTTCCGCTACCAATCTTGGAATGAGTACTTAAGTACGCTTGGTGGCCCCTGTGGGCTTCTTGCTGGGGCCATCGCCGCCAGTGGGCTGGGGCTTCTTGGTTTGGCTCAGCTCCGCAACGTCGGAAAAGGTACTCCCAGCGGGAGTGGATTCTTCCAAAATCCATTTCCTCGTGCACGGCACGGGATTGGCCTTCTGCTCGACAAGTTTGTGGTTCTCGTCGTCGAGGGAATCGTGCTGTTCCACGGACTGGAGGCCACAAGAAGCGGTCAAGTCTGTTTGCTGAAGGAATTCGCGCTGCCTTGGAGCCCCGATTAGACGATTCCGATGGTACGGTCAACTTTGTATAGACTCTTCGTCTGCGTTGGCAAATTGTCCCTCGGAATCAAAGGTGAGGCCGCCGCCGAATTTGGTCACGCCCTCGGGAAGGTACGCTCCTCGGACTGCCCGGAAGACATCCTTGATCTGCTCCAGCATACGCATCAGATGCGATTACTCGAGCAGGTCCCCAATGGCGTCTTGATGGCGACGACGTCCGGATCTAGGTGAACAGGAGACAAGGTATTGGGGTCTGACCCCACAGACTGTTCCGAGGTGTCGCGGTGACCCATATTTCTTGCACCCACGATGCATCAACAAGTCAAAGATTGTGTCGTCGAGCCAGGAGTTCGTGTGTGGACCGGTGTTCCGCTTCTTGTTCATGATGCTGGACCTGGCCGGGAAAGATGGCGCTGCCACTGCCACTCCCTCTGGAGAGGCGCCAACGCCCGGGCGGCTCAAGGGGACCATTCCGGCTCCACGTTCCATCACCATGTCGTGCCAATCTCCCGTGGCGCAGGAAATCTGAAGCCATTCCGTCGATGTCGAGCTTATCCGCCCCCAGTATTGGTGCGCTCTCTAGAGCACCACTTCGGCTCTTCCCCTCTGGGTGTGATAGAGGAAGTTGGGCCATCTCGTTGTTGAGGGTTAGGTGATCTATTTATGATGTATGTCAGATGTGCTGAGTCTCCTCGACATGACACGAGAAAGGAAGAGTATTACTTACTACACCCAAGTGTATTGTCCGGCTTCTTTCATGAAAGACGCGGCCCTATGAATTCAGGCGGTGTCCTCGTCGCCTTGTTGTGGATTGCCCTGAGGTCAAGCTCTAGCTCAAGGTTCCTCTGGCCCCTGTGAGGAGATCGCTTGGTGGTGGTCTTCAAGTCGTCCTCGGTGTTGTTGTACGCGCCGAGGTGCCCAGAGAAGAGGATCATGTAGGCCCTCTCGAAGCTCACCATGTCAAAAGGAGGTGTTTGGGAAAATCTCCGAAGCCCGCATGATCCTTCCGTTCTTGTCAAAGTAGTCAAGATCCTCGTCCGCCTCGAAATTCACGCCGGAGGTGTCCTCCTCATTGTAATTCACAGTCTTGCGGACACGATTGCGCTTGACTTCAGGCGCCGCAAGAGCGTCGACCGCCTGACGCTTGCCTCCCTTCTTTCCAGTGCCCTTGTTGTCGCCGTTACGAGCTTCGTCATCGGCGGTCGTTTCCGGGGTTCAGTGTTTATGAGACTCACTAGTCCAAGAAGTCCTGTGGCCAGAGACCATGGTGGAGAGGTGGAGGGTACGCCACATGCTTGTTGGTATGGTCCCATCTAGGATTCCATGCGGGACCACACCGTGTGGTCCATTCAGCCTCTCATCTTCTCCTCCTGAGTCGGGAGTAAAGCCCCTGAAAAGGACTTGGGGCGTGAATGTCTTGGCGTCTGTAGAGTATGTTGTGGTTAGTATAGGTCTCCGAGTAACGCAATCATGTAGGATGTCACTATACTCACACTTGAGGAATTTCCTCACATGTGCCACCCTTCCTCGTTGTGGATCAGTGAATACCACGGCAGCCCCGTCCCTCTGGACGGAAGACATGGTGGGTCTGTTGTGTTCAAGTTGGCGACCTGCAAGGACATGGATGAGACGGAGTCATTGTCGCTTCCGATAGCGACAGCAGCATTCTGCTCGTTGGTAGGAACGTTGGAAGACAGGTTGTAGTTCCTGAACTTCAAGTACCCGGTGGTACGGCCACCATCGTTGAGCTCGGCCTGGGTTTGCAGCTCACATCAGCAACTCATACCACTATGCAGGAGATGAACGGACACATACAGCTTCCATGGTGGTTGGGACCTGAGCAGTGAAGGATGGTGGGAGGGCGCGGCTTTGTCGGTCTACAGTTGATGCTTCAATGTTTTGAGGCTATCCGAGGTAGATAGCCCTCGAGGACGAAGTTGATCTCAGAGGAGCCTTCCCGCCCCAAGTGGTTCTGGAACCAATGTTCGTCTAGTACGATTGAATTCATTACGTTAGCGATGCCGATCAGTGCAACATAGAATGTTCTGTTGCAGTACTCACAGATTGAGATGGCTGAGTAGCTGCGAGGAACATAGTCGGCAATCAATGTTCCCCTCCAGTCCTCAGTGCATGCTGCTCGCTCCTTTTTCTCTTGGCCATGCCTGAAGCCTCGCTGCAAGCTTCGGAAGCCTCTGCCATTGCCTCGATCTCGAAACGAATGTGGCAACGCGTGTCTTGCAAGGGCCCCAGGGGCGTTCTCCACTGTCGAAGCGGATCCTCTGATCCGAAGGAGCACGTGATTCGCTGCCATAAATCTATATACTGATTAGTATCGTGAAGTGATCAAAGATAGATCAGAAAGCATGAGGCATGGTGATGTAAATACAAGGCAAGCACTTACTCGTATTCAACTCCAAAGGTGAGGGTAGTCCCTTGGCGGGGCGGGCTTTGGGGATGGTGGTGGATCCTCTGATCCGGATGACTAGTCGACTTTGAGATGCCTTCCGCGGTGAGGCGAGGCAATCTTCAGACCGCTTGCGCTTCGCGCGACGGTGATTCAGATCCGTCACGGGCGACGGTGTCTTCAATGGAGCCACCCTCTTCGTCTGTCGAGAGGACTTCCCAGAGCCCGGTGGCTGAATGATTCAGGGCCAGGCAAGCCACCACGTGTGGAGGAGGAGGAGAGGACGCCCATATGGGGAGGAGGAGGAGAGGACGCCCACATGGGGAGGAGGAGGAGAGGACGCCCACATGAGGAGGAGGAGGAGAGGATGGCCCCATGAGGAGTGGAGGGGAGGAGAGAAACCGTTTGCCTGAAGTAAGGTCTTCTTGAGAAAGGCATACTCAAGGTCAGGATTATTGAGCTTCCTCTGAAGCAAGCTGAGGGAAGAGTCAAGAAAGGATTATCAGAGACATCTGAAGATTTGAAAATATTTCAAGGGAGAGATCGTCGAAATCGGGGTGAGGGGGGGAGGAATTAAATATTCAGAAGCCCTTGGTCCGTGCGTCGAGGAGGACGACGACGACAGGCGGCAAAGCATGTTTTCGTCCCAGGTCTATGCTGTGAATATGGAAAGCGCCAATGGTAAGCGACTCTGAGTAGAAGTCTTCAAAGAATGCTTAGCTGAGGGTCCAACCAGGGCACGTTGTGGTGTATATCAGACGGTGATCGGACGGTGGCGATATTATATGCCAATGGAGCCCTGAGGTCAAGGCTGCCTCAGGGGAGACTTGGACAAGGGACGGAAACCAGACGAAGTTCAAGTCCAGATCTTTCACAAGAGTCTTTAATTTCCAGAAGTTTGTGTGGCTACAATACAGGAACTCAAGCAAACGGAGATCCAGACGAAGATCCGACCAATATCCGATCAAATTCAGGCTCAAAACACAATGCAAAGGCGTGGTCAGAATGTTCGAGCATCTAGGGCAAGCTTGCCTAGGCTTTCTAGGTACCTCAGACACGAGATTGGGAGGTTCTTTGGGAGTCCCACAGGAAGCCAGGGTAGAATGTGATGATGGAGTAAGATGGTGATAGTTGATAATTTGGGGATAGATTTGGCCACACTCGGCACAAAGAAGGTGCACTGCTAGTACATGGAGAGTTCTATTTACTGCCTGAAAACGTCTTAACCAGGGGAGAACCCCCTTGGTAGACATGGATGCTCTCGGTGTATCCCATGCAAGCAGCATGATTTCAGTTCTGGACGTGTTCATTCTGGAGTCCTTCTAACAGGCCGACCAAAGGTGCGGGGCAGATTTGCTTGACAAGCTCAAGTGCTCTTGGATGTTTGAAGTGAGCACAAAGATGAGAGAGTTCGTTGATGACTGTCTGTCTACCTGGGTACACTTCAAGGGGCCCCAAACAACCAGGTAGAGAGCAATTAGTACTTTTGAGATGCCGAGCCACTCTCCACTAATTGGCAATCATAAGCTGACAGGGTCTGTGGTCTGTGGCGTAGTGTTGATGCTTCCTGTTGGGCACGCAGCTGAGGGCGGCCGCCCAGCTGAGTCGGCCAACCTCCAAATGCTAAGCAATCCACCCTACAATGGTCAAGACCGATAGCAGCTGATAGCAGCGGGCGCAGTGCATGGGCTCTTGTTGGTTACCAGGGGGGCTACCCTGGGGCTTCAAGGGGCAGTGCAGCTCATTTCACGGCCGCCCGTTGGTGATTTGGTTGGCACGGAAAGGCACATGTTGGTGATTGTTGACGTGGGCCGACGTGCCTCAGCACTGGCCTCCTAGCGCTGACAAGCTGGGATCATCAGTTGATGCGCAGGACATTAAATAGCAGGTCAAGCCGTATCCAAAGAAATCTCACACTCCAGTCTGTCTTTTTCTCACATCAATATTGAAAATTTGCTTTACTGGCTTGTCTCTTTCGATCAGCAGCCCGAGAGCCGCTTGCAGTCTCAAGATGCTTTCCAAATCTCTAATTTCCCTGTCCAGCCTCCTGGCTTTGGCATCAGGCAAGTCCAACATACCCACCGCAACAAAGAACCATACCAAGAGTATGCCAAGCTAACCAGGACTCGTCCTCAGCCATTACCATCACCGAACCCAAGCAGGGCGCCAGACTCGACTTCAGCGGCAGCAACACCATCTCGTGGACCTCTGTGGACACCGACCCCGTCTCCTTCGAGATCGTCCTCGTGTCCCCCAACAACTCCACCATTTCCGAGTCAGTCGTGGCCAACTCCGTCAACACCACGGAGAACAAGTACAGCTTCTCCAACTTTGTCACTCCAGTGGGCGACAACTACCAGATCAACTTCATCGGCAATACGGGCACCAACAGAGGCATCATCAGCCAGTCCCAGACTTTCGCCGTGACCAGGTCCGGTGTCGCTTCGTCTTCTACATCCTCGGCTGGCTCGACTGCTACTGCTACGAGCACAGGGTCATCGGCCAGTGCTACTGCCTCTTCTGACACGAGCGGTGCAAGCCCCCTCGGTGTGAGCTTTGGGATTGCTGGGCCTGTTGTTGCAGCCCTTGCCATGCTGCTCTAGACACATTCACTATTTTTGGGCCCTTGGCCATGAACCTTAGAGATAGACTTTTCAATGTACTAGAGATAGCTGCGATTTAACACATAGATTGTTTGTTTGCAAGACGACATGTGTACTTTTGTAGGTTGATGATACTCCCCGGTGTGGTGTCTGATTTTGCCACCTTGCATGTCATGACCATGACCTCAACCTCAAGGGTGCCTGTCAGGTTTCCCTGCAACAGTGGTGGTGACGAATGGGCCATGATTGTACAGCGCACAAAAGGTCGCAGTTGCTTCAATTCTCATCAAGAAATTGTGGTTTAGCAATGCATTCAATGATCTGTAAAGCCATGTTCTCCTCTACTTGTGGACTCCCACATTCTCAGCAAGAAGTGTGTGAAAGATTGATATGAGTTGCAAACAAGGTTCTGGTCCACAGACTTACATCAGGCATCAACTGGGCAAACACCACATCAACACGTCATCATGAACAAACCATTGCTTCAAGTTCTCCAAATTGAAATACGGCAACTTGATGTAACCAGGCCGATCAATTCAAACAGTCTTATCAGGAAGGCCTAGAGCACTCTGCTTTATTTCCAACTTCCTCTGCTGGTATGAGGATAGACTTGGCAGACGGGACACACGGGTGAGCAAAGCCATCAATCAGCAAGGCCGTGCACAACAAATCTAACAAAGGTCAGCCTAGAGAAAAGACCTACCTTTAGAAATGAGCGGCAACACGGAGCCAGTCATCCAGACCGTCGGGTCTGTGGATGGGCACGACAAGGCAATCGAATCCGTTGAGAGACACGACCAGGCCGGGCTCAGCAACAGGATTAGGGGATCGGTAGATAAAGTCCCACTTGCAGTGCTGCACAATAAACTAGACAATGTAAAGAGCAAGGAGAAACCCAACGATGAGGATGCTGCCGTGGCAGCAGGTCGGACGCATAAGGAAGCTTCCAGCCCTTTGACCTCAACTGGGCCTGATGTGGTCGGGGAGATCCGGACGGTGGGCAGTGCAGATCTTGGCGATGCCGCGCTTGGGAGCGAGGAAACAAAGCAACGTGGGTGATGGCCATTAAGGAGAAATTTTACGAATTTGAACTTCAATTTGGATTAAGAGATGGGCTATGTGATACACATAAGGGATGAGTACCTTGGTCATCGGCCCCAGAACTCGAGAGGAGTGTCATCTCACGGGCGTCAGGCGCACATTGAGCGCCTGCTTTGTCCACAGGAAGTAGACCCTCTGATCGAGCCAATCAACCTCGGGGTCCGCCAGCTCCATGTCAAAATTAAACAGCAGACGAGCCAGTATCGTCCGCATCTCAGCGTAGGCCAGACTACTCAGCAATAAGCATCCATCTCCTCACAAATCAGAGCCGAGCTAGGGGAGAACAGGAGAACCAGGGGGATTGTGTTTTGGGGGGAGGGGGACTTGGACTCACTTCTTCCCAATGCAGTCCCTGGGCCCCGTACTGAAGGGCTGCGCCGCATCGAGCTTGTCGTCCGGGAACTGCTCCGGGTCGAGGAAGCGCTCTGGCTTGAAGGCGAACGGGTCGCTAAAGTTGCGCGTGCTGTGGTTCATCGGCCACTGCGCGATGCCCACGACGGTGTCCTCGGGCACAAAGTGGCCTGCGATGTGGGCGCCGCCCTTGGGCACGACGCGGGGCAGCGGACCTGCCACTGGAGGGTAGCGGCGGAGGCCTTCGCGGAGGCAGGCGAGCACTGTTGGGGAAGGGAACGTGTCAGTTGTGCGGTGATGAAACGAGCCACAACTACCTAGGTACCACGTGTACTTTCGGCGAGTGGTGGGCGATGGAGACAAGGCAGCAGGTGGCTGATGACAAGTCAAGTGCTGCTTGGAACAAGGAGATTTGATGAGAACAACATACTGTAGGGCAGGTTCTGGACCGAAGAGAAAGTAATGTCATGCTCCGACTCAAACGAGGAGCGAACCTCATCCGTGACCTTGCGCAGACACGCCGGGCTCCTCAGGAGCAGGTAGGTAACCCCACAGAGCAGCGTGGCCGTCGTCTCGGACCCGGCGACGACCAGCAGGCCGGCGTTGGACCGCAGCTGCTCAAAGGGCATGTTCCAGTCCTCCTGCTTGCGCAGCAGGCTGCCGATGAGGTCGGGCCGCTCAAAGTTGAGGGCCATCCTGCGCCTGAGCCGCTCTGCCGTCTTCTGGGCGCTCTCCCTGCGGAACCTCGACCTGGGCCCGGCGATCCACGTGATGAGCCAGCCCAGGCCCGCCAGCTTGAAGGCCGTCCCGATCGGCTGCCTCGCCAGCCCGCTCTCGATGTTGCGGACCAGCTCGCTCTCGCTGCCGGCCTCGAGGCTTCCGAAGGGCTCGCCGAAGGCCATGTCGCCGATTATGTCAAAGGTGGTGTAGTTGTACCAGCGGCGCAGGTCGAACGACGTCCCTGTCCCTTTCTTCTCCTCCGCCCCTTTCTCTGGCTTGCTGCGCCGCGGATTGCATCGTTCTCGCAGCCTCTGCATCAGCAGGTCAACATAGCCCTTCACGATGGACTCCTGGTCTCGCAGGATCTTGTCGCTGAAGCCGTAGTTGAACTGCCGCCGGATGAGCGTGTGGTTGTCGCGACTCTCCCCGAGAATAGAGACCGGGACGCCCGGTGTCCGATAGAAGATTTCCCATTTGCTGAACTCCTCGCCCTTGATCAGGGCCCCGTTCTGGTGCGAGTAGATGTCCTTCCAGGCGTCTGGGCCGGTGAACAGGAGCTCGCCGGGCCTGATGCGGACGACTGGGCCGTACTTCTCCACCATGGGCAGGAGTTCGATGGTCCATTTTCCCCCTAGCATTGAGATGAGATTTGGGATGCCTGAGGCGCGTCTTGTGAGGGGCCCAGGAAAGCGGCGCAGCGGGTGGAACAAGACGTTGTAGATGCATCGCAGAACATTGAAGACCAGCAGCTACAAAATGCCGTGGAGCAGTGTCAGTATGAGGTTTAGAACAACAAGGGACTCAGGGCCGAGGGGATCAGCACATACAGCCGCCAATGCCCAGATGGCTGAGCCTGATGCGTGAGTGAGTATCCTGTCCATGTTGAATAAGACACTGCGATGCAGTCGGTTGCTGGTTGAGCCTGGCAAGTGGAGCGAGTCTGCAACCTTGAATGCCCTGCCCCGCAGCACGTCCTCGTCGGTGCCCAGTTGTCTTCAACTGCCCCGTGTTGTGATGCCAATTTATATAATAATAAACAAGAAATCAGAACCACGTACGGCCTGCAAGCTGTGCCCTCGCCGTTCACAGGGTTGCCATCAGAGACCGGGATGTCAGGCTCGCAGCAAGGGGGTCCTCGACGTAGGCGGTCGGAGGGATGGAGCTTCCGAATTCCAGTCGATGATCCAGTCGGAAATGAGGAAATGACACCTGGGTCTGGGGCGTTGAAACGCTGGCTTCGGGGGTGTGCGTGCGTGCGTCGTCAACCGTCTGCCGTCCGCAGCAGCCCCTCGGTGCCGGGTCGGCAGCTGGTCGGCAAAGGTCTGGGAGGAAGAGCTTTACTCCGTGCTGAAGTGCTTCGCAGTGCTTTTTTGCACAGCCCTGCATCAAGTGGTGGCCCCACGGGATTCGGTGTTTCGACTCAAAGTCCGCCCACACGACTTCTGGAGCAAACTCACTTCCAACCTTTCACCTTCGTCTACCTGCAGCCTCATTCGAGAGGGGTTGCTTCGTGTCTCGGGTAAACGGACTGATCACATGCAAGATCGAAAGAGGGGGCTCGGCGTGCTTAAATATTTGTCCGTCAAGAATTGGGCAACATGCTGAATTGACGATGGCACAGTTCAGCCTTTTGCTACATCTGCGAGGTCATACAATTTTCTTATCAAATTCCCACAGGTCTGGCTCATGGTGCGTAGTAGTCTCATGCGTTGGGCAAGGTATCTCTGTGGTGCCTGAGTTCGAGTAAAGGCATTCAATGGGACCCTGTTCTGGTCGTCACCTCTGCCATGGACCATGGTAAACACTATGCTGAATTCAGCTATAATTACTGACTGCCTTAAAACATGATTCCTGCCCAGTGGCTGCGCACAAGGACGCTCGAGACTCACTATAATTACACTGTGGACAATAATCAACCACAAATCCCAATGGCCCGCAGGACCCAATACAAAGTATTGATCAAGATGCTGACCGGCCCAAAGATGATCAGCGGGATGACAGTAAAGGAGACAAAGAACACCGTCCCCCCGGTCCTCCTGACCAGCCTGCCCAGCTCCCCGTCCCTCCTCATCAACGCCGCCGCCTCCCGCGCCGTCTCGCCACTGGCCCACGGTCCCACGAGGCGGAACTTGGTCGGGAAGTTGGGGCCCATGGCCCACGTGAAGAAGACCTCGCGGCCCAGGCGCCCCAGCACGTGTGTCCAGGTCGGCGCGGACCCCATGTCGAGCGCCAGCTGGTACATGTAGCTCTCGTGGTCGACGGCGCGCTTCGTCGCCGCGAAGTCGTGGTCCTTGTCGCGGCTCTTGAGCTTGTAGTCCATCTCGTACCGTGCGACGGCGTTGGGGGAGCGGGCGGGCGGCTTGAACCCAGGTGAGAAGTAAGGCCGGAACTTGGGGCTTCTGACGAGGTGGTATATCCAGGTCTGGGCCTGGAGCTCCGCGATGGGCGGGATCGCGCCTATTGTGAGAGTATGGGGTCAGTAACCGGTAATACAGAGGGCTCTCTTGTTTCTCAAGTATGAGGAATAGGGTTCTGACCAAAGCTTGGGCGGATGAATCCGATATATGCGATGCCGTCCTCGACATTCCGGAAAATGCCCCTGGCCACGCAGTCATCCAGCGACGGGTAGACACCCCCCTTGGAAAGAAACGGAAACGACTGCTTATACCCAGTCGCGAAAACAACGACATCGGGCCGGATCCCCTTCTCCCTCCTCATAACCGCCGACTCGGGCCGTTCATTCTCCTCAAAATGAACCACCCCCTCCTGGTCAACACACCTCGGCCACGGCGCAAGGTCAATCTTCCTCCCGCCCGTCGGCACCAGCTCCACGTTGATGAGCCAGGACCTCCACCGGTTCAGCCACGACGTGCTCCGGTACTGCTCCGAGATGTACGGCAGCGCCCGGCCGCTCTTGCAGACCAGCAGGCAGTCGGTATGCATCCTCCGCCTGCTGACGCCGCCGACCCACTGGTCGAACCCGGCCCGCGTCCCGGAGATGGCCCACGCCATGTTGACCACGAAGGCGTCGTACGCGGCCCACAGCCAGGGCCCGCGCTGGATGATGCCGGGCACGTACGCCGTGTCGAACAGGGACGCTGCCGTGCAGTCGGCGGGCTTGTTCGGGCGGGCCGGGTCGGGCCCGCCGCTGCGGCCGCCGGCGCGGAACGGGACCGGCACGATCTTGGGGAAGTAGGTGAAGCCGTCGCGGTGGGCGAGGATCACCCGGCGCGTTGGGGATGTGACTGCGAGGTGGGCTATGTCCATTGCTGTCTCGCCGACGCCGAGGATCAGGATGGTGCTGTCTTTGCCGAATTGGTCGCGGGATTTGAAGTCGGCCGAGTGGAGGATCTTGATACCGGGGTGGGCTGCGACGTCGGGCATTTGGTCCGGGTTGCTGCACTGGCCTCCATCTTCATTGGTGGTGGGCAGCGGTGCGTTGAGTCCCGGAACGGCTGGCTTGAACGGGGTCTGGTTGAGTCCACTGCAGATCGCGATCGCGTGGTATCGGCGCTCTGTGTGGGCCTTGTCTTGCGTCTGCGTTCCACAGGTAATGAGGATGTGCTGAGATGGGTGTTCCGGGTCCGGTGAAACAGAGGTGACCTCAGTCGAAAGGTGGATGTGGGCCCAGAGGTCGAACCTCGTTGCGTATGCTTTGAGATACTCAACGTATCTCCTGGGCGTCAGGAAGTCGTTGACGCTTCCGGGAACCCGGAAATCGGAGAAGGCTGTGAAATACTTCGAGGAAACAAGCTGCAGATCTACGTAAGCTGCCGGTATCAAGAGCGGGAAAGAGAAGGATAGTGAGCGAGCTTACCTCGGCATCTTCATACACTCCGTAGGTGAAGACACCGCCGACGTCTTCCTCCTTCTCGAATAGGTCTGCCTCGATTTCTACGCCCGGAAAGAACTTGCGTGCCTCTAAGAGGTATTTCAAAGTCACGAGACCTGCTGGCCCGCCTCCGATGACAGCGACCCTCAGGACCATCTCGGACGCGATGAGCTGGTGACACCTCGAAAGCACTCAAGCTGGCGATCAATACAAATGCTGACAGTTTCTGTTCGGAACGGCTGCAAACGAGCGTCCTGTATACAGGCTCGTCCTCTGAGGTGCGTATGATCACGGCCAGTGTCTCAGACACTGGGCGTTTCGTCGGCTTCTTGAAAAATCGTAGCGAAAGCTGGAGCACCTAAGGTCTAGCTGCGTATGTACAGTTTTCGACCTTGAACCGATTCCTGTGGGGTTTTAGTAATGAAATGGTTTGAGATTCCAGGTTGCCCAGGCGTGGGTGTTGGGAGGCGATTGACAAACGATATTGGAAGCTTACCCAGTAAGGCAGGATTGTGGGTGAACTGCAGTCACCCATGTCAACAGAAGGAATGGGTGGATGTAAATGTTCGCTCACAAGGACCTTGTTTGTCTAAAGAACCACGTTTGTTTGCTTCCCTTGGCACAGGATTCACCTGTGTGTTGGCTCTATTCAACGGTCTTCCCTTCCACGCCTCGAAAAGGTGATGTGGTCAGTGGATGCAACTAGAAAATATGCAATTTAAACCACACTTTCAGTTCGCATTTGCTTTTCATTGAAATTGGGGCATAAATACCTAACTCATCATACCTTGGACCTGTTGGCCTTCTGTTCTAAGTTGTCAACTGAATACCTAGGTAGGGCGGCCCCACAGGCTCACTGTCCAGATGTCACAAGCCTACCTAGAGACGACAGCTCATCCTAGTCAATGATACTCCGATTCAGCGCCCGCAAATTTTCTATTTTTTTTCCATCGTGAAAAGGCTGAGAGGGATGGAGACTTTTCATTCTTGACAATGTATGTATGTGATCCAGGCCGTAAATAGACTGACCTTGGCTGCATTCGGATGTCTGTTGCCTTTCCTGGAGTCCAGCCATTGCCACCAACATCAACATTTGTCAGCGAAGGACATTCCACAACTGATTTTACTGGCTAGCTGCACATGTAGCAAGCTAAAAATATCATGGGATCAGCTGTCTTGCATGGGGTCCATAGTCTTTTTTGGCAGCCGCCACATGACTGACACCAGGGCATGTGCAGATCGCATGCAAGGTTTGAGCAAGACATGCGGTACAATGCCAGAGTCCAAACTAATTAGAGGTTAATTCACATTGCCATAATTTACTCACTTTCTAATATCTCTCATAATCCCTACATGTTGCCATTTAGTAACAGCATGTCAGCTGACATAGAAGTATGCAACTAGGCGCCTCAGCTCAAGTCTGTCCGACCTAGGTACCTTTTCTTTCTGGTAACTGCTACAGTCAAGGGCGAAATGGGTGTCGCTGAAATCTTTAGTTAACTTTTTTAGTGGTGGTGGTGTGGGTACATGGCTTCCATGGCTTGGCAGGTCCCCTAGTGTAGCATATAGGTATTAAATAAAGAGGACCTAATAGTCTAGACTACCTATAACTAACCTACCTTTTACTACAATCTTCCATTAGGTAATAATCCTTAACTTCCTATCCTAATCTTCTTATACTATATATACTTACTTTAAAATTTATATCTTATAAAAGTTATAATTATAATATTATAACTTAATTTTAAATTATATTTTTTTTATTTAATTATTATAATAAGTATAATTATATACAATTATATTTATATATTAATAAAAATATAATATAAAAATAAATACTTAATTATTAATTAATATTAATTAAAAATATATTAATTATAATATACTATTCTTTTAAAAATAGTTCTAAGTTTTATAATATCTTAAAATTAAAAAGTAATAAAACTTAGAAATTTATATTAAAAGAATAAAATATTTAATTTATTAAGAATATAATATTAAAATATAATTTAAATTTTTATAGATTTAATAGTTATAGTTTTATATTTTTAAACCTTTATTAGTTAAAAATTAAAGGTATAAATTAAAATTTTTAATAAATTTATCTCTTTAATAGATATATAAAAGGAATATTTTTAATTTAAGTTAGAACTTCCTCTTTTAAAGCTTTTAATTAGTTAAAATAGCTTTTTTAAATTCCTTATATACTTAATTAAGCCTCTCTTAATTAATATTAACCTTAACTTTAATCCTTAACTTTTAATTAGTTAGTTTAAATAAAGGGTAGTAATATATCGTTAAAGTAAATAAGTAGAGTAAATAAATAAGAGTAAAATATTACTACTCTTTTAACTAATTATAGCTTAATATTTATTAAATAAAGGTTACTAAGAGGCTTATAGCTAGCTATTAACTATATATTAATTATTACTATAAGAGGGTAGTAATAGTTCTATATAAGGGTAATAATAGTTCTATATAAAGGTAGTAATAATTCTATATAAGGGTAGTAATAGTTCTATATAAAGGTAGTAGTAATTCTATATTTTAATTAATTATAGTTAGATATTTACTAATTAATTACTTAAAAGAATAATATTTATAAACTTTAAAGAAGCTATTTATATAATATTAATTATATTTTAAGTTTATTTTTAATAATAATAATATTAATAATAATATTTTAATATTAAAATATATAATACTTTTATATATAATCCTTTTATAAATTACTTTTAAATTTTAAAAGTATATTTAAAAATTAAATAAAACTAACTTATTACTCTTTATATATAATTAAAACCTACTTTTAATTTTTAAAAGTTATATTAAAGAATATTTTTATTTATTTTTACTTTTAAATTTCTTTATTAATATAATCTTTTAAAATATAAATTAAAATATTTAAATTAATATATTCTTAAAGTTATTTTTATTATATAAAGTTATTTTATTAATTAAATAAAAATATTATTATAATTTTAATAAAGTAATAATATAATTTATTTATAATTAACCCTTTATATTAAAACTATATAAAGTATCTTTTTTATATAGAAGGTTCTTATTAAATTAAAGATTAAAATAGTAGTTATATAGAAATTAAAGTAAAAAAACTTAAAGTAGCTCTAATAATAAAAGCTAAATTAATTAAAGAGAGGAAGAAATTACCGTTAAAAAAAGTTCTAATAGTTTTAATAAAATTTAAACTTATATTCTTTTAAAAGAGAAAAAGTAGCTAAATATTTAACTATTATATTATAAAGTTAAACTTATTTAAAGTTTATTAATAAACTTTTTAACTATTAGCTCTATAATTTATATAATATATAAATAGATTATAAGATTATTTAAAACACTACTATTATTAGTCGGCTTTCCGTATATCTATATAAGAGGAATGGAGGTTATTTATAATGTAGTTATATTAGTTTTAGTTATGTGTGTCGCCTCTCTAGGAGGTATAGTGAAGCTATATCTAATAAAGCGACCTACTTATAGAGTTATAATAAATATAAAAATATAAAACATAAAATATAAATATAAATATAAATATAAAAACTAAAAAAATATAAAAATATAAAATATAAAATATAGTTATAACTTTACTTATTTAGTTTACTTATATATATAAATAGCCCTTACTCTATTTATAATTATTTAATATATATAAATAAATTTTTTTTCTACTTTATATATTAATATTTAATAAAAGTATAATAATTAATTTATTATAATTATTATTAAAAACTTATAAGTTATATATAAAATACTTATATAATATTAAATAAATAATATATTTAAAAGAAATATTAATATAAAGAAAGTAATTTTATATAAATAAAACTTTTATATTTTTTAATATATTAACTTAATATTAATTTATAATTAATTTTAAAATAACTTTAATATATTTTAAAATATTTAGAATTATATTTTAATATTTATATAAAATAAAAAATATATAATTAATATTTTAAAAGAATAAAATATAATATATCTTTTAAAATTAACTTAATTAAGTTTATTAAAGCTAATATTTACTTACCTAATAATTATATCTACTTACCTAAATCCTACTAACCGCTTACTTAATATTAATTTTTCTAAATAACTCCCTTATATTTATAAGTACCTTTTAAGTTAATATTAAAAGACCCTATAATATAATTTCCTTCTCTAATTTTTAATACTTTTAATATAAGCCCCTTCTAGCACCCCTTCTGGCACCCTTTTTAACACCCCTTCTAGCACCCCTTCTAGCACCCCTTCTAACACCCCTTCTAGCACACCTTCTAGCACGCCTTCTAGCACACCTTCTAGCACGCCTTCTAGCACGCCTTCTAGGCTATATATATTTAGGTACTAACTAAGCATTTAAATACTAACTAAATACTAAAAGGCTAGAAGTCTAAAGTACTAAAAGGTTAGAAGGGGTACTAAAAAGCTAGAAAGAGTGTAGTCTTTACCTTTATATTCTTAACTTTTAATCTTTTAGTATTTAGTTAGTATTTAAATACTTAGTTAATACTTAAATATATATAGCCTAAAAGGTAAAGGTAAAGGTAAAGGTAAAGGTAAAGGGGCGCTAAAAGGTGTACTAGAAGGTATATTAAAAGGTATACTAGAAGATATACTAGAAGATATATTAAAAGGGGTGCTAAAAGGGGCTTATACTAAAAGTATTAAAAATTTAAAGAATTCTAATTAGATATATAGTTTTATATAGACCCTATATATAAATTCTTATATTAAGTAAATAATTAAAAAAAACTAGATAAGTAGATATAATTATTAAATAAGTAGATATTAACTTAGTTTATTATATAAAACTTTTTATAATAACTTTATAATTTATTATATTTATAATACTATTTAATATTTAAATATACTTTTATATTAATATTTTAAGTTATAAGTATTTTAATTAATATTATTAAGTTTAATTTAAATTAATTATTAAAAATTAAAATTATTATAAATTATAAACTATTTAATTTTAATATTATTAAGTATTATATATAAGATTATTATATAATTTAAATATAAATATAAATTATTTAATATAAATAAAAATAAAGTTTTAATTTATTTAAATAAATATTTATTAATTAACTTTATAAATATAATCATTTAAAAGTAATTATTTAATTGAATTAAAATATAATTAAATAGAATAACTATATTTTATTATTATATATAATTCTAAGTTTATAATTTTAATAATTTATAAATAAAAATAAATAATTATTAATAATTAAGTTTATTATTATATAAAATAAATCTTTATTCTTTAAAAGTTTATTAATATTTAAAATAATTAATATATTTTATAGAATTTAAAGAATTATAAATATAATTTAATGTAAATTAAAATTTATAAGAATTTTAAACTTAAACTTAAGAGTTTTATATTAAATTTAATGTTTTTAAAATAAAAATATTAAAATATTTAAAAACTATTTTTATTAAGTTAAATTAAATTATAATAAAATAAATTAATTAAATATAAATTAAATAGAAACTTATAATTATAAATCTTTTAACTTTATAATAAAAGAATTATATAAAGTATAATAACTTTATTTATATTAATATATTATATTTATTTATTAATTTATTTAACTAATATCTTTTATTTTATTATTAAATTATTATTATTATATTATTTAATTATTAATTAAATTATATTTTAATAAAAGCTTTTATATAAATTTTTAAATAATTAAAAGTTATTAGTTTAATATTTTCTACTATAAAATATATTATATTATTATTATTAAAATAGAAATTATAAGGTAGAATTTATAATAAATTAAAAGTATTAATTATAATATTAATATATAATTTAAATTATTAATATATAAAAACTTTCTTTAATATATAAAGGATTATTTATAAATTTAAAGTTACTTAATAATTTAATATACTTATTATATACTCCTTAATATTTAGTAGTGGATTACTAGTAGCTGTGGTGATCTCTTTATTCCCTTAATCTTCAAGTTTCTAAGCTAAAGTTCTTTTTTTTTTCATCTTTTAGGTTTGAAATCCCTACTCTAAAAGACCTAGTAGAGCCCTGAGTGTTTCGGCCCTGGTATCCAACCGGAATAAAACGGATTATCGCTACTAGCTCGAGCAACTATATCGCTATTTGTAATGATGAAAAGATAGTTCTTAAATGAGCTTAGACTTGTATAAAATCCCACCGCATAGCTATACCACCCTCGTCTCCAGACCCTTCAATTTCGATAATATGGTGGGTCTTCATGTTGGCAGCCATGCGCATTTGAGTCCACCAAGAGATTGATAGAAGCAGATGTCCTCTATCTGGATGCCTTTTTACGTTGAAAGCCTCCCACGCCTTGTGTTTTATAGCCGAGGCTCTAAAGCCCCCTTGATTATCACATCTAAGGTAGACGCCCAAACTTATTTCACGAAAACCAAGCCATTCGTCCTTCCTCTCAATGCAGGCCTAATGCCAACCGCAGACCTCCAAATCTGCAATCCTCTTCAGCACCAAGCGGCCATGCTCTCGCGCCAGAACCCTATCTGACGCCCGATTTCTAATTATAAACGTCCGGCCGGGCCAAGGATTACTTTTTATGCCTTGCTCCACGGAGAAATGGCCTTCAAGCCCCGGGCCAGGTACAGTATCAGTCGTATGTGTCGGCGTATCGAGAGGGGTAGGGGCATTGCTTTGTTGGGACTCGGTCATATATGTCGGCATATCAAGAGAGGTATGGTCATTGCTTTATTAGGACTTGGTATCGCGCTCGATTATTGCCGTGGATATAACTCGTGTTGTCGAGCTGGGAAGAATTTAAAGCTTAAAATAAAATTGCGTACTAAATGGGTACCTATGCGTATGTCGTGTAAATGGGGCTGATGAGGAATGTGCGAAACGAATATCTTGTGAAAGTTTGAAGGTAAGGGGCTGCGAACAAAATGCGATGGCTTCTGGCTGGAACTGTTGGTCCACCCAATCCAGAGCTGTACTGTATATATGCAGCCTCCACATATTACGGCGCACTATGTCGGCCACAACCAGCCATGGAACTAGCCCGTGCTAAGAATACTTTAAAACTGACATCTGGACACTGATATCGGTCTCTACTATGTAGGCTGGACCAGACTTGGCCTAATTATGTTGTGGATGAGATTAGATTACTTACAGTTGTAAGGAGCAAAGCAAGTGTTTCTGTGACTCGCTCTCGTGAGCAGTCTTAGACATTGAGTTGGTTATGACTTGGTTGGATGTTGTCTCCTTTGTGGTCTCTGTTGCCTGTGATTGGAATAGCTCTGAAAACCCAGGACGCGCTTTTAAGTCGCTGCAATAATGCATGATCCCCTCCTCAAGCAGAGATTGCAGGATTCATATACAAATGTGGTCCTCGTATTGCTTTGTGGCTTTAACTGGGCAGGCTTGCTTGATCTGCTAAGAATTGCCCGGGATGCTCTACAGCGTCACCTCTTTGTCATGATTCCACCCGGGCATCTCACTCAGATCCTTCGCCTGCGCCGCACGCGTGGACTTCCTTGCATCCCCAGACCCGGGCCGCCACTGCCACGCTTCCGCAAGGTCCTGGGCTAGGTCTCCCTCGATTAGCTCCACAACGTGCTTGCCGATGTTGGGCAGCAACTTGAAAGAGTGTCTGGCAGGCTTGTTAGCATACATGTACGTTTCGGTAAGGCTGTTCGAGAGGCAAAGAGACATACCCGCTATCCCCAGTCGCCAAAATAAAGTTTCTCCATCTCGGGTGCTCGCAGATAAGCAACGATGAGTCTGCAGTGTCAGTACACCAACAAAGGGACCGATTGAAAAGCTCTTTTTGTGTGAAGCGCGGCAAGTACGTCGCTATAGCCTTGCGAATGGTGACCTCGGAAGCATCAGGGTAGGTGTCGGTGGGGTGCTTCGCGTGTGACCGCGGCACTGACACCGGCTTGGGCGCGTCGGCTCCGTAAGGCTGGTGTTGCTTGTACCGAGTGAAGCCGGGGAACTCGTCGCAGACTTTGATGATGCCGTACTCATTAGGCTCGAAGAAGAAGCCGATATCGCCGTGGTAGACGACGGGGACTCCTTTGTACTCGACTGCTTCTTGTGGCGTCAGTTGCATGTGGGCGTACACCCAGGCCTTCATCCATATGTCAGTGTCGAAGCCGGCAAATTTGGTTGCGGTCTCTTACCTTTGAGCAACACTGCTCCTCCAGATCCACTAATGTAGGACTCCAGGCTCCTGTTGCGAGGACGACCTTGTCTGCGTAGTATTTTGTGCCGTCCTCTGTCTCTACGCCAATACACACCGTTCCGTCCTTGTCAAACAGTGGGTGTTTGAATGAGCCAGCACTGTCCCAGGTCGCGAGTATTAGCTTGATAACTTCTCAGCTATTAGATTGTTGTACTCACCCTCCAAATCCAAACTTGACACCCTGACTTTGACAAAATTCACCAATAGCGTTGATTGCTTTTGCCGCGGCAAGCCAGCCTCCGTCCTCACTGTAGATTGCGTTCCAGCCCTGGCAGTACACAATCCTCAGCAAATTTGCTATACCTACCGACACGGCATGCATCTTACCTTGATATTTTCCCTTGGTAAGAGTGGAACTTTGGCCAGAATTTTGTCTTCGTTATCTAGCCATTCGTGCGTCTCCCCGACCCCTGCTTCAATGAGTTTTTCATACTCCCGCCGTAGGCCAGCGATTCCCTCTTCGGAAACCTCGCAGTCCAGCTACATTATCGTAAGTCACTATACCAAGGTGTCCACCGGATAACGTAATATTTCCAACATACCCTTCCTGTTTTGTGGAAGAATGGTTTGAATAACGCATCATTTCTCCACATGTCCCGCGCCTCCAGACTCAGTTGTACATCGATCTTATCTCGGACACGAATGCCCATAATCTTGTTGAGGTCGTTCCCGGCGGACTGGGCAGAGGGAAAATGAAATGTGTCAAGAACGGTGATATTCGAGGGAGTGTACCCGGACCGAAGGAGGTGTAGAGCCGTCGATGACCCAATCGTGCCCCCGCCGCCTACGACGATGACTTTTGTGGTTTGCCTGGAATTAGCCATGGTGTGCCTTGCCATGGGGAAGGCTTGCCAAGTGAGAATTTCTGGGCGGTTTTAAATTCCATTCGCAAGGATCGCAACGCTGAGCGCACTCACGTGTTTGGTGGATCAGCAATGTCGAAATCGGTGGCCCCCGCTCAACCTATCGCTTCGACCTTCCTCGTCTCCCGCCGCTCATGATGGGGTAGACCAAGCCGGCCCGGACCGGACTCGGAGATATCCCCGCCAAGCATGCAAAATACGGGGGCAGTCCGACCTCTTATCACCTCCAACGACGTTTGAAAAGTAACTGCACTTCGCCAGAACATTGCCGGATCACCAATTACTAGACATGTAAATGTGTATTTGCAATGGACAGGATATCCTGTCGTTGCTGTTCCTTGAGATTGGAGGTCGATTGTGCCGGTAACGATGAAGTCGTCTCGGCGCAATTGTTGCCGGCCAGGGCCCATCGCGTCCGGCGGGCGCGCATCAATGTCCAACCATCACGATTCATGGCCTTTGTCTGCACAATACCCCATATCGTGCGTTTGGAGAAGATACATGGTCGTTGACCCCCCCGGGCCAGGCCCACAGATAAGAAACACCATCCCGGACACACATCTGAGGAGAAGCTCGTTCGTGTGGCCATATGTATTGAGTTCCAGCGCCTCCAGAAACTTTATAAACGGTAGTATGACCGCTGCGCGTTTTTGCTCGATCTCTTGCTCCTGTCACTCTCATAAACCTCGAAGCCCCCGCTCCAGCATCGTTTGAGGCCATAATGGAAGTGGACAACACCTCCGCTCGCGGTGGGACTGATGCCACTCGGGAGAAGCATCCTTCCCTTGAGTTGGCAAACAGCGCCACTAATGCGAACCCAGATCTAGTCGACATGGAGGCGTACAGACGGAATGTGCCGTTATGGAAGAGGATTTGGCAGCATAGCTTAACCCAGATGATGCTCCTCAGTGTCCAGGCCTTTTGCGGGCCAGCTATGGACGACGCCATCGCTGGTAAAGCGTTCTCGGAAATCTTTCGACTGGTTCATTACATGCTGATCTCTCACTAGGCCTCGGTGGTGGCGGTCTAGCAACACCACAGACATCCAATACTGCGTGTGTACACCCTCCGCAATTCTATATCACTAGTAAAGGTGTGTGCTGACAAGCATCTTCCGGAAATAGTACCGCCATCAGCTACACCATGCTCGCCATCGTCTGCGCTTTCGGTGGCCCCTTGGTAAATAAGCTCGGTGTCAAGTGGTCTCTGGTTATTGGTGCCGCAACGTTCCCCATCCGCGGTGCATCGTACTACGCCAACAGCAAATATGGAAACCAATGGGTAAGCTCGATCAGCTTCTATTTACAAGGACTTTGTTCTGTTCTCTGACTGTGGCGATACTAGTTCCTCATTCTCGCCAGTTTCCTCAACGGCACCGGGACTGGGTTTTGGTACGTCGCGGAAGCTGGCTCTATCCTGTCCCTTGCGCCATCAGGGGTGCGAGGCCGATACTTGGCTCTTTGGATCGTGTCTCGTAACTTGGGTCAGCTTGTTGGCGGTGGGATCAAGTACGTACCAGGACCAGTTTTACATACCTAAGCATTCAACCAGATCATTCTTACTGACAGCCGCGCAGCTTGGCAAAGAATCACGTCAAGGGTGTCGAAGGAGGTGTCACTCCCGACACTTACATCGCTTTTGTCATCATCGAGTGTCTGGCGTAAGTACAAATGATCGAGCTTCGAATAGGGCCATCAAATTGGCACTGACAATCATATCGGGCAGATTACCCTTCGCGTTCCTCATCTCTCCACTTGAACGGGTCGTCAGATCGGACGGCACCAGGATCGTCGTATCCGAGACCCTCAGCAGCAAACAAGAGCTGAAGCAGATCAAGATTACTGTAACTTCGAAGCTGATACTTCTGTCCTGCATTTGGGCGTTCTGGTCATTCTTTTATAGGTAAGTTGTCCTTCTCAAATTAATGACTATGAAGTATCGGAACTGATTTGTTTGACAGTGGAACCTGGTCTACATACCTGGCCACCTACTTTAGCGTTCGGGCTCGGGCGCTCTCATCCCTAATATCACCCTTCTTTTGCATGTAAGTAAAGCAGTAATTTCTCGCTCAACTTCCAAGTATATTGTCACAGATTCCTGTGCTGACATCTTATTCTGCAAGTGTGGGCTGTTTTGGACTAGGTTTCATCCTTGACCTCAAAGGTCTGAGTCAGCGACGGAGGGCTCAGCTTGGTCTTTACACGGTCGTACTTCTCAACATGGGCGTTTATGTCTGGTCCATCATCATGCAAACACGTTTCGACAAACACAACCCTGGCGCTATCGACTGGGACGAGCCGCTCTATCCCTCAGCCTTTCTGCCCTACTTCTTCGTACAGACTACTGGTCCGCTATCGCAATCGTACATGTACTGGTTAATATCATCATTTGCAACTGACGCACAATGTAAGTCTCTCTACTCTCTCTAATTGAGGCTATAGCAAATGTTCTGACAAAGGCTTAAAGCCAATGTCCGCAACGGGGCCGCATTCCGCTGCGTCGAAGCAGTTGGCCAAGCGGTGTCATACGGGCTCAACACGAATGCGAACCTGAGTACTCTCGTTGGATTGTAAGTCACATAATCGTTCTAGATATTTTAAGTGGCTAATTATTCTGACTATTTCGGTGAAGTTGCGTCACGTTTGGTCTCATGGCTGCAGCACTCGGTCCGATGATTGTTCTCACCAATGATGTACCGGATCGCATCCCCGCCGACGTGCTTGCCGAGGAGCAGCAAGCTGCGATTGAGGGGAAGAAAGTGGATGAAAAGATTAACCCTGGAGTATAAAGCATATGATATCATGTAAGATTTTATGGCGGAGCATGGCTATTTTTGTAGAACCTTATGGAGTCACTGGGCAGTTGAAGCATGCTGAGTCCGTGGGGCGGGCACGCAGAGAGGTTCACGAAACAGTGATCAAGAGTGCGGTTTTGTTTCTAATTCCAATGCATATAAAGAATATGTGGTGCCTTTAAAATGGTAAACGGTCAAAAACAAGCGTTTGACAAATGAAAGAAAAGAAAATTGCCAATAACAGTGCAGAGAGAATACAATACGTGAGATCATGGCCGTAGCCTCATGCCGCACAGACAAGACTAACAGAGCTGGCATCATGATCAGAGGCAAACGGAACATTCAAGATCTTTAAGTGCTAGTCGACGAACAACTGGAGGGAAGGGATGATGTGGCATATTCCCAAAGCGCATTTTCAAGCAGCATTGATAAATATCGTCCCAACAATTTCTTGTTACCCCTGGCAGATGTTGAGCCAGAACGGCCATGTATCTTGCCTGCTCCCAATCGGTTGGACTCATGAAGTGGCTCAGGCCACCCCGGGGCATGTGGTTGAAAAGTTAAAAAACGTTAGGAAAATGGCCGTGGGAGAGATGCCGTCGGTGTATGTCGAGTGTTGGGTATTAGTCGAGGTTTCCCTTCACATTACACAAGAAATGAAATGGTGCACACAATTCAGCGTTTGACAATACGAGCTTCGTCACCCTGATTCCGCATCCAGTATCACCAGTTGCACATGGATACAGGCTGCTCACTGCATTGTTGGACTATTGGGGTACTACATTGTCTCAATTGTGTTACACTGCAACCATGACACCTGTTGCATCCGTTCCCATCTGGTGCTTGATTATCCGGCGCACTCACCATTCATGTTTGCTCCTTGGCCATGTTTCGAATCAGCAGTTTGGAACACAAATATTCGGCAGATATCTATGTAATTACCACAAGAGGAAGAGCTTCTTAGCCCCCGATCCGAAGGCAAACTTTGAGGTGATTCGGTTGGGACCCCCGGGTTCGAGCCCCTTCTGATGGCTGATTGCAATAATATTCTACCTAGGCCGAGATACCAGGAAACAATCTACCCGAGGGCCAGGTTCTGTTTCCATAATTTCGACCTCTCTTCCCTCCATCAGCTCCGAAGCAGTAAAAAAGGTGCTGTAAATAATCTAAGTCGTGGAGACATTCAACATACGGGTCTCCCCTTCTCTTCAACCGTTCAAAATTACCTAGCACCAGGTCTCGCTCAAGATCCATCACTTACTCAACATGGATGGCACCACCATCATCGATGACGGCCCAAAAGCCTCATGGAAATCCCGCAGCTGCCTCAGCTTTGGCGAATACACGAGATCCTGGTCCTTCAATGGCACCTGGCGGACCATTGTGCGCCGTCTATGCATGTGGGTCATCATCAGCCTGCGCATCGTCATGAACATCTTATCAGTCTCATCCAACACTCTCGGGAGTAAGGTCGCGAATCTAGTGGTCGGTGTTCTCTTCGGACTACTCTCCTTCATTTTTGTCTTCTGGTGTCTCACGATGATCGACCGTGCTCATGGTAATCGTGCGTGCTGGTTGTGTGGACTCATTGTTGTAGGTTTTCTTCAGATCGGCCCATGATGACTCGGATCAATCGCTAACACAGTGCCTCTGCTAGGGACGCACTCATCTAGAGATCTTCGTTGGAGTCATCGCTCTTCTCCATGTGGGCCTCCTTGCATCATTCTGGCAGTTTGTCCCCCATTCAGCTGCCGGGTTCAACGTTGTCTTTTTCTTCCTCTGTATAATGATCGGGGCGTACGGAATCTTCTGCACGAAGCCACCTCTTTCCGTCTAGTGGCCAACCAGAAGATGGCACAAACCGAGGTCGCCGTGGTTGTGAGGGATGGAAACTGTAATAGGACAGAACGGTTTGATAAGATCATCTGTCCCAAATTGTTTTGCGGCAGCCTTTCATTTTTCACGCTCTTATACAGGATGGCAGCACCCTGTGGGCTTCTCAGCCGCCACAAGTGCTCTGAGTATCTAAGTTATAGCAACAATATCACCCGAAAGCGAGGCATCCATGTGAAAATGGACTTCATATGGTGCTCTGCTTGAAGGGAAGATTGAATTATATTTCTCACGCATCAAAAACAACACCTATCCTCCGGAGAGCCTCTACTTCCTCTTGAGACATCTTGGTGCCTACTTCAACCTCGTCCATGCGAGTCCACCAGTACGTGAAGAAGAACTCGCTCAGCGACAAGCCCAGTTCCTCATAATTGACTTCAAACTCCTCCGCGAGTGCTTCGAGCATTGCCTCCAAGTATCTTTCCTCTTCTTGGATTTCTATCACGTCCTCAGGGTCCATGATCCCAACCAATTTGTACTCTCCCACCAGGATGGCAGCAGTCACCCCTTTCTCAGGGTCTTCGTACTTGCCACTATTATTCATAAACCTGCAGCAAGTGTGGCTCATTCCGAGTCGCTCGAAAGTGCTGACGCGAATAAAATCCGAGGCAAACTTGCGAGCTCCGGCGTGGTCAGCCAGTCTGCTGGTCAACAGGTCCATGACCATGCGCCATGTTGTCCGGCTGAATCCCGCCACCTCGCCGGGCGTTGGTTCTCCATTCGCAAGCGCCCACACTTCACGCGCCAATATTGAGGCAGCAGAGCAGCCATTCTCCGTGCAAAGACAGTCGCAACAATCCAACACTGGCGAGGTCAGAATTTGCTGCAACATGGGCGTGTGCCGTTCGCTGCCGAAGGCTGTCTGGTAGCGCATGCTCCGCCCCATTTCGCTGGCGATCTGGTGGACTAGGCACACTCCAGGGGAGCTTTCTCTCCGACTGCTTATTCCTCGCTCAGCCGCTGCTGCTGGCATCGGCCTGCTCAGGTCTTCACCATGGCGCAAGAACCAGTCAACAAGACTAAGCGCACTTTGACTGTACATTATCTTGGACTCGTATCTTTGGCTCAGCCTGACGAGATCTATCGTCATTAGCGGGGTGAAGCCGAGGAATTCGACGGTTGTCTGGCTGAATCCAGAGCTGAACAATGATTCGGCAGTCTCATCGTTCATGACCGCGCAGTGATAGACTGAACCTGGCTGGACGCTCCGAAACTCTTTTGGCAGGATCACTCCCTCCTCCATCAGTGCTCGAACCAGTCCGAAAGCTTCTTGCTGGATCAAAACTTCATTCTCAACTCCCATGTTGTCGAGTGTCTTTCGTTCCGGGATGTGGTCGTTGGCAAGGCGGAGCAGCTTCTGACGCCGCTTTGCGAGGGCTTGCGTCAATACGGGAGTGACGGGGCGCTGCCTAGCTGACGCTTCCCACCTGCAGTTCGCAATGTTCTGAATGATCTCCAAGTCCATCTCAGCAGAATTTTCCAGGAGCATTCTGACACAATCCGGCTCGTTCAACTTTAGGGCGTAATCTAAGGGCGTCGCTCCGTTGACATCCTCGGCGTCGATGATACCGTGAACGGTGTCACCTCCCAACTCTAGTATCAGTTCCATACCTCGAGGCCAGTGGGATGCAACATGCAACGGAGTTTCACCTAATTTACCCCTTGTTAAGAGGTGGTCTTTGGCGTCGCTACCTGTGAGAATACCGCGCACCCGGCTTTCCCACTTCTCCAGCAACGCACGAGGTAGTTCTTCCTGATCTATCGCTGCTAAGATGTCAGCAACGTATATCGCAAGTTTTTGACAGGAGGTACGACTAACTTCCTTGTTCTTCAAATACTTCATGTCCGATTATTGGAAGAATCGATGGTCCAAATGTTTGCAAGGGCATTATGTCCAAAACATCAACGCCGAGGTCCAAAAGGCTTTTTACAACTCCTGTAACCACCGTAAAGCCTGAGACATCAGACTTTTCTGCACGCGTCAATCTCTTGAGGACAATGGTGACCGGCGTTCTGAGTCTTTATTAATCGGGAATTCCATGGGATTGCAAGGATTTTGAAGGTGATCCGACTTGGACTGGTAGTACTTACTCGTTTGAACAACTGGAGTCCTTCAATGGTACTCCAAATTCTACCAATGTTTGAAGGAATTGCGAGTATGTCTCCTTCATCTCGTCGGCCATGAGGTGCCAACAAGCACTAGTAGCTGCCTGTGTGGTTGTTAGTCTGCAGACTTGACTGTGATCTGAGATGCCCGGGCTCCGTCCGAGTGGTGCATCTCTAACTCACATGAAGCAGGTTGTTCCCAGTACCGTCCTCTATGTCGGTCGGCCACGCTCGACCTTCCATGAACATACGCTGGAGTCTCTGAAGGCAGCTCTGGAGGTTCTTTCGAAGTGACTGAACCGTGGAATAGAAGCCCATGTTGAAAGTAATGCCGTCTATCAAATCGAAAGCCGGTGAGCCTTGAGGAACAGTCGCCCGGATTGTGAAGTTATGCTGGACGTGCAGACTGCGCAGGAAAGCATATTGAGAGTACTCAATAGCGACCTGAAACTGGAAGAAATAATTGAAGAGCCTGATCTTGCCAATGAGAGCCCTTCTCTGTTTATATCTGAATGAGAGGTGGCACGAGGTTGCATGGGTGACAGGATAAGCGGGCGAGATCGAGCCCGCGCAATGACATCTGAGCTCCCACAATGGGCCTGTGATGGACGAGTTCTTCCCTGATCCTGACACCCGCTTCGTCCGACTGCTTGCAACTAGCTCTTTCGATCGGTCCTGGCGAATTTCCGGTGCGGTATTTGAACTTTCGATAAAACAAGTGCTGTCGTGTACGTCAGTTTCATCCGAGCATAGAGACTCTTTGATCATTATCTCCAGAGCGTCCATTCGAGCTTGAAGAGATTGTTCGCTCTTCCAGAGTCTAAACTCGAGCGTCTTCGACAGATCAGGTATTATGGCGGCAATCTGCTGCTGCATATCTTGACTCTGAGTGGAGATGATCGAGGAGAGGTTCAGAGATTCCGACAATGTCTCCTGCCGAAGGTTCCTCACGGCATCACTACATTTGTCGGCAATGTGAGTGGATCTGGCCAAGTGATAGAAGCGCTTCCTTATTCATCTTGGGTGCCTTACTAGTTCATCATTCCAACTTGAAAAGAGAGCGTAGTGTGCAGATGCTGAACCTGCCGTCTAAACGAGTCAAACTTGTCCTTCTGAAGAGGAAAGGAGACCCTGCGGACGAAGCTGCTGCGGGATTTCTGATTCAGGTCGGTCGCCGGCGGCGAGTATTTGTCGCACAGTCGATTCAAGCCAGCGAGACAGACTCTGCTGGTTTCTATACACTCGTTCATTGATATCTGGAGGCTGGGTGACACTGGCGGAAGTCCGACTCCATTCTGATGTCCTTCCAGAACCTCGAGGTGTCTCCGCAGCCGTTCGGCATTTGCCTGGAGCAAGGCGATATCATCTTCGCGCGATCGATAGCTGGAACAGTAGCGAATAAGTCCGTTGCAGATAGTGATGCCGAGGCCAAAGAAACCAGCAGCGCCAGAGCCAATAGAAAGTGGATCCATGATCAATTGATATCTCTAGGAAGTTTTGTCACCGGCAAGATGACAACATTTGGTAAGTTTGAAAGTGAGCATGAAGATGAAACTGATCGCTTTATGGAGTCACCTGAGGACCTTGAGTCGGCAGCCTGAGGCCTCATCAGACCCCGGTTCAATGTTCCCACACCTGCATGTCCCGCATGCATGTGTGTGGCTGAAAGCATAGCCAGGCCGTTTGGGAGACCTGGTGCTGGGCGGTTAGCAAGCGACGACGTGGGGTCGGCGCTGCACATCAGTTGATATGTGACGAATGCAAGAAATGGGGAATGCACGATTTCTGACCTCGAAAAAAACCAACACAACTGACGTGTGGGATGTCATTTGACTGTAAACGTACCTGACTATGTAGGTATTACAAAAGGAAGTGGTCACGTACTTACTCTCCACCTGGGCAGCTAGTTAAGTATTTGAAGACTCTTGAAATTACTCGTCTAAAGATTCCTTAGGAGTATAGATCGGAGTACAAATGAATTGAGCGATAATAACCCTGGAACGCCAGTACACCAAGCCAATGAACAGGTATATCCACCGAATCTACACCAACACAACGATACCACTTAATGCACCATCGACTTTCCAATCTCGCTCGCCCACCCCTCAGCCCTCTCAAACCCTCTCTTGTGCAGCGTGTAGTCCTCCAGCGCTTCTCGAACCTCATCTAGCGAGGTCACCACGAAAGGGCCGTACTGCACAACAGGCTGGTCCAGCACCTTGCCCGCAACAATGACGAACCGCGCGTCCCCCTCAGCGCCCTCCTCATTCTCGGCAACGATCGCATCCCCCTCCAGCTCAAAAACAACATTATGATACTGCGGCACGGGCCTCTTCTCCGCGCCGAACAGCGCCGTGCCCTCGAGGGTATACAGGAACGCGTTGAACCCCTCCGGGACGGCCTGCTCGACCCTGCCGCCGGGCCGCACGGTGACGTCCAGCAGCCACACGGGCGTGTACGCCAGGTCCTTGACCGAGTCGACGCCGTGGCTCTGGCCCGAGATGACCTTGACGGTGACCTTGCCGTCGTCCGAGGTCGCGGTCGGGATCTCGGTGCCCCGCAGGTCGCGGTACCGCGGCTCGCACCCCTTGAGGTCCCGCGGCAGGTCCACCCACAGCTGCAGGCCCGTGTTGGCGCTGCCGTCGGCGTTCTGCGCGGGCATCTCGCTGTGCACGATCCCGCGGCCCGCCGTCATGAACTGCAGGTCCCCCGCGTGGATGGTGCCCTTGTTCCCTGCGAAGTCCTCGTGGTCGAAGGCGCCTGAGAGCATGTATGTGATTGTCTGGTTTTCCTTTGGTGTTAGCCTATTATCCTGGGGAGGAGAGGGAGAGTGGAGGGTGGTGTCTGTGCTGCTCAGGGGTTGAGGATCGCTCGGATGAGTGAGAGGGAGCGTGGGGGGGCGTGAGCGTGAGATGAGAAAAAAAGACATACCTCCTGCCCGCGGTGTGGGTGGTCAGGGAATCCCGCGCCCGGCTTGACGGAGAAGTGGTCCAGCATCAGGAAAGGCGAGAAGTTCTTGAGCTGCGGCGTGCCGATGGAGCGCCTGACGCGCGCGCCGGCGCCCTCTGCCTGCTCGACGGCCAGGAAGGCCTTGCGGATCGCACGTGGGATGCTGGCTTTCGCTGCCATCGTCTCGCTGTTGTTGTTGTTGTTGCTGTTGGTGGCGGTAAAAATACTGAGGTTGTTATATACGGCTGAGGCTGTCTCGAGAATGTGCTCCTTGAACAGTACTACAGACAAGATTCCAACTGTGATGGAGAGTAGGATCGTGAAAACCCTCATGAGGGGAAGGCAGGCCCGAGACCACTGTTTTATAGAAACCTGAGATTGAGATCAAGGCCACGAAAAGGCGAGACTAGAGGCCTAGGATGACTATATGAACAGTAATGGATGAAGAATCACCAAGAATATTCCGTCTCTTCTAAAGTCAGCGCCGGCAGTGCGCCGACTACTTGTGTCCCCCGTCCGACGTCAGTCGTTCAAAATCATTACTCGCCCCGCCGGGCGGCCTTAGTAAACGGCGCGTCAGCAGCAGACGGCAAATATCCGGCTGGCTGGAGAGAGAGCGAGGCATTTGGGCCATTGGGCAGCTAAGCTTGCTAAGCTGGGCCAAGAGCAGATCTTAGCGCATGATTTCTAAATGCTGAGCAAGGATCGAGTCAGGGGTTTGTCAGGCCATTGCCCAATCACGTCGGCACCGCGGCGCCGACACGCAGGAAATTTTAGCCCGGCCGCCGGGACTCGATGCTGCATCGTGCTTATATTGATTGGCAGCTTGCTTATTAGTGCAGATGCCAACATGTACGAGTGTGTTATTATTAGTGTACGTGACCCGTCGCCCCAGATCCGACGTCGCTCCTCCATAAAATACCATCCATATATGTCACATCGCAAAAGCCCATGTCCTAACAACTATTCATTATACATCTATCCCCATCTATAACCCAAGATCTATTGCATGAGGTAGTCAATCTGACACCCCCTCAATCGGCGGGAGCTGCCGCTGAGAGCCCAACCTTAAACCGCTTCAAGGCTGCTAATGTGAATTATATACTCCGTATACCGGGGCCTGACCTCGCCACTCTAAAATGGGTGACCCCCTAGCCCTTGCTCTCCCCAGAGAATGATAGAGATAGGGTTTCCTCCTTGCGGTACTTCCCGTTACGGAGTGAGAGATCCCAGATTCTGGGGACGAAACGGAATCGCAAAAAGCAGTGTTAGTTGCAAGCACTGTCCTGGAGGGCGGCGGTTCCCGTTTCAAGTGCCGGGCCCATTGTTCAACTCGTGGACACGGGCGATTCCGAGAATGAGAATAAGCAGTACATCTCGTATCGTTGACGTAGAAATCCTGTTCACTGCTAAGCAGTAGGCACACATATTGACACTTCACCGGTGGCACGATTCTTGGGATATTTTGAATTAATAAGCTTTGATTCGTATAGCATCCGAATGTATGTGGTCGAATACACGGAGAGAGAATCGCAAACTGAACCTGTGTGTGCAGTGGTCGGGGGTTGTATGGAGGTATCAAAAGAAAAAGGTAAGGTAGGGAGAGTAGAAGAAATCCGCCAAACCGTACATACGTACGCGTGGTGTGGGAGGAAGAAGGAAAACACAAGCACACGCCACCACCACACTGAAGAATCTGCGCCCAAGCTTTTCTCTCCCAGCACTGAGATCCTACACACGATTCCGACGTTCGGGTCCAGGCGAGCAAAACGTGTCCCGTCCAAGCCAGTTGTCACCGCCGTCTTTTTTTTTCAAAACTTCCACCAGCTCCGACAAGCGGAGTGTGACAAGGACATGATAGAACCAGATGTCCATCATTCCCCTGCAAACCATCCCCAAAATCCGCTCAAAATGCTCAACGTTGCCGAGAAAAAGGGAACATGGCAAAATAAACTCAAAAGAAACAAAAATATCAAGAGGTGAATCTGGGACGTCTCGAGATAAAAGTTCCACAACGCCTCATTACGTATCAGCTTCAAAGTCTTCCCGAAGCTCATCCATCCCCGTGGTATAATGATGTTCTTGAAAAAAGGAAAGCAAAAAAGAAATCCGACGTCAACGGATGGCCATGGGCGCGTGCATGGGTTTGTTGTCTCCGCTGCGTTTCACTGTTCATCTCCACAGTTTGTGGATGTTCTGGTCGTAGCCCGCAAGTAATTCAATGGACCGCCTCTTCTTGAAGTCGGCGTCGCGCTTCTTTTTTCGTTGCGCCGCTTCTTCTTCTTTTCGTCTCGCCTGTTGCTCTGCCCAATCGCAGGCTGCTTGCATCTCCATGGATCGCCGTTTCTTGAAGTCAGGATCTCCCCGTTTGCTGGGGGGACCCTGCTTCGCTGCGATTCACCGGGGCCCACCTAATGCACTTATTCGAGCGCCAGAGGGGCGGTGGATGAGGGACTCGGCGTGCTTGCCGACGACAGCCTCTTGCTGAGGCATGTCATTGTCGCTGCGCTCCGTGTAGTCCTCTTCGTCATCCTCGACGATCTTGGTCGGGATCTCGTGGCCGATGCTGTACTGCTGCGATGATCGCTCGGGCGTTGTCATCGTCGACGCGATCGACATGCTTGTCGAGCTGCGGTTTGGGATCAGGTCGGGAGTAGGAGGGATGCTCGATGTGCGTCCAGATGGGTTGAGGTGGCTGTCTTCACCCATATCAGAGGCAGCAGTCGAGCGGCCATCCTCACTGTAGCGACCAGAGAGGTTGCTGCTGCGGCGGCGATTGGCCGTCGGCGTGTCAGTCTCGGCGTCGAGCGCCAGGTCCAGACCCTCCACGGCAGCTTGGCACTGCTCTGCAATGTTGCGGATGATGTGGGAAATAGCGTCAGTCTTGTCCTTCAGGTGGCGGTCTGCCACGTCGAAGAAGCTCGAAGTCGAGAATCGCTTGCTGTTGCGAGCAGCCTTGATGAGGCGCTCCTTGTCAACCGACGACATGCCGCCATCTTCCTCGGTGGCCGCAACAAAGCCGTTTGCGATCTCCTCCTCCAAATCGACGGGGTGGGTCAAGGACTGGACAAGATGCTCCATGTGGTGGCTCTGTCCGCCGATGAGACTGCGCAGGTGCAGAACGACGCGGCGAGCCTCGTCGCGCTGGCGCATGATGGTCACATTGGTGTGTTGCATAGCAGCAAGCTCCTTCTTGTTCCTCTTGCGCTCGCGCTCCAGCTCTTCAGCGATCTCCTGCTGGAGGACAAGAGCCTCAAGTGCGTCATCACGCTGCTTCTCCGTTCCGGTGAGGCGGACGGACATGCGTGCGGCATCATCCTTCTGCTGGTCAATGAGGCCACCCAGGCGACGGTTCTCCCTCTTGTGGCCCTCAATCTTGACCTTGAGATCTTGGGTTTCCTTCGTGAGCGTCTCAGCAAAGGCCTGGAATTTGAGGAACTGGGATGAGTTAGCATTGCTTGCCCTATCTTCGTCGCAAGTGGCGGGTCCACCAAACATACCTGCTGCTTCCAGCTCTCCAACTCCTCATTGAGGTAGTTGTTGCGCTTGGTAACCTTGGCGAGCTCGGTATCCATGCGACCCTTCAGGTTGATAAAGTCCTGCCAAGCCTCCTGGGCGTCACGCGAGTACTGGTTCCTCTCGCGCACGATCTCGTTCAGGTGCCTCATAGACACCTTCGTCATCAGTGGCTTCTTGACAGATCCACCGAAAACAGCCTTGATACCGCTGTTGCGACCCATCTTCTCACAGACGTGGTCCATGACAGCCATAATAGAGTCCTGATTCCACCACTCGGGGTCCTGGATCGACTCGACCTCGCCGCGCATCACTATGATCTGACCAGCTGGCACAAGCTTGCCACCGCCGTATGCGGAGCGAAGGTGCTGTGGGACGCCGGATGGGGTGACGTCCCCATTCAGAGCCTGGGTCAGGCGAGTGACAAACTTGTTGCGCTGGTTAGGTGTTAGGGCAGTCGGCGGGTCTGAGGTCAGGACAAAGTTGCGGTCCAGGTCAACCACGAGAGCATCGTTGGGCGCGGTGAAGAGCGACCGGCATTCGGCAGTAACACCCAGGATGTATGGGCCGGGCTCTTGGACGAGCTCCTTCGCATGACGGGCATGCACCACTGGCACGTAGAGCCCACTCCACTCGTAGACGCGCACGCAGTATCGAATCGTCTCGGCGGCGACGGTGAGTATGGCGGGGTAGTGGCTCACAAAGATGATGCGGCGAGTCGGCGAGATGGCGGCTTCGATGACTCCCACGATGTTGGGAATAGACAGGCAAGCAAACAATGGCCACATGGCAAAGTTCTGGAAGCCAGTTGGGGACGACGGGAACTGGTAGCACAGCGCATAGTCCTTCATGTCGATTCGCACCAGGTCGTTGAGGCGGGGCGCGGGGAAACTCAGGATCCTCGAGACCTCCTCGGCATGGAAGAGGTTGGTAGCCTTGTTCCAGTGAATCCACATTCCCCGCAGGTAGTCACCCAGCAAGTTGTAGAGTGGGTACCGGGAGAGGAAGGACAAGCAGTAGGGAATCCAGTACGTCTCGTCGGTGTTGTCGTAGAAGTCGGGCTCCGTCCTCTTCCTCAGATCACGGATAGTTTCGGCACGCTTCTCGTCTGCGCGCGACCAGACCCTCAGGCAAATGCCGTAGAGGGTGTGTGAAGAGTCCTGCTGAAGGACAAAGGCGTGGTGGACGCAGTGAGGCTGGCTACGACCTGTGCAGATCTCGACGTCGTGGGGGAAACAAGCCTAGGGAACGTTAGCGCGACGTTCACCGCTCTACATGGGCGAAGCCGACTCACCCTCATGGCAGCGTGCAAGGAGCGAGCAATGTCGTTGTCCTGCTCCAACCTGGGGCTACTGCCCAGGATCTCTGGCAGCCAGAACTGGCCGACAGCACCCTTCATGTGTCCGATCTTGCCCTGAGCCGGGGCCGGGGCCTTGACCCACTGGGATGGCTCCCGGCCAACACCGCAGACCATGTAGGCATGTGTGAGGGTCTTGGGTGTCCGCTGCTGAGCTTTGGCGTTGAGGGTCGAGGGGATGGGCTGGGTGATTCTCGAATGCAGCGACGACGTCCGACTGGGGATGATGAGGTTGGTGTCGCCCTGGTCGCGGGTAGCAGGGCGGGCATCGCGATCACTCGTCCTCGGACGGGTGAAGGAGGTGTGTGCGGTCAGCGAGGGGGCCATGTTCGCGTGTGTGACCAAGGTTCGGTATCCGGATTAGGAGGGGGCGGGCGGGCGGTTGGGCGCTCGCTTCTAGAGCTTGCTGTTGGGAGCAGTTGTCAGGCTGATGGCCCAATTGTCCAAGGCGAGCTCGACCAGTGGTTATTCGGCAGTCCAGGTCAATGAGCTATCCAAAGGTGGTCCAGAGAATGTTTGCAAGAGGGCGTTAGTCCAAAGAAGTGGCTGCACAGCGACCTGTGAGTTGGGTATCGTAGTCAAAAAAGGAGCGGCTGAAGTCAGGACAGAAAGGCGCAAGGATTTCGGAATGCTGATCGAATGGATGCGATGCTGGGTAAGGCAGACCAGGACCGGTCCGAGACACTGGAATAAGAAAGAAAGAGCCAGGTTCCAGAAGTTTGATTTCGATTCCACGATGATCCCCCCAAATTTGCGAAAGCCCGTGTTGTCCAGATGGGTCCTCGCCGCTGACACTTGCAAGCAGGTGCAGATGGGATGGAGATGGGGACGAGGCAAGGCGACAAAACAAAAAAAGGGGGGCCGAGGGCATAGAAGAAGGGGGCGAAGAGAGGCGCAGAGCGGACTGAGCGAACCAGAGTTGGCGAGGTACGGAATACTGTGGTAAACGGAGGGAGGGTGGTAAATAGGAGGGAATCACACACACTCGCACAACCACACACAAAGATGAAGCGACGGCGGGACCCCGGCTCGACATGGGGGGGGCGAGGCGAGAACGAAAGTGGGAGGGTGGAGGTGGGAGAGCAGGGCAGGGCAGGGCAGGGCAGAGAGCTCCAAGCTCGGAAGCCAGCACCCACCAACCAACCAGCACCGACTGCCTGCCAGCCAGCCAGCCAGCCCGCCGGGCGCCGTTTCTTTCCCTGGTCGCGGCCGTGAATCAATTACAAGGGCCCCACGTCCTGAGGCTGGCTGGGCTGCTGGACCTGGACAGGAAACCGTTGGCAAACGCTGTGGTACCTACCAAGGTCGGACGCAGGGAGTACGGATACGGACGAGGGCACAGGGCACCACCGTAATTTGCGCACTGTGGGTCTTCCAGAAAACGGAGGCTGCGGGCCTGCAGCTGCAGAGACTCTCCACCTCACCGGCAGAGTATCTACCAGCCGCAGGAGTGGGCCCCCAAAAAAATGGAAAGCTCTCCCAGTTGGTGAATTGTACGTAGCAGCCCGTCTTGGGGCTGTGGGTCTCTCGATCGGAGAAACTGAGTTGATGGTGAATACCACAGTGGCATGCGGAACGGTCCTGGCGTACTGACGTACGGGAGCTTGAGGGCGAATCGAGCACTTATCGCAATATGATCTGACTTATGCAGCCGGGAACTCTTGACCGCCGAGCCCAAGTCAAGTCACGGTGGCTCCTTCTGAAGACTCGAGACGCTCTGTCAATGAGGTGCAGACTGCAGACTGCACCTACACTACACTACTTGAATCAGAGGGTGTGATGGGGTGAGGACACAGGCGACGACGGAGTTGGCAGCGTGCATCCGCGAGGCCGCTTGAAGGGCCCAGAGGGGCTCGTGCCATTATTCGCCTCGTTGCATGCCGCCCTTGCTGCCTTGCTGTGTGTGCATATGCGAGTTGATGCTGGTTCCCATCACAAGCTCGGAACATATGCTACCATCTGGGGCCTGCCGAGTCTGTGTTCCTGCTTATGACCTGCTGCAGCAAGATCTGTTCAAAGCCTAGATCGCAGCTGCCGCTAGTAGGTCTGTCACGATCTGGCATATATGAGACGTCCAGGAAGAACGGAGCCTGAGGGGGGAGGGAGATGGACCAGAGACAGAGACAGAGACAGAGACAGAGAAAGACATACGGTGGGTGAAAACGGTGCTTCACACTGTGTGCTGCGTGCCATCCGGTCCAGGGTCCTGAGGGCGGGCCCTGCCTCTTTCCCCTGGATCGCTGCTGCAAGCCCTGGAGATGCAATCCACAACGGGCCTAGGCGTGGAAGCCATGCAAGGGGCTCCATGCCAATCTTTCCCAATCGCACCTTCTTCAATTTTGCGCAATCAGGTACGTGCCCACGCCGTCCACCTGTCCCGTGTCCACCTGCAGGTCGCACCCACCCACGATGCAGTGCCAGTGCAGCACGGAACAGTACCAAGTGCGAGGTGCGAGTCCCACACCTGACCACAGGTCGCAGGTCACAGGTCACTCGCTCACTCACTCTGTCACTGTCTGACTGACTGCTCCACTCCCGCCCACAGCACAACATCATCGACGACATGATATATCCAGGCTCATAGTTCAAAGTATCAGTCGTCAAGACTGGTTCGCGAACCAACTGCCGGCGCCACCTATGTTAATTCTGCCTCGACAGAACTGAACTCTAACTTGACTGATACGCCAAGCAGCGCCCACACATCGTTCAACAGTCCATAGACTCGGTATCTTCACCCATCGCCATCACCCTCGGTCCGTCGACCTCCACGGCTAATGGCTGTCTGTTGCCACCGCCGCCGATGCCATTATCACCAACACAGGCAGACAGGCCGCACGCCAGCTAGCTCGCCATCGCACCTCCAGAGCATCCCACCAAGAACCATTCATAATCGACAGTCGAAAGGCTGGATCACGTTGAAACACTCGACTAGTCGAAACATGTCCGAGCTCTAATCCTCCGTAGATCCTGACACGCCACGAGCAAACCGCAACGGCCGGGGCGTCCTCCAACGCTGCTTTAGTCTACCACACTTGGTCGACTCCTGGCTGCCTGGGCTGCCTGGCTGGCAGCTGCAGTCGCACTACCGATGCCATGGGGGGAGGGGTCCGGCGGTCTAGAGCTGACCGTTCATCTCATGGACCACGATGCGGCTTAAACCGACCTCCATCAATGCTGGTCTGCCTCATGTTACTACTGACACTTGCTGAGTCGCACAGCCATCATCTGGTCTCTCGTCCTTGCCGCCACTCTGGCAGCACAAGCTCCATCCGCCGTGGCGCTGCGACTCTGCCACTGAGGATGACCTCACATGTGCCACGGCAATTCAGCGAAATCAACGTGGCTGACGAGCACAATCTACTCCGTACATCGTGAACAGCTCCCCTCGCTTACAGGCGCCCTGGGCAACGTGACGCGTCTCGAGGCAGGGAAGCCCTGATGTTGTTGATGATACCCTGCCAGGCTGCCAGGCCTGCTCTGTCGACGCTCAGCCGCTCGTCCCAACTCACTCCGGGCGATCTGGGTTCCTCGGGACTCCTCCCAGTGGCGATGCTCATGCACACCAAGCCAGCCAAGCACGTCAGCACATCAGCATGTTTTCGCTACTGCTACTGCTACTGCTACTGCTCCCGCTTCCGCTGCGAGAGCAAAGACGGTGCCCGGGAGCCGTGATCATCCACTTGCCCAAACCCGTGTCTAGCGGCCGTGTTATCGCCGCCGCCCTTGTCTCCACGGCGGCGTCATTCGTGCGCCTGCCGAGGGCGTTGCGCTTTGACCTCCCGCCATGATCCAGCCGTCCAGCTGCAATCTGCATCCGGCTCTGGCTGCCAGGCTGCTCCGGGCCAGTCGCAGGTCCTGTGGCGGCAAAGTTCGTAAGCCGACCCCATCCTGCGAGTGCACACATCCCCGACAAGTGGCGGCCCTTTGCTTTTCGGTGGTCGCTGAAGAATTGCGCTCATCTAACTCCGTTCTGCGTCACCAATGTCTGCAAGGAAACCCCAGAACCTCAAGCCAATCCGTTCCGCTCTGCCCCGGTCCTGGACCTCGGCTCGCCGCACACCGTCCGCAACATTGTACTATCTCTTGAGGGCCAAACCAGCACGGCCTAGAACGGGTCCTCGAGGGGGGGGGCATTCACGTTACGGCCCGGCTGGTCTTGAACACATCGTCAGTAGATCGTGCGGGGAGGCCTAATACGTGCAGTCGCGTCGATCAAGTTCGTTACAACCCCTCGCGCATGTAGGCCGGTCCGCAGATACTGCTCAAAATAGCGATGCATTGACAAATCAGTGTGATGGTCTGAAGGCAGTGAAAGGGTCGATTCCAAGAAGCTAGTCCGAGCGCAAGGGTATCATCGCCTCAAACTGGCTGAGATCAAGACATCAGATGAGGCAGGGAGATGCTTTCCCCCGCGTGCCCCGGTCACAATGATTTTCTGCAGTGCAGCACCCTGATCTGCGGACCGCCCGGCCGGAGAATCGTCGCAACAAATCAATCGAAGGGGCATCCAACGAGGCGTTCGAAAAAACAACCCGAGCCCCCGGTGCATTGCAGAGCATTCGCCGCGTTGACTCGAAAAGGAGCTTCACCGTCACATATCACACATTGACTGTGACGGTAGCTCGTATCAGCAATCTATACCGACCCTGCTATAGGTGCGTACTGCCAGGTAAAACTGCCCAGAATTTCCACCGAGTTGTCTCCAAGTCTTGTTCACCGAAGCTCGAGTCCCATGCAGCTCTCTCAGCCTGGTAACAGGTCCGTTGTCGACCAGTCCAAAGTACTGGGCGTCCGCAGCTGTTGAGGAGCCCTTATCAGTTGAGCTCCCATGCAGCCGGGATGGGGTTCGGGAGATTGGACTGTGGCCCCTCCGAATTTCCTCAAGAGGTGTCTCACGCATCATGCACTGCAGATCCACTGTGAACCCACTGTGAACTCGCTACCGGGCTACCAGACCCGCCGGTCGCCAAATATTCAGATGAATTACGACTACAAGACGACATAGCAGCAGTCCTCTGCGTGCGGGCGCCGGGCAGCCCGCACTACCGATCTTGAAAAAGCAAGTTGCTGTGCAGTCTGTCCCGACCGATCATTCCGAAGTAGCAATGGAGATTTTGACAGCGTGAAGGTTCTCATTAATCGCCCAAAGCCCAAGCTCCACTGCTGTCAGGACAGGGCGGTCCCGCGTACGGAGTAGGAGACTGCCGCCCCCATCTGTCAATCAAGACCGTCAGCTACGCACAGGCCTCCGAGGCAAACAGTAACGGGAGTGGAAATGCCGCTCTCACCAAACCCGTGCTGAAAGTCTGACGCTTCCGAGGACCTCTCTCGCGGTTCCACGGGCCACGTTTTTCGGTCAAGCAAATAGTCAAGGCAATTCTCGTCATTGCTCATCATCGATCGACCTTTCTGGCCAAAAGGCCGAGCCTACGAAGGAATGGGTGGAATGGGTGCGGGTGCTCGTGCCCTCGTGTGCCACGGCTTTGCATGTCACGGCTTGACGCACAGTGAAGGATCCACAGTATGAGACGGTGGAGGTCCACCTTCAGGCACGCGGCACAGGCAATCACCAACAGGAGTGCTCACTCCATCACCTCCACGGTATCCACGGCGGTCAATGTCTTTTTGTTTCAAACATATACAGTCGAGAGAGCATTTATCCGGCCAGTCGGCCGCCCGTCCTCAACAACCAACAGGCTGGCTGGGCCTGCGTTGGGAGAGCAAATTATGTCGAAAGGGCGGCATACCTCGGCATACCTTCTCGAAGCATCTCAGACATCGAACGATAGTCTAAAAGAACTCAACCCGATTCTACGGTTCCGCTCAGACATAGGCAGGTTTTTTGCCCCTCCAAGGTTTGCGCTATTGACACTATCATCAAAGAGGGAAGACCCTCGTGACAGGCATGGTTGTGTTAGTGGTTAGCCCTCTGATTGGGAAGAGAAACGGCCAGAGAGAAACGGACCAAATTCATCGACTTACGACGAAGGGGAGCCCGACACACAGACCCCCCACCCCTCCATCACACAATACGCAGCCAGGAGGAGGAAGAAAAACGGGGTTGTTTCCCCAATCTGCCTCAACCATGCGACGGGCGGAAATTAGTCCCCTGCCCCCTGCCTGTCCGAATACCCCCTGCCCTGTCCCCCGGCAACTTTCCGATTAGCTTTCCGTTCCTCGAAGGACCAGTCCCCTACCACTGGTTGCAGCCACTTGGGGAGACACTGATGACGCGCTTGGCTGCTGAAGAAGTCTGTCCAGTCACGTGGCAGCCGGTGTTGGGAAGCACGGGCCGTTTCCAATGCTACCTCGTGCAACAGCGATGCCGGCCGGCTGGTTGTGAGGCCTTCAGACAGATGTGTATGAAGCATATCGACGGCTCTGAAGCGCTTGGGTACCTGCCGTACGTCGCAGGTCGTACATCGTACTTGAAGGCCAAAAACAGGTTCTCGGTGATCCGAGATCCACGGCCGGGCCAAGTGGGAGTCCCGGGAAATCAGTGGGGCGCTCTATGATCTTCCCCGTCTCGAGCCTTTTGCCCGAGAGCAACACGAGGCAGGCTTCCACTGAATCCAAAAAAGACTCGGCAGAACATTTGGGACTATCGAGTCAACCCGAGGTCTGACAAACTTTCAGCGGGCCGCGCTCCCAGGAACTCGCTGGCTCCGGTTGTTCACCTTGTCATAACAAGGGTCAAGGTGCCGGCGCCCTGGGATGCCTCCCAGCAACTATCGCCAAAAGCCACCTTCACTCACTCCACCACAAGGGGAAATAAAATCAGTACCGCGGCTGCCTGCGATGGAGCTCAAGCGAGTCAACCCACCGGGCCTGATTTTGGACTCCCCCCATTCCCAGTGGATGCTACATGTCGTATATCTGAACCCAGGGGCACGCGATTAAGGTTGGGTGGGACGGTCCTCGCCTCCACTTGTCATGATTTGCTCAGCAGCCCTTCCTCTACCCTCTCACACACCGCAAATCTGACAGTCAGCCCAGCGTGCGATCGGATGCTGTGCTTGGGCGGAGAAGAGGTTCCTCGCACGGGGAGCAAAGCGGTAGCGGGACGGGCTCTCGGTTAGCGATCGAGGCAGAGCACGACCGACTGAGAAGTCCCGCCTCAAAAGCGCGTGGACGATGAGGCCAATGACTGACTATTTTGGATCAGCCCGAGAATTATTGGCTGATGTTTGATGTGTTCGGACGAACACCTGCCGACCACGGTTTGGAATGCCCACATGGTGGCCAATGGCCAGCCAAAAAAAGCGACATCTGGAGCACCTCAATCCACACATCTGCCCACCTTCTTGTCCTTTCTACGGTCCGTCCCGCTGGTGTGTGTTGTGCATGTGTGTGACGGCTCACATTTGTTCCTCTCTCGCGTGGGTTATGTGTGGGCTGGCCAGGTAGATAGGTCCCACTTTGGCGCCCACGGGTTCATCTGTGGCATATGCGCGTCTTATTTTGGAGGATGCTCGATTTGACATATCATGTGGGTTAGGTCTGGTGAGCCGGGGACGTGCATTTGGTGGCTCCCAGTTTGACTGCACTTGATTTTCTGATGAGTCCGTGTATCTACGCTTCGCGGGCGAGTTGTATGCGTGCCCAGTGCTACGGCTCGAGTTATTACTCAGGTTCGGATGGCCAGCACCTAGGTCCGTCGGCGCCTACGACGTCCCTTGGGCAAATGTCCCTTCCCCGCCTTTAATCAAAGTCTATCGAACGTGGCGCGACCTTGGGTTCTCCTTCAATGTGGCTCTGGCGGCGTTTGGAAATGATAAGGCACCGTCATAGACCCGGATGTGCGGGAGTTGGGAACCACCGAGCGCCTGTTGCTGGCCAGTGAGTGCTACATGCTCGTTGCTCGCGCTGCGGGGTTTCGAAGAAGTGTTGATGGGATGGGGTGAACGAACGAGTCTACTCTATGGTTCTGCCCTGGACGTTTACATGCTTCGAGCCGTAGGTGTGAGGTGCTCGTTTTTCCGAGGTCTGCACCTCTGCTTTGAGACGGAGCCAGACATCACGTTGACTGTGTGCTTAACTAGTAAGCGTGTAGTCTCTTCCACGTTTTCGTACCAGTCTATAGGACGAACAGTGGTTCATCAAGTGCAATTCTAAGGATACCTAGGTAGTATGAGGCGTAGTCATAACCTGTGTTCTAGCTCGTGTATGGGCCATCTGTGTCCTTTGGGTTCCTCTTTTGAGCCGGTACGTAATAAGTGTCTCATGAGGACAAGGAACACTTCATCGTTTGATTGAAGCAGTGGGTCTGGCTATGAAAAGTCTCTGACAGTTCTGCTGCAAATTAGTACTCCGTCAGAAACCACCAGTATGAGCCACCAGTTGAAGCGTTGGGCCGTGGCCAGTCAACGGTCCATTCGCACTAGTAGTTACTATCGGCCCGCTAAAATCGAACGTTGAAGCCATCGAGGGACACCAACAGCCTAGTCTGACATCGCATGTCTGTGGTGTATAACCGTGAATGAACCCCAGGGACAGACGTCGGCGTCCGCCAGCGCGCTGGTGCCCAGGCAATAAGGAATGTGCGCCAACAGGCGCGCGGGCTAAGCTATGATGCCGCCGTGGACAGGGGCGTCTGGTTCGGGGCTTGTATGCTATTCTGCCACAACAGGTGTATGGAGGGTAAGAAATGGTCAAAGTAATCTAGCTGCATATGCTCATACGGCAAACGGCTTGGACCGTCACGACGGGGCTTGGGTACCTCATGGACAAGGGAACAAAGCGGTCGGGAAGGGTTTGGACGACGTTGGCTTCTTGGGTTGTTCCTGTTTACTTGGCTTCGTGAAATTGAATCTCAGGTAGGCTGGTAATTTTCAAAACAATGAGAGCCCTATATTTATTGGATCCAATCCGGAACCATAACATAGCTGTACTGACCAGCCTCGTTTTGTTTCTAGCTCTCATGGGGCTCTACTACTCCTAGCAGCTGAACAACAGCTAGGTCGTGATAAGACATCACCTCTATCAAGTTCAGTCTCTATTGTGCCGGCCCCCTCTCCTGCGTACTTTTGTTCCGTCTGGTACTATCACGAATTACTAGTTGAGTAGCCATGACGCCAAATTACCTTCGCTTCGTTGGGCCCCCGGGCTCAGGGAGTTGTCGATAGAATTTCTCATATAGTGGTTCTGCGTTTGAAGCCGACAAATTTGCCCAAAATTCTTTGTTATGGCTTTTTTGCCACTGAACCACTTTTTCGCCATAAGCAATCTGGTACCTCTTGTTCCCGAGGCATCTTTCTCACGGTGATACTGTGCTCATATCTGGATAGTCAACAACAGCCAAGGATGGGGACAAGGCATTTGTCGTGTCCTGTCTTCGGCTTGCTCAGCTAGCTTGTATCTCTCGATGACACAGCCGCCACGAGACTACACATGTATGTATGCCTACTCATATTGTGAAAATGGTTTCATTTCTCTTACTTATACCTAGGCACGTCCAAGGCCATACACGGCGCCTTCATCGAGTGTCATATTGTGAAACAAGGTGCAATAAGCCTTTCATTACTACGAGATCCGGAGGAAGGGCAGTCAAAAAACAATTAAATAATTTCTGAAACCGCTACATCGAGCCTGAGCTCTACTAGTAGATAAATGTCACGCAATTAATGCACTATATGCATCTTGCCTCTCAGCCTTCGCAAGGCCGGAACGGAAAACAGTCACCGCCGTGTTGGTAAAAGGTCATGATACTTGGAATTTTGGGATGATCCTCAAGGCAGTTAATATACTTAGGCCTGGAAAACGGTGAGCACATACGCCTGTCGGCTCACAGCCATATCAGACACTCAGGAGGCCGTCACCACGGTAGCCTGCTCCACGCAGACCACGCCGTCAGCGATAACTACACCTGCATGTTATGACTTCCAAGTCTCGAATACACTTTGCGTAAAAAGCGTGACAGAATATCCCAATGAAGAACTGGCGGCAGGTATCTTGAAGAAGTATACCTACGCAAATAGCTCCTCTCAGCCTCGACAGACAACCTGAACTGCCCCAGCCAACCGCCCGAGGACGTCTCATAGATTTCACCCTTGTGGATCAACCACGTTGTTGCTCCCACACAGCGGAAGCCAGGCATAAAGAAAAAACCAAACGGGGCCCAAAGGCAAAAAACCTCAGGAAGATTGAATCAGATGTGTAATTACCACATCTGCCTCCGCCACGTCCACCCTCTCCGCCAGCACGCCCGGCCATCAACCACTCAACGCACACCGCCTGCCATCAATCAGTCTTGATCACCATAAGCACCATCAGCCCCTGCAGCTCGAGCACCGTCTACAAACCACCCTCGTGGCGGATAACCATGGCACACAACCTTGTTAGCCACAAATAACACCCCCAGGCACGCCCAGCACACATCCCGGACGTGGCGTCACTCACTCACTCACAGCACTCACTCAACTCGACACGGCCTCAGATCCTCCGACTCGGGCTGGCACACAAGACAAGCCCGCCAGAAGAACAGTGTGTGGCGAAATAAAACACAGCCACATTTGACACCATCCCATCAGGCATGCCACAGTCATGGCTCAAAACAAGTCTCCAGCTCTTGGTGCGCCCACCAGATCATCTTGGCAGCTGGCTGGCGCGGATGGGATGTCCATCACCGGGGGGCAGGCCCGAACCCGTCTGCTCCACCCTGGGCAGGTGCTTGCCACTGCCTCTGCCGTACTGTTATGGTGATGCAATACTATAGCACGCTCATCGATACCGGGACCGACGCGATGGAGAGAAAGGGGATAACATCGGGCGTCGATAGCCTGACACAGGCCTCGGTGATAGGAGGGCAACAGCGCTTGAGGCATGTGAAAGCGATGATGCACATGGACAGAAGGACTTGATAAGTCACGCATCCAAGCGAAGGACCTTCACCAGGTAAGAAATCTATTAGCTATTTTGCCCCTCTGAACACCCGTAGAACGTATTTCTCCCATTACGATCGCGTACAGCACCATCGGTAGCAACAGCAACGACATCAACAACCCCAATCAGCAACCAAGTCTTAGTCTTGAAGATGCGGACTAGACAATATTCAACCTTGCTAAAAAGCAATCGGGCCCATATTCATCGTGTAGAACGGCAATGTAGAGGCGTGAAGCGACAGTTATGATGCCGAAAGTAGTAAAACAGGGCGAAACGTGAAAAGCAGGAGAGCACAATGACAAGTGCACAAAACAGGGATATCTCGACGCGCTGGCCCCATCACGAACTAAATCGGCGGGCAAGACCAACGACTTCATGTTCGGAGCTCGACGTCATTCTCAGCGACTTTGGTGTCTTGACCTTCCTCACCGTGGGGAAAGTGGACTGCTAGCGTTTCTTCCCATTGCGGCGGGGGGGCTCAGAGCCCTCACAGCCCCCGAAGTCCTGATGGTGCTTAGGGTCCTCACGTTCCGACAAAGCCAGATACTCCTTGTAGTCCCGATAATCCTTCTGAGGGGAGTTGTAGTAGGCAGAACCGAGACGTCCTGCTCTGTACTGAGCGACCTGTTTCCTCCATTCGATGCGACTGGCAACCGCCTCGTCCCTCTTGCATGAGCCGGGAGAGGGATTCGGGTAATTGGCCCCGCATGACTCCTAGTTGTTGGTGGCCTTGTCCACAGCATTGTGGGCGTCCTCCTTCTTCGCGCTCAGGAAGGCACCGATGAAGCTGACAGTCTCGTGGGTGAGGACGAGAGCGGTAGAGATGGCGGCCTTGCCGGTGGAGATCAAGGCGAAGCCGGCATCATTGCCGCCGTTGGCCTTCTTGTACTCGTCGGAGTAGAGGCTGATGACGTGGTCGCGACCCTCGAGGCCCTTGTGGTAGGGGAACAGGATGATGCCCTTGGCATCGGTGTACAGCTCGTTGGTGGGCTTCTTGACGGCGGGGAAGCGCTCGTCGACCTTTGTCAATGCCTTGTCGCCGAGGTCGTCTACCTTCTTAACGTAGGGCTGGACGTATTGGTAGGGGCCGTTGAAGTAAGGTACAATCGGGGCGGCAAAGGTCTGGTAGGCCGAGTCGCCGAGCTGGATGGACTTTGCGCCATAAGGGTTGGACTTGAACGTCTCGATGCCATCATGGACAACGTGGTAACCGTACAGGTGCTTTTATTGCGTTAGCCTTTTGGTCCTTGGGCACAAAGCGGTCCAGCGCAACCGGCTTGCGGAACTGGATTCCGCTACGGTGGTATAGGGGAAGGCAGCGAGGGTATTTACCTTGAGGAATGAAGAGTGCGGCACATCGCCGTTGACTTGAACTGCCGACATTGTGGGATGTATGTGGGAGTGTGGATGTGACGACAGTGGCGCAGGTTGGATTGGGAGCACCCGAGGTGAGGCAGCAAGGGACGAGATCTGACTCGTCTTTGGCAGGGCGATTGAGATCTGACAAGCTGACGAGGGCGTACGGGGTCGTATGCGTGTGAATGCACGTCTCAAAGCCACGGAGCGGGTGGTGTGAAGCTTGGCCCAAGGGCTGACTCGTGATGTGATGATGGGAGAGAGAGGGGAGAGAAGGTTGAACGGCAAAGGCGCGTGCGAGGTCGTGTGTGAGCAAAGGGGTTGCGTTGGTATGTAAGGCTAGGCGAGAGCAGGAGGGTAGGAGGGGGGCGAGGAAGGTGAAGGGGGAAATCTTGGGAAGGAGGCGGGCGGTGGAATGGAAGCTAAAAAGAAGAAGGGCGTTTCTGGTTTCTGCTGCTGCTGCCCAGTGCTACCTACCTGCCTACGGGTGGATTGCCTCTGTGGTTATCGAGTGGACTGACGCCACGCGCTCGACGGTCGCAACATCAATGGGAGACCGAGAAAAAAGGTGGGCAGTGGGGGGAGTGGACCCCCTGCTGGCTGTCAGATAAGGGAAGCACATCCAGCTGGCATGTGAGAGAGGCAGCAGAGGTACTCGCTGGTACCTGCCCAGCTGCCCAGCTGCCCTGCTGCCCACGTCTTCTGCAACCACTTACCGTTCTCGTCTCTCCAGGGAGGGTAAGCTCGCTTGGCTCGGCAGCTGGAATGGGACAGAGGTGGGAGTAGCTTCTCTGCCCTACTGGCCTGCTGTTTTCTGGCCTCGCACTTTCCTACCGCTGCTTGGTCCAAATCTGGCATATTTGCAGAGAGGTACATGGGCATACATACAAACATGCAAGCTGGATGCTTGGTGGGGCCTCTGCCGTTCCTTTTTTTCTGCGGAAAAGAAGCTGTGAGGCCGGGGCCCCCCTTGTCCCCGAACCCTGCTCTGATGCCTGTCCAAAGCATGTGAAAGATGGCTTTGAGCTTGCAAGCCTCCTCCGCCTTCACACGAATCTTCTGTCGTCCTGCCTGTCAGAATGCCCCCTCCGACGTCGACGCGTGTCCAATCATGCCCCGGATGGCCCTTCCCTGTGCTCGCATGGCATGGCATGGCATCGCCCTGCATCACGACCTGCAGCTCTGATACGGGCGACGAACATGCTTTGGCAGCAATTGGCTTCTCGAGATGCAAACCCTCGTTCGAATTGGCACATTGGCTGCGCTGGGTCGCCTTTCCCTGCCCACATTTATTTATTGCGTGACATCCGGTCCCCTTGAAGCCGGCGATTCCGCAACATCCAGAGCGTTGCTCCATGCCGTGTCACCCAAATCCGGGAGCACGTCTTCCTCCTCCTCGCCCTGACATGCCCCGTCGGCGGTCACGGCTGACGACAATGCGAGAATGGGGACAAAAGAGTCATCTGTCCAACCAACCAAGGTCTGTGACAAACTCAATCGGAGCCACCCCACATTCAAGGGTCGTTGAGCTCGGCCGCGGTTGACGGCTGCAGCTGCTCGCCTCCCCGGATCCGCGGTACCCGACGCCGTCGACACATTCACATCGACATCACGACAGCCTCAGGCACATCCCAGGCTGGGCCAGGTAACCACGCCACACCACGCCACGCCACACGTTGCAGCCGAGGCGCTTCTGGATTGCTACCCACCTCGCTCATTACCGGCCCCGAAAGGCCAATTTCATCGGGTGGCCACAAAGGGCTGTCAACTGACTGTCAACTTCCTGCATGTGACACCAACCGCACGAGTTGACCGGCAGACCGGCAGACTGCCTCAACTGCCGCATTGTCTGACTGTTTGGCGCCCGCACATCACACATCGCACATCGCACATCGCCACAAGCCTCGCCGGATGAGCTGCCACTTAGGCCCGGGGATATGGCAAAGAGTCCCGTTGACCTGTGTCGCACCTCAGGTGCCACACAACGGGCGACGCCACTGATCGATGCGCACTAGAATCGTGACATGGGTGCGCTGTCGACCTGCCAGCCCGCCGCCCCTGGGCCCCACAGTTCAACCCGAGCTGACGGAACAGGGGCATAAACTAGATCGCGTTGGCATGCCCTTTCACATGCTCGGCCGTCTCCCGTGGGGCTCGAACCGGGGAGAGGCAGGAGTGCCTCCCAACAACCAAGTCTGCGAACATCTGCTGGGCCCAAACCAACATGGTGACATCGTCGCCATCTCATATCTGGCATATAGTGGAAGATATACCCTCGCGCTTGCATCTCCTCGGGCAACCATCTCTTCCTCTCCTACCTACCCTGCTCAGCCCAAAACAACGCCCAAACCACGGCCCAGAGACCTGTTGATGGGCTCATAATCCGATACTACGTCACCGCCCCTGCTGGCTGTTCTAGTCCCTCGGGGCCACAACCCGCACCGTTACCGACCTTGATCCCGCCTTGGATAGCATGTGCTCCCGGGTGGTAGATCCTAGGAGCAGCCAGATGCGACCCGATCGTTAGGAACTAAGTTTGAGCGACAAATCCCCCCATTCGCAGGCGCCACGCCCGAGACCGGCCCGCAGCTCAGCGGCGTCCCTTTTGAAGAGCCGCTTGTGCAACATCAGCCGCCAACAACTTGGCAATGCAGGGGGCGCAGCGTAAGCCAGCACGCCTGTTGGTTCACGGTTCCTTATTACAAAAAGAAGAAGTGACCCCAGAATTGTCTCAGCTCCGAAGGAAGCACGGTTTGCAGCCCCTGTACCCTCCATCAACCTCCCCCGGGGGGCTTTCGGCCGGGATTCAACGCATGAGATGGCGAACGAGTCCCTCAACAAAAAATACATCTCTGCAGAATTGCAGGATTTGCAAATAGCAACACGTCACGGTTTCCTGAGGCGATCTCCGGTGAGGCCTTTTCACGGCGAACTTTGTCAAAACGAGCCGCGCAACAAGAAAAAGCAAAGGGAAGCCCCGCCGCCCACGACCATGGTGCTGACGTCGCGTCTCCCAAGTAGCGCGGCGCATAGCTGTCGGACTGCCAACTTGCATGGGAATTTCCGTGATGCTCATAAACCGTCATACTTCGCGGCTGCGCATGCAGCAGTCGGCCCATGCGCATTAGCCATTGGCCCGTCTCAAAGCCTGGGATTCCTGCGGCCTAGAACGCACGCCTGGACGCAACACAACATGGAACGCAACGTCGTATGAGCCCAGACCTGCTGCGTGTTATCAGACCGAACCGGATTTGCGACACGCCCAACTTGAGGATTTCCAATGGAAAGCTGTGTCAGTTTGCGGCGCTATCCCACCCTCAAGATAGGTCGGTCCCCCCTAATTCCAGAAGGGGGATGATGTCCACTCCTCGAGTTGTCAACTAGCTATAGCCAGAGTACGCAGTGTTCCAATGTGGCGCAAGGAGCCACGAAATCCAGTGACAAGCAGGCAACCTCTGCGTCTGCTGCAGCGCCGCCTTTGTCCCACGTGTTGGAGCCTGGTTCTGTCGAGTGGCGGGACCATGTGACGTTGAGCAGCATGCGCCTAGGACGCTGTCACCTAGCCTCCGCATGAATTGTGCCTCCCCACAGGCACCGACCGCGGCTAAAGAGGCAAATGTACTGCGTTGTATTGGCCTCGGTCCCAGATTTGATGGTCAGTGAGCGCTTCGCGAGGTCGTGTAAATGCGTACGTGGGACTGCCTTGCGTTCTCTTTCCTGTTCAAGCGAACGGGTTTTACGATGTGCAGTGGAACTGGCTTCGATAAGGCTCATGCGACGCCTGATCATCGGGGGCAGTCTATTGAATGGGCTGTGCGGAAGCAGAAGTTGTCTCCTCTTGACCATGTGCGCAGCACGCACCGAAGCCTCTCCGCATCGAAGTTCAAATACCTGCGGCTCGATCCATCAGGACGGATGATGTGGAGCCCGACTCCGAGTCACTGATGCAGGCGGGGATATCTATCTCGTCTTACTGCCCTACTGGCCGGACGCTTAGTCTGCGGGGGGATGATCTGCATGGCCCGCGGTGATGTCTTGCATTTGCTCCAGTGGGGATCCCTTTCGTTATCCTGTGTACCGTCATCTGTGTGACGTGGGGTCGCGGACAACGGTGGTGTGGTCTAGTCAATTGCGGTACGGTATTGGTGGAAGACAAGCCCTCAGTTGATCGGACCGCCGCGGGGTGAGATTTCCGGGACTGGCTGTGTTCCTCGGATGAGGGCCACGTTGCGACTGCAACTATCAGGTTGATTGTCTCTGGGCAGTCGTGCTATCGTGCTATCTGTACCTGGGGACTGCTTTGCGGCCCAGCAAGGGTCCTCTGAGGCCCGGTCATCAGAAGAGCAGTGGTGATGAGGGTGGTGCTCGTTGCCCAAGAAGGTAGGCCAGGGTCAGACCCATCTCAGTATCTGTACACTCACTCTTCCCCGACTCTTATGAAGGACTCTATCGGAGTGTTACCTGTGGAATAAGCTTCTTTTGAGCAACTCTACGCCGGCCAAAGCCTAAAATGACCTCCTTACCACTTCAAGCGGGATGTGTACGGATTAAGAACGAAACCACTAGCAGTAGCACGAATCTAGTGTCTCCGAGCAAAGCTATTAATTCCACTCGCTTCTTATCAACGGTCCAATAGTACCTCGTTGTTGATACATTAGTCGCAGCAGCTATCTTTCAACCGCGCACCTCCTGCGTAGAAGAAGGCGCATTTAAACAGTCGAGATGCGACACATGAGGGCCATTCCGCATGGAGCACGCCGTCGTGATGGCCTGGACTAAGCACCTGGTTGCTCCTTGGTTTGTACCCGTAGCATGGGAAGTCTGGCCGAGACGCACGCATACTAGTATCTCGGTCAGGCTCAATATACACACACCCCCATACCCACATACTCAGTCTAGGGCCGCCGAAATCTAGTAATACACTAAGCTCGGATTTGAGCGTGAACTTTGTTGAAGGCTGAATATTCAGGACGATACGATGCATTGGGCCCCTCGTTTGGTGGGGGGTAGGTGATGCCTAGGTCTTGCTAAAGATAGATTATAACCTAGGTATGTGGGCTTAGAAGCTAGTATTAGATATATATGTTGAGTAGTTACTCCGCCACATGAACCCCTACGCGCATGGTCATAACCTTGATAACTTCACATTCACTGCCTGCACGGAAAAGTACCCTTTAAGTATCTGACTTGAAGTGCACCTACTTCCAAGGGCTGGTTTGGTATGCTGAAAGCTTCCAAGGTTTGCGGTGTAGCGACTAAAAAGGGCAACCCACCCCCGCCATACCGACTTTCTAGGTAAGTACCGTACTATCGTCCTAAGGGCTTCGGTAACGGTCGCCTAGGGGGACTAATAAAAGCCCTAGAATTAACGGTTCCTTAAGAGGTAACTATTTATCCTTTAGATACTAGCTTTTAATTAGCTCTCTAGTTGTAAGGTAGGAAAATAAGATTAAGGAAGTTATATTATAGGATCTTTAAATTATTACCTATAAAGAAGAGGAATAGATAGGAAATTAAAAAAGTATATAAAGAGATAAGCTTAGAATTAGCTTTCTCCTTATACTACTAAGCTTATCTATATATAAGGAAGACTTATAAAGTACTTAGGTAGTCTTAGTCCTGAAGCTGTTAGGAACCTCTTTGGCTAACTGATTCGAAGCTTGAGATTAGTTGTTACTGAAGGAGGAACTATTACGAAAGATGTAACCGTTAATCCTGGCAAGGAACCGTTGCCAAAACCCATAGTTTCCCGGTAGGGTAACTTGTCTGGGAGTGAGAGCTGTCTCAAGCACGGCAGCGTAAACTTGTTCCTGGCTGGTCTGGATTGCGCGCAGAGCGGCTAAACTACCTAGCCTAGATGGTTGTGCAAACATCCCCAGGCGTTGACATTGTATCGGGGTACGTTGAAGTGCAGCTCAGGGGGCATAGCCTTGAACGAGCTGACTATGATTGTGGGACTTCAGAATTGGACGGGAATTGATTGAAGGAGTCATAAACGTCGAGGATCAGGTATGGCCGGTGTGGAATCCGAGAAGGTGGGAAGTCTTGGGTACCCTTCCACTCGTGTGGACTTCGACGGCATGTCTCAAGTGCTCACTTTGATCGGACTGTCCACGACTTCTTGAGCAGCTTCCGCTTGAGCGAGTCCTATAGCAAGCGCACACACAAAATGGGAGAGCTATCCCTCAACACGATTGACTCTTCCACCAGACTTTTCGCCATCATGGACAAGGCAAACAGAAGCGATTGCTTTCACACTCGCAAGGGCACAGCGTAGAGTTTACAAGCTATCGGAACCTCAGACATTCAGGTCGAATCTCCAGATCACGGACTATAGCCCGCCGGCGCCAGAAAGCAAATAATTTCACAGAGATTGCAGAGGATTCCTCCTCTCCATTTTTATGAGTTATTTGCATTATTTTCGGCATATCCCAGGTAACGGCCGCCGCCGCATAACAGCGGCAATACCCAAGGTTTGGACGACATCAAACGATTCTTCGAGGACATCCCGACCTACGTGCGCGAGGAGTTCGTTTGTGTACAGCGAAAGGTGCCGGAACAGGACGGCTTAGCCTTCAACGTGGCCGTTGAGAGCTTCGTGCTCGCTGTCTGAGGTGGCTTGAGGTGCTAGGGATGGCACCCTGCCGAACATCGAGCTTAAACATGGGGGCTTTCCGAAGCCGGTAGGGTACCTTACCTTCGAGACAGACTCCTCCGCCCCAAACAGTTGGGAAATTCAAGTGGCGAGGCTAGGACCCAGATTTTTGCAAGGGTTACTCTCCTTGGACTCCACCACCTGACTTCCTACATCCGCGCGACCTATTGGGGTTTGTGTGGCAACACGCTATACTTCAGCGTCACTTCTGTCATATGGTCAGACCGAATTTAACCCTGCGTGAAATGATGGACAAGCATTTTGGTTTCTCCCGATCTTACCTTCACATCAATCCAGTGGAACCTCAGCATCGTTGGAGGGCCGTGGGCTGGATCTTCTGGGAGGATCCCGAGCGACTTGCTTCTTTGGACTTGGCCAGGTGCCTAGTGGATAGGAACTTCGTGTCCAAGAACGGTGCCCTATCGCATCTCGAGCTGAAAGCTCGACCCTTTCTCACGGATACGCTCTAGACCCATGAGACTGGGAACACATCGTTCGGGACTTTGCCACTCCCAAGGTCAACGCAACGACGTTAGGAGTCTCTTCAACACGATACGCAACCTGCATCTCGATATTACTGGAGGCATCATCTCCTCCTTTCGCCACCGGGGCGCGGAAACTTCTCTAACTAAAGCTAAACAACAGTGATTGACCGGGACGGCAGATGGGTGGGAGCTGGCTGCAAGGATGGCAATTACTAAGGACTGAGTGAAGACTAGCAAGGAATTGTCTTGCAGGTGAATATCGTGTGGGAAATCTCCTGCGAGATAACGTCTTTCCACCAATAGGCAATTAGTCTTCACTTTGTGAAGTGCAATATCGAGTTTACTCAACCCAGCCCATCAGTATAACTATCATGGGATGCTACAGATTCCAAATAGCGCCCCTTCATTCCCTGACCACAACACATTCTGACCACATCACGATTCCTCTGTGATCACACCCTAATCAGCGAATTTTACCCAGCTTGGGATGTCGATCAATGTTGCTGTCACAGCCGAAAAGTTTCGGAATTCCGTGGTAGGTAGGGCACATAACCCCAGGTCTCGTATTGCTGAGGTGAGGGACTACTGCAATTCCTTGGCCCCCAATACGTATGAAGATGAGAACCCCTGGGGGATGTGGGCGAATCAAAGCACCCGCTTGTCTCCCCATAGAGAATCCCTCAATGTAACTCACCTTGTGCCTATACAAGACGGCTACTATTGGCAGGCCCAATGATCAGCCTCGAGACAGACAGTCACCTAAGCAAGTTAAAGACCGAGCTACTAGTAGGTGCAGAAGGAAGTAGATAGGCATGCGAGCGAAGGACAAGCAAAGTATCGTATTCACCACGATGTGGATACAATGCATTTTTCAAACATCCTGCTGGGTGTGCTCACTGATGAGTACTTAGTTGGGCGAATCACATTGTGCGAACCGGGTCGTCGACACGGCCCTTTGTTCTGCCACAGGTCCCGTCAACGACCTTCACGCCGCCTTGACCAGTGGCCTCACAGCGTATCATGTAGTGCCCCCCGTTCTCAATTTATCTTGGTTCTTTTTGCCACCTACCTATCAGATAGACTGATGTGGGCGAGCCGGGATAAGAAGGGATTTCGGAAGGGGCCTGGGGTCAACGGCCGGCTTAAAGCGAAATGGGCTGCTACTAATATGTACTTGGGCATATTATTTCTTAGCTTGATCACCTCGTATCTGCACTGCAGATCACAGGTCAGATGTCTTGAGTTAATTGAGCATCATGTATGATTCTCTGTCCTATGACAACACTTCTTGACGAAGACACCTCGGGAAAGGAGTCAAGCAGGATCTAATATAGCCTGTTCAGCTTCACTGCCAGCTACCGTCAGCATAGCTGTGGATCATTAAGAAGGATTGGTATCAACTCACTTCTGGTGTTGTTTCTGCACAAGTGCCCTTCACTATACAAGGGTATGAATTGGTAATCGAAGTCAGTGATATAGTCAGGCCAAGCAACGGGCGCTCATGTATAAAAGGAGCTTTGCAGCCCTCCAAGACCTCGAGTTCTGTTGGACAACAGCATCACAATTCTTCTTCTCCCAGATCCAAACAAGATTTCCAAATCATCCATACCTCTACAGAAGAATCATGCAATTCAAACTGCCCCTTACCATCCTTGCCTCCTTGGCTCTGGCTCAGGGCTTCAAAGTCCCGGCCGACGCGCAAGACGGAGCATACATTGTCCAAACCGACGAGTCGGGCCAGGAGACCTTGGTTCTCGTGGAGGCCATGAAAATAGGGGTTACAGGCAGGCGCGCCGAGGCTCGCGCGGAACTGAAGGCTCGGGACCAAAACGCGGTGAGTATATAAAGCCCGAAGAGACATCGTGAACCCGTCTGCACCTGCGGCCCTTCTCATCTCCGTGAAGGAGGGTGAAAGTGAGGGGAGGAACGAACGCCAGCCAGCCAGTCGGCCAGAAGGCACAGGTCCTAAAGAATGGCTGACTTCTTGCGCGTGATCTACTACAGTGCGCCGCGCGAAGCCTGAACCATGGCGACACCGACGCGGCTGTCAGCAAGCTCAGGGGCTTCTGCGGTGGTGGCCAGCACTACCCCGCGCCCAAGCTCTTTTACAAGGTCGGGTCCACCGTTGCGTACTCTTGTGACTACAGCGGCAACCAGCTTTGCTACTCCTCGGAGGCCGAGCTGGCCTTCCAGCAGATCACCAGGGCATGTGGTCTGTATGCCAGCGGCTGGTGAGTACCCCGGGCCGTTCTCAGTTTTTGCTTTCCTCTTCAGCTCTACATTTGGTGGTTGACCGAAGTTATCAATGGAAATATGCTAATTGCTTGTGATCCTTTGTAGGTGGCTGTTCGGAAGCAACAAGAATTACGGCTATGATGATGTGAATGCTGAGTTCTGCGGTAATCTGCACTGATTACATTCTATTCAGGTGGTGACCTTGTTGTGTACTCAACACTCTGATTTTCGTTGGATGTTTGAGTACTTGGTTGTTTCATTCATATTACAAAAGCTAGATTATACTCCCTCTCGGGTTTAAACCATCCAAGTCCAAAGCTCTATAATTGAAACCCATATTTTCACACGTATTGCCCTGACTGAAGTAAGCCGTTCTTTTACAAGAACATCAGAGATTTGCAGAGCACAAGAACAGAGGGTACATAAATACAAATGCGTTCACCTACCGACAGGCAATCACTACCTTTTGTGTTGTTGCGTCTGCACGCTAGGACAAGGCCTGTATTTTGACCTTTACGGCATTGAACGAGTTCAGGATGTAGGCATCCATACTCCCAGTTCATTTGAATCCATCCTCGGGAGGCAAAAAACACCCAGGTGCCAGCAGGGGTGACTTCACTTAGTCGGTGGCCTGAGAAGTCCCCTCAAGTGCTGCCCAAGTGGTCACGACTGATCACTTGCAGCCCGATCCAAACAGAATAGACGTGTGACGGTATGGGCTTATTGATTGTGGATTCCAAATTATGGCAACTCGGAATTACGGTCTTTTGGCCGGGGTGTCTGTTGTGCAGAATTCTCTAGATCCATCTCAAGGGCCGGGAAATAGATATTCTCAGCCTGTAGTCGAGTCTCTCACTACACCCACAAGTGGCCATGTGCTTCAGCACGTGTGCACAGTCAGAGTGTCACTATATCACAGCCTTAGAACTTTAGATTATGATCTCAGTTGAATTGTCAAAACCTCAATTTTACCATGTTCAATTCTCACAACTAGACTTTTCTTTGATTCTTCATCCCGAAAGGTTGGAGGAACCCGTGGAGAGGCTCGGGTTCGGCTCAGCAGCAACAGACCCTTGTAGCCTATCCTTATCATATCAACAGCTTATCGATAACAACTCCCATAATTTATTTGACTTGCCCAGCAGCACCCCGGTTGCAAACCAAATCTCGACATTTTACACCACTGCATTTGCATATTCGTCGGCGTTCTTTTGTTTTATTTCCTTGATACAATTTGGGAACCAGCATACCAACAACGTCTAAAAGCACCCATCACTACAATCCCCATTACCTGACTCGAATCCTACCACGACCTCTCACACGCGCCGGGCAAAAAAAAAAAAAGATGGCAGACCCGCTGCTCAACACGCTGTGCAGCATCTGCCACATCAGCACGCCCAAGTACACCTGCCCGGGATGCAACACGCACACGTGCTCGCTGGAATGCAACAAGAAACACAAGTCCTGGGCCAACTGCTCCGGGAAGCGCGACCCGACGGCCTACATGCCCCCCTCAAAACTCAAGACCGCCGCCGGCATCGACCACGACTACAACTTCCTCTCCGCCATCGAGCGCGAGCGCGAGCGCAACCAGCGCGAGATCGTCGACGAGCGCGGGCTCTTCTCGCAGAAGGAGCTGGGCAGCCAGCTCGACGACCCCTTCAGCTTCCGCAAGCAGTGGTTCGGCGATGACGTCCGCTTCCACCCCGTCGGCGGCGGCGGCGGCGGCGGCGAGCCTAGGATGTTCGCTTCCGACGGCGAGGACAGCGGCGAGGACGGGGCGGGGCCAGGGGCAGAGGCGAGGCACAACAGGAGGAACATACCCGCCAAGGCGAGCCAGCTCACGCAGCGCGTCCGCCAGCGCCTCGCGGCCGAGAACGTGCGGGTGGTGCAGATGCCCGTCGGGATGACGAGGCAGAGGGAGAACACGACCATGTGGAACCGCAAGGCCAGGCGGATCAACTGGTGCGTCGAGTGGATGCTGTATGGAGACAGTGGCAGCGGCGACGGGAAGGAAGAGGAAGAGGCGGGGCTCAACAAGAAACCCACGAGGATACGCCACAACGCGCTCGAGACGATGCCGCTGTACAAGGCGCTGGGGAACTCGGTGGCCTGGTACAAGAAGGGCCAGGAGGCGGGCGACGACGCGGCGGACGACGAGGACGTCGAGCCCGCGCAGGCAGGGCGGCGCAAGAGGGTCCTGATCCGCGAGGTCAAGGAGACCGAGCAGCGAGGCGGCGGCGGCGCGATGACGATGATGATGCAGGACGGCGGCTCCGCGACGTGGCACCCCAGGACGCAGTACCCGACCCAGAGTCCCTTCACGGCCGCGTGGTCCAGCGACGCCGGCGCGACCACGACGTCGTGGGACGCAGACGGGGAGGTCGAGGCGCGCAGGCGCCACAGGTTCTACCTGCTCCGGCCGCTGACGGTCGCGGGCAAGTCCAAGGAGCTGATCCCCGTGTCGGCGACCGAGGACCTCAGCGCCGCGCTGGCCGGGCGCACCGTCCTCGAGTACCCCACCATCTACGTGCTCCCTCCTCCTCCTCGCCCCTCGGCCGACCCTGCCTCCTCCACGGCGGAGACGGCATCACCACCGCTTCCAGAGGGCCACGTCCTCGGCTCGACGGAGCGCCGCCCACCCCCGAAAAGGCAACAACAACAACAACAAGCCGCGGCGGCGGCGAAACGCAAGGCCGCCCCGGGGTCCAGAGACGATCCCACGTCGCGGCAGCAGCCATCACAGAAGCGCCAGGCCATCAGCGGCGGGGGCAGAGGCGCAGGCGAGGCCGGGCTCCCGGTGCGACAGTCTGACAGGAGCCAGCGCGGCCGCGGCAACGCGACCACCTCCGCACGAGGGCGGGGCCGGGCTGGTCGCGGCGGGGCAGGAAGGCCCACCCCAGGGCGACGACACGCCGGGGCGGCGGACCCGGATGCGGAGGAGGGCGAGGTCAACAGCGACGGGGACGAGGTCATGGCTGCGGCGGCGGCGGCGGCGGCGGCAGAGCGCGCGGACACTAGCAGTAGTGACCCGGACAGCAGCGGCTCGAGCGACGATGACGACGAGGAGGACGACGACGCGCAGGACAGCGGCTTCTGGCGGGCTTCAGGCCGGCCGCGAGGGGGTGGGATGGTTGTTGATGATGGTGATGAAGGAGCCAAAAACAACAGCAGCAGCCCGCGCAAGGCCGACACCACCGCCTCGGCGCAGGCGGCACAGGCCCTCCAAGGGAACGGCACCAAGAAACCCGGCGGGGGCGGCGGTATGGGCCTGGTAGACTACGGCTCGGACAGCAGCGGGGAGGAGGAGGACGGGTCCGAGGATGACGGGGACGCCGACCCTGCGACGCTGAAGCCTGAGAACCCGGAGCTGGTGGCCGGTGCCATCCAGGAGATTGTCGGCTTGCTTTCGTGAGCACGAACGGAGGAAGTGGGCAAACTTGAACCTCTCATGTTGTGGTGCTGTCTTGTGAGAGATGAGACAGACACCCGTCACAGCAAGGGCATTTCAAAGATGAGCAGAGTTCAGAGAGCATGGCATGAGACCGGAACGTAGCTTGTCATTTAGATCAGGCACCTTCATCAGGGGAGTAGCTCCCTCGCCGCCATGACCGGGATGACACGGTGGTGGCCCAGAGTCCACGGGTGACAAGGGAAGAAAGACTGCCTAGGTATCTAGCTCCGCCAAGCCTCAAAGAAAAAAAATCAAGCCCGTTCAACAGTTGAACCGGAGCAGCTTTTTCCATGTTTTGTCCTTTTTCTTTTTCCTTCCTGAGTGGTCATCGTTTGATGAGATGTGGTTCGGCTTTGGTTTTGATCTCCCGCCACCCGCTCTTCTTCGCACCGCAACCGAATATCGATGGGGCTGTAGGTAACCGAGGGCGAGACCACTCAGAACGAGATCCAATCTCACCGTTACCCTGTGTTCCTCTTTGGCATTCCTTCTTCTCCGGCCTCCTTCAAGAAAGGCAATGCGTGCCTAGACGCTGGCCGATTCTGCTTTGCCTCGCCTCCCATTCCCTCATTTCAGTGCTAGTTGAATTCGTCCCTTCGCATGCTGTGTCAATAAAAGCAAAAAGTAGAATTCCATTCCGTTCAGACGCCTTGACAGTCCCCCCGCTCATGTCCTGCGCCAGTGCCATTGCACGCTCCAGGCTTCGTCCGCGTCGATATAAGACATAGTTGCATGCTAAAGAGAAAGAAAGAAAAAAGGCATCGAATACGCTGGATGCCCCTTTGCCGCCCCCCCTCGAGCAGGAATCGAGGCTCATCGCAGGCGGCTATGATTCATCGTAGTGGTACAATGGTCTAGTTGACCATGAGAAAGACACCCTGGTGCCGTGAAATGATGCAGACGAGATAAGGCCCAATTCGTGTCAGACCGGAAAACGTATCGTCATTATAACCCCCCTTGGAAGGACCCCGTTGCAGTAAATTGCAGTGGATTACTGGTGTCGAAAAAACAGATTGTGCTCCCTACTGGGGAACACTCTGCGCATCGTTTCGAGGCCCTCGGTAGCCACCGCGGCCACGACCGCCGTAGCCTCGTCCTCGACCACCACGGCCGCGACCACGTCCTCGGTAACCTCGGTAGCCGCCGTCGACGCTGCCTTGGCCAAATGTTTCGATGTTGCGGTTCTGTTCCTCGGTGCGCCATTCCCGACCACCTTGCCGCTGGCCGTTATTTGCCTTGCGGTCCTTGGCTTCGCTGGAGATGTTGTCGAAGAAGGACTTTGTCTTGTCGTAGACTTCCTTGGGCTCAGAAGCAGCGCTTGCCTGGCCGTCGACGGCGGCATCCGGGGCCTCGGTTATTGGCGAGCCCGCGATCCTCTCCTTGACAACATCTTCCTTGTTGAACTTCGCGTTGGCCGTCGCGAAATCGAAGTCTGAGTCGGGCACCTCGACCTTGGTATGACGAGCTCCGCCACGGCCACGGCCACGACCATTTTGAAGGCCGCCTCGGCCTGAGCTCATCCTCATCTCATTGACCTTGTTGGTCAGGTTGTCGATGCTGTTGCCATTCGTCGAGTGAGCCGCAGGGCCGACCGAGCTACCTGGCTGCTCGTTCAGCTTGGCCATAGCAACAGCAACTGCAGCCCTAGCTGCTTCCGTCGCGTCCCTAAGAGCGGCAGCCGAGTTTGTAGACGAGTTTACGTTGGCGCTTGCAGCAACTGTCGACTGTGCGGCCCTGGCTGTCATTGCAGCAGGAAGAGGCACTGCCGGGGTGATCCTGGTCAAGCCCTTGGGACCAGTGGGGATCTGCTTGCCTGGGGCCGAAGGTGCTGCGAGCTTCTCTCCAGGCTTCTGGTTCTCCAACAAGGCAGCCGTGACCTTGACCTCTTCCGCGGTCGGTTTGGACGCCACGGGAGGTGTGGGCGCCGGGGCTGTGGACGAGGGGGCCTGGACCTGGCCAGGAACTCGTGAATCGGAGGGCATCTCAACAGGAGCCGGACCAGGACCCCTCGACAAGTCTGCCGCTCCACCAATGGGTGTTGGCTTGTTGTCTCCCTGGGATTGCATGGCATTCGGAGACATACCGGGTGTCTGCCGCTGCTGCCCTTGCTGCTGCATGCCGGGAGGGCCTGGCGGTCCGCCTGGCGGGCCTTGAGGGAAGGGGTAGTTATTCCAGGGACCTGGCCCGTTGGGAGGGAAAGCCTGCCCAGGAGGGAACCAACCCTGAGGTGGGTAACCCATGCCAAATCCTCCGGGCCCAGGAGGACCAGGCCCAGGTCGGCCCCAGCCTTGTGGGGGTGGGTAAGGAGGGAACATGTTGGGGTTTTGAAATCCGGGTGCGCCTGGGGGGCCGGGAGGACCGTTGGGGCCAGGGGCTTGGTTGGCACCAGGTGCGCGTCCTGGATGAGCGCGAGCCTAGGAGGAGAAGCATTAGCTTTGAGTCTCCATTGAGGAATGGGTGGCAGCAGTGGGTGGTGTGATGACAGCTTGATCAGAAGGAAGGCAACGGAAATATCAACATGGGGTTGTTTGCGCAATTCAGACAAGAAATAATCTTTACATCCGAAATATTTCATCATGCTGAGAGAGAGGGCAGTAAGGAAGTCGAGGTGACTCGAAAAGGGGGAAGCACTCACGCCACCGACGATGGCTGGATCGTTGGGCATTGGAGGCTGGTTTTCCTTGGGCGCAGCGGGACCCTCCTCAATGCGCAGATCCTTCACATCGCTGCCTCGGAAGACGATGAAGTCGTAGACCTGGTCGGACGCCGACACCTCCTCCGAGGGGTCGCCCTTGCGGCCTTCTGAGCCATGTGATCTGACGTTCTCTAAGGAGACGGTGGACTCGTTTGAGTTTATTTCGTAGAGGGTGCCGACATAGCTGTTGTGGGGCATGTCAGTCAGCGGATGCTGGAGCTCAAGCTCAAAGCTCAACGTGTCCAGAGCGCGCGCGCAGGGGTGTTAGGCAGGGTCTCGTACCGGATGTCGCTCTTGGATATGAGGGAGATGCGAGCTCTGTGGTCATGATGGTCAGCATCTGCAAGGCAGGGCGGTCAGGCTTGTTGCGATTGAGCTTGACGCAGATGCAGCAGAGGACACGAACCCGAGGAAGTCAGACATGGTGGCGTGCAGCCTGGACCTGGATCATCCAGATCGCGCGGAACAGAATTGATTAATGCGGGAAAGAAAAGGAGAAAAAGATTATCTGCATCAGCAAGTGCGTATGGAGATTGCAGAGCGCACAGGAAGGCGAAGAAGGAGAGTGTGGTTTGAGGGTGTTGCTGAAGGGGTTTGGCTGAGGAAGATGGGAAGGATTGGAAGCGGGCGAGTTTGGTGGGTGGCTGGAGGGACGTTGTGAAAACTCCGTGGACTAGTAGAGTCTTTCAGCAGGCCTGAGCGAGAAGCGGGACAGCTGTGAGGAGCTTGACCTATTGGTGGCACTAGTACCCTCCTGGCTAGTGCCCTGAGCCACACCTCTCAGCCACAGCAGTCTCCGCTTAACAACCTTGGAACGTCAGCCGGAACCTCGAGTTTTCGAGCTTCATCAGTCCTGTTGCCACGTCACAGGATTGCGTGTCTAAGTGTCTCTTGAAGATAAACAATTTGAATAAATATAAAATATTGTCATTTCTTACCACTCAAAGATGTACCCTCTATTTTGTGACGAGATGTGTTGACTGGATGTTGGTGCTCGAGACCCAGCAACCGGTGACTGAGCCTGTGTCTCAGGCGCATACAGTACACTTGGTCGACGTTCAAAGATGCAAGGTGCCAGGGGGGTCGATGGTCTGTGCGCCACACCCAACATCGCCTCGTCGACTCCAACTGCGTCGTCTTGTGCCTCACCCAAAACATTGTCCCTGGGAGGGAGCATCAGCCTGTGCCTTCGAAAGCAAAGAGATATCTCCAGTCACCACCATGGGTCATAATTTGGCCCGCAGGCTCTGTGCCTATAGGAACATGCCGCGGCTTTGCTTACCGCCGTCCGGGCCCAGGCCTGCCTTCAGGCTCAACCCATTCCTGTTCCTGGTCCGCGAGCAGCACGGCTCGGCTCACCCTCCGCTTGCTCAGCACCCGCAACTTTTCGCCGGACTTGGTGACAAGATCTTCGAGACATCGAGAGAGGACCTGGAACCTTCGACTACCCGTGTCTCCCAGGACTCGGGATTCAAGGTCGTCAGCACCTTCAATGCCATACCAGGAACAGCATCTCCGGTTGCCGTGCCAGGTCCGTCACTTACTGCAGCCGCGAGAGGCCACCAAGACTGATCAGAATACATCACCCATAGGATCCCCCCCGTCCTGGAAGGCCCCCAAACTCCCATGGCGCCTCCCAGAAACGGCCCGTGAAGCATCTCTGTCTGAAGTCCCGCTTTCAGACCAAAAAAGCATGCTTGATCTCTCTTTAAAAATTAAGCATTCTGATTTTGAGTACGATGGAGTCGATGTTGTCACCCGCGCTTCACTTCTTGTGAAGCTTCTCATGTTCTGCCGGAGAAAAAACGGCCTGGGACTTCGTCGATTTTCCCTACGCATGACCCAAGACACCCTCCTTATCGCCGACGACCCATCTGTCATGTCCACCCGGGTTGGTCCAACGGGGGCTTTACGCTCCGTCGTCACTAAGCATTGTGCCGAACCAGCACCGGGCCTCGAACATAGCACCCACTACCGCAGCGTCCAGTATCAACTCGGCCAGGTTAACTGCGTCGTCCAGTCTGAGGTTGGTGTTCTGCGCAGTGCCCCGCCTAGCGAGCTTCCACGTCGTCGCCGTCACCAGACACAGTCATCTCAGCAGTTAGCCGTGAATCCGGTCTCCGGAGAACCTGCCTTGATACAGATATACCACAAGATGGAGCACCAGCGCACAGAATTCAGGGGGCCTCTAAAGCCACTTCACTGGTTCAGTCGAATTCCAGTCGCCTTGATACCTCGGTTTGCCGGCAATGGGGAAACCATCACTGAATTTTCCAAATACAACGTTACAGAAGCAGCGGGGCGATGGGAGAAAGAAGAAATGACCCAGGTTTGGCTGCGGAAGCTAGCCACGTTACTGTCCGAGCTGAAGAAAGCCGTTAAGGCCGCCGCCCCCGACGGGCAAGAGTGCATTGGCATCTTAGACCGACAAGAAGCTGTGCCCACAATACAGCTGTATCTTGCTGAGGGCGAGTCCAAGAGGGCTCCCGAGGACATTGGTAGCAAACCCGAGCTCGGGGAGACAAGTCGCGGGCAGGAGGAGGCTCTGGGCGGAGGCGGCCCGGGTCCAACCACCCCAGCATAAGCATCACCAGACAGGACAGGAGAAGAATCATCATGAGAGGGGGCGCGGCGAGAGGACAGGTGTGCAAGGGAGCAGAGCTGGCAAGATGATGAATGCCGGCCGAGGCACCGACCATGACCGCAATTCGGGGTCTCTTGTCACTATTTTTGCAAGCCCCGATTTACAGTCACGCACAGTATACCCAGCCACAGGCGGCACCACACAGACTGACGGGGAGCATCACCTCGCCGAATAAAGCCCCCACCGGGCAATTCCTGGTAAATCCGATGACACGTACGGTGTCGCACTGGCTGCTCTTTTTCTATTTTCCGGCCTGGAAGTCTTGTTGGTGTTGCTTGCAAGCCAGCCACTCTAGTTGATGCGCGTGGATTGGGGCAAAAGCTGTCGGCGGCGACATCAGGGACGTAAAGGCCCGGGGCGCTCACGGACCAAGCTTGGCTGTGGTGTTGTTCGTGGGCGATGGCCTGCGATGGATGCTAACGCCATGTGCGATATCACCAGATCCTGGATCGGATGAGATGAGCCCTCTCGCCTTCCGGCGGACTCCTTGAGGGTGTCATCAACTGCCAATCCGCGTTCACCGCTGAGGGAAGAGAGGATGGATGGGTTGCTGTAAGTGTCAGGCTTTTTGTGGTGGCAGGCCGACGGATCTGGTCTTTTTTTTTTTGACCACGAGCGTGAGAGCGATGCAAGCAATGGGTGGGTTACGGCCAGGCTAAGAAAAAGCTTCTTTCACCTTACCTCCGGCAGTGGTGATGCTCCCACGGGCCGCGGGAGGGTGGCGCCGAGGCCTGTGGGCTGGCTACGACGGTGCGGTTAGGAGGGCCGGGCACTGATGACACCCTTGACACCCTTGACACCCAGAAGGGAGCATCGAGTGCCAATGTGGCAATAAGGGCACAAGGGCCACGCCTTGGCCATGTTGTCCTGTTACAGAACGGTCGTAAAATGCACTTTGGAGGACACACGTGGAACCCAGCAGGTAAGGGGTTTGTTTGCCATGAGGCCAAGAGCCAGCTTGTCGCTCATTATTATTATTAGCTCGCCCCCCTGGTAAGTTTAAGAGTCGCGGGCTCGGCCGATCTGCCCCTGCCAGTCAGTGGTGGTTGCTCGTGTCTGTGCTGGCCCCGAACGCCTGCTAGACCCGGACTTCAACTTGAAAGACTCGGATAATAAGCAGCAGACGCGAGAGCGAGCACGGCCTGGTAGGTTCGAAGCAGTTCTCAAGTAAACCTTCTTGAAAGAACATGTACGGCAAGTGTCGTGGACATACAATTTGCGGATCCCTACGTCCTGACTCGCTGGCTGTTTCTTGTCTGAATTCGATCCTGTTTCAGGAGCTAGGCAGAATGGGATATGCCTGTTTTGCATCTGATTGATCTTTTTGGCTTCCGTCTCTTGTTTCCCAGCAGGGGCGTGGTGTCCAGTTGTACTGCCAGTGTGCCTGGGTACATACTCTGGCAGCAAACCGCCTGTGCTGTGTAAAGACAAAGGAGCTGAGGAGATGGGACTGATATGGGACGTCTCGTTGATTATTGCGGACACGGGCGAGCGTCCCGGACTTCCCTGCTTTTTTTTTCGGAGAAAGGGTGACCTTGTCAATCAGGGTCAGTGGCAGTCAGTTTTCTAACAAATGATTCTTGACAGGAGCGCGAATGCAGCCAGGGTCCAGATTTAAATTAGATTTTAGGTGGTATTACCTGGGTGGGCTGGTCGAGCGAACTGGTACGAAGCACAGTCAGGCACCGCACAGGAGCTAGCGGGATCGGTAGCGGCGTTCTAAACACTGACGGGGCTAATATAGCGTGTCGTGTCGATGGGCGTTGGAGGGGATAGTGGCCTGGCTATGTATCCTTCCATGGCGTCTTGCAGCCCCCTTTTTTCCCACAACACAACCTGTAGGTGTTTGTTTATCATCGTGTTCCTCTTTCCAAGTCAGTCTCAAGAGGGGAATGGGCCCAAACACAGTTAGATTCCCCGCCTTGAATCGTACGTGATGATAGTGCGCTGAGTAACGAAACGCTTTTCCCACCGGGGCACCCCACGTGGTCCAAGCTGCTGCCTTGGAGGGGTTATGGTGCTTATGCCAAGGATTACGAGCCTTTTTTTTTCGCCCTATCGAGAGGAGGAATCAAGCCAGACTGGCCCAGAAAGGGAGGCCACATGGGCTCATACCACAGTACTCCGTACACGTATATGCGTCTTGCCGTATTTTTGTGCGAGCACGCCAGCCACAGTCGGCGGGCATTAACAGCAACAGCCACCAGTGCGCTGTTTTGATTAAGCTGATGAATTAAAATTATACCTGGAGCACTCCGAGGGCTTGGGACCCGCCTCAACCGAAACCTAATACAGTGGGTAGCCACCACCAGAGCGTCCGTCATCTTTGTCCTCCCCTGCCCCCCCGGGCTGATCTGGAATCCTGGGGCTTTGATTCCAAAGGGCAGAGGGTGTCGTGTGCACAGCTGAGAGTTTTAAGAGACATGGCGGCGACTTTATTTTCTTTCCCTCTTTTGTCTTACCTTGTCAGAGATACACACACATACTTAGCCTATCATCCTACGAGCCTCGCCCCGGGTTAAAATTCCCCTTTGTTTGTGCGGGTCCCCGAGGTCGATCCCTTCTTCAGCTGAGCGGGTTGGTACAATTTGTGTTACTTTTCAATCCCTCCCTATTTTATTTCCCCACACCTCAACTTGTCCAGACTCGGTAGGGACCGAGCCATCCTGTTCAAAGTTTGTCTGAGGTCTCTCTATCTCCGCCTGGGTGTTCCTCTCTCGAGATGTAACCTTGGGAACCCAACCAGCTGCCGACTTCCCCTTTTGTCGTCTGACCTGCTGTTGCTGTCGCCGCATCGAGCCAAATCCAACTAGGGTGATCCCTCGCCTGCACGCTTAATTCTTTATCTGCGCCCCAGGCCCGCCTCATCCCTTCCCTGGGGCCCCTCTTGCCTTTCCCTACCTTTCTTGGTCGATCTCAACAACTTCAAGTCCCTCCCTTTCTACCAGAGAAAGGGCGGCGCGCCAGCCATGGCCGTCTTGAGCCACCACCACTCTTGGATGCCACAGAGGAGGCTAGGCGTCTGGATCGTGGCCCTCATCCTCATCGCCACGGCGTACTATGCCGTCTGGACAGACACTTTCTCGGTGGACCGGTTCCGGGCACAGGGCTTGTCCTCAGCCTCGTCGGCCCCGTCGTGCGATTGTCCCGTATCACAACAGGAGAACAGCACAGGGACAAGTACGACTGTCACCCACATCTCATACGTTACCGTCACCCGCGATGCACAAAAGACGGCCGCCCCCACGGACCCGGCCTCGGCCTCCACCAGCCCATCCAGGCCCCACCGCGACCCGGAGTACTTCACCAACCTGCCCAAGGAGTACGAGCTGGCCACCGAGGACGACGACCTGTGCACCCTCTTCTACACGGACGAGTACGTCTACGGCATCGCCAACAGCTCCACCCGCCTGTGCGCCGAGGGCTCCTACGTCCACGGCTTCGAGGTGCCCACCAACCCGCACCACCACAAGCTGGCCGGCGCCACCCCCGTCTACCTGATGCAAGGAGTGACTTGGGACCCCACGAGCCGGACCTTTCACGCGCAGTGCGGCGACGACCCCAAGACCGAGAAGGCGACCGTCTACGGGCAGGGGCTGCCCGGGCTGACGTACGACGGCGGTGCGGCGCTGGTGGCAGAGACGAGGTCGACGGCGAGGTCGACGGGCTGTGACAGACACAGCAAGGACCGCCAGCTGGTCATCTACCCGGCCCTCAAGGAGAAGTACGACAACGTCTGGCACAAGCTCATGGAGCTCTGGCAGAACAAGCTGAGCTACGACGCCGCCCGCATCGCCCTCGACCCGGCCACGGGGCAGCCCTTCCTCACCGCGGAGCAGGTCGCCGGCGCAAGGGTCGTCTTCCCGGACGACCACGAGGGGCCCTGGGACGACGCCTGGGAGATGCTGACGGGCAAGCCGCCGGCCCGCTACTCGGAGCTCGACCCGGACCTGTGCTACGACGTGGTGGTCGGCACGGTGGGCTGGGGCGGGCCCTTCTGGTCGGCGCTCCTCAAGACGACGTACGAGACGTGCCGCCGCGAGACGCTCCTGACCCACTTCACGCGCTGGGTGCTGGGCTGGTACGGCATCCCGGAGCGGCCGTCGTCGGACGTCCGGCCGAAGCCGACCATCACGGTGGTGCAGCGCGGGTCGACGCGCAAGTTCCGCGACTTCGACAGCCTCATGGAGAAGATGCACGCGCAGCACCCCGGGTATGCCATCAACGTCGTCGACCTGGCTCTCATGGGCAAGCGCGAGCAGATCGCGCTGCTGCAGTCGACCGACGTGCTCGTCGGCCACCACGGCGCCGGCATGAGCTACGTCATGTTCATGCGGCCCGACTCGGCCGTCGTCGAGATCCTGCCGCCCTTCTTCCTGTCGCGGGGGTTCCGCTGGGTCGCGCGCATGCGCGGGCTCGTGCACTTCATCGGCAAGGCCATGTGGAAGGAGGAGTACATGCAGGCCGTCGAGGGCATCCCCGTGCCTGAGGGCTGGAAGCCCTCCGTGCAGGGCGACGGGGACGCTGCCGACTGGCAGACTGAGGAGTGGATCTGGATCACGCACGAGGAGGTGCTGGGCCTCGTCGATGCGGCTGTTAAGAGCCAGCTGCATTCCCTGGGGGATAAGATGCCGTAGGGGTGATGGGAGTTGGCCTTTTTTCTCTTGTATAGACAGACCATGTTAAATTTCTGCTGTATATACCCAGACTTATTTGATACCACTTTTCAAAGATCGACTCTGCGGGCGCGTGGGCGGGCAAGCTCGCATATACTTTGAGTTAAATGCTGCCGATCCTTCCTGTTATTGAATGCAATGTACGTGCTAATCTGAACGTTTGATTAAGCTGCCCGGTGCCCCATGTATTAACTCTGCGATCATGCACGACATTCTGGATGCTACCTCAACTATACCAGGGTTATGTTATAGCCCGGGGATGGATGAGCCCCCCTGGGCCTGGCCATGATGAAATGAGATAGATCATCAGGGACAACTGACCTACCTAGGTACTAAGTAGGAAGGCGGTCAGGTGCGACCTGTAGTCCTCCTATCCACGACTTGAACCGCATGGGCTGATGCAAGTGATCTCTTGCTGAATCCGTGTGTCTTCTCCTGGAGCAGTAACGAACTTGTTGTCTTGGTCACCGACCAGCCGCGCTTGTGTCCAAATGCACCAGCAACAGTGAGTCTGCGGAATGAACTCATCACGATCGACTCTTGGCTTTCATCCTGTCGGGCAAGTGACACAGCATGAGACCAACAACAAAGGTCTGTGAGTGGGTGTGGTGTACAACATCACCGATGTTGGCCAACACAGCACTGGCGGTCCTCTCGTTCTCAACCAAAGACGGTGGGACAACTGGAAGTCCTTTATTCGGTCCTCATCAATCCACCTAGCTCAGTCATAACATGGCATCGACTCTGGCCTCTCCGGAAAGTATAAATAGCGGATGAATTAGAGGTCATGGACCTGATTAACTCTTATCTTCATCCTCACACACTTCAACGTTTCAAGAGACAAACCAGCTCACTCTATAAGACCACAAAGGGATTCAGAGGCGCCAAATCGGAAACTTCAGCCGATAAATTTTCCATCTACGGGACTACTTAGATCCTCCCAAAGCACCGACCACCTGACCAAATGACTTTTCCGCTTGTCAATCGGCAGGAGCCAGAGCAGCGTTGCAAGGAATGCCAAGAGACTCTCAAGGCTTGCCGTTGCGGGCAGCCTCGTGAGGACATCGTAGATCCCGAAGGCGCAGGGGGCGCAGAGGTCACAGGGGGCACAGGGAGCGCAGGGGGCGGAAGGGCGCCGCCGAGCACGCCGGTTAGTCGTGACTGAGCTCCAAAGGTCCTCCAGAAGCCTAGAGAGCCGGCACACTCATGTTGGTTTCTCCTTTTGGGGCAGGGCAGGTTGGCCTTTTCCCATTGAGCGTTGGGAGTTAGATGGCCGGTGAGGAAGTGAACGACGGGCGTTGCTCGTTATTGTTTTGGGGTTGATCAAGTTGCGCAGCTGGTTCTGGTCATGGCAACTCGTAGTTGACGCTTAGAGCGATTATATCACAATTTTGGCCAACAATTCTCCGCCTCGGCGCCACACAGCCGCTGTGAATGCCGAGTGAGTGAGACTGAGTAGCACCTGATCAAATGTAAGGCACGTTGTGAAGACGGTGTGATGGGTGTGAATACCGACGCATCAAGATCATAGACGTTGTAGCGGGCCTACCTGAGAAGCGAATAAGCCAGGCTTAGTGATGCATACCCGTACCTAGGCAGTCTGTCAAAGCCTCGTGATAGATTGTATTCGACCCTCTGGTGTTTGTCACCCAACCACTACTCATTCCAGTGAGCTCCCACTAAGTCTGGGAAAGGCCCTTGTCACGACGCTCTCATTATTTCCAAGGTCTCATCCCGTCGGAAACCCAAGGTTAAGTAACAGGGCACACGGCCAACAACAAAGATCCACCAGTGGGCGTGGCTCATACCTAGGTAGCATGCGCATATGTTGGCTGTTACAGCACTGGCGGTCCTACTCACCCAAAGACACGAGTCCTTTATTCACTCCTCACGTGTCCCACGTCAGTCAGAAAGGAGCGGCTTTGATCATTTCGTAAATTATAAATAGCTGTCAAGTCAACAGCCATGTATCCAACTATCATTTCGGACATCGCACAGTATCACAAGAGAAGTCCTTCCGCTCTGCAGTCAAAAGCCTCGATAAGCAAGGGACTTCGACCCCCCTCCCCTGACAATTCGATACCAAGATCATACAACCAAGTCCCAAGAGAGCCCAGGACTGTGAAGCAACAACATCTCTCGATTATTAAGTCCTCCAGCTACCGCAATACTTGGAAGCCCACCAGACCAACAACCAAGCACCGAGCCCAATGTCCGACTCGCCTCGTCAGACAAACGGCGAGACCCGTTGCCAGTGCGGGAAGCATTTGCCGTGCAAGATCCATGATCCTGAGAAGTCCGTGCCGAATCCCAGCCCCGGACCTCGCGGAGGGGGCAGGGGTGGCAACCCACCGCCGGCGCCGGCGCCGGCTCCTCGCCGCTGAGCTCCCACGGGTCCCCCAGCAGCTTAGCGAGCCGAAAAACTTATGTGACTTTTGTCATTTCGGTGTGGGACAGGGTCCCCCTCCCTATTTCTTTTTGGTCTATTGAGAGTTGAGGGCTAGACGGTGAATGTGGTTGGGAACGACGCGCATCATCGACTCTGATTACGCCCGGCAGTAGGGGTTGGTCAAGTTGTGCAGCTGGCGCTGGGCGTCATGGCAACCTTTGGTTGGAGATTAGAGCGATAATATCACACTTTTGACCATTATGTGGCTTTCTCAGTGCCAGCCGTTGTGGATGCTGGTTCAGTGAGACTGATTAGTATTGCGCGTAAAGTAAAAGCTATTGTGCCCGGGGCCAACTTTACGCACAAGTACGGCAGAGTACATGTCTTGAAGTCACGCTTGGTTCCAAAGCGGAAACCCTTCTTTATATCCTCAAGGCACACATTTATTTTACCAGCAGCAGCCTTTATCTTCTCCAGGATCACCACTAACCTAGCCGACGACAGAGAGGAACACTGGACTCTCGCCGCCGATGCCGACCCAGCCATACAGTCGTTTCCACCTGACCGGAACCCGCGAGACGGACACGTACACGTCGAAATATCCCCAGAATTTCGGAAGCGTCTGCAAGATGGATATCGTGAGGATCCACGATGGTCGAGAGTTCTCGACATGATCAATCGAAACAACGCCCTAGCCGAAAACACGGCCGTCTTGGCATCCGTGAGGGCCATCTTGTTGAGGCCTCGAATGTCAACGACCATTCGCCCTTTCCGGGCGCCATCCGGCATCGTCCGCCAGACGACGAAAACAGGGAAAAAAAAGGGAACGGATTGCTTCGTTCTCTCAATCTTTCTGGCGCTCTATAGTTTTGCGAGGGTGTCATTTACGACTTCCGAATCCTTCGATGTCATGGGGTAGACACGGCATTTTTTCGGAATCAAGTCTTGCCAGTTATCCCGCAGACGAACCCTGAGCCATTCTTCTAGTTCCCAGGTGAAGCCCACTGAACAGCACCGCAAATTTGGAGCTCTTCCATAAACGGGCCTGCTTTGACCTCGTCTTGACTATAGTAAGCAATAGGAAGACAATGAATTGTGATGAGCAGCAACTTACCTGGGAGACCAAGCCAACTCCAATTTGGATGCATGCGAGTCTGTATTTCCTTGAGTTTCCTGTGTACAGGGGCTATATTGATATTAAATCCACTGCCCTGACGCAAACGTGTAGTAACCGACGTTGTCATCCTGTCCATGAAGTCCTGGACCATGTTTAAAGTGGGCACGTCAAGGTACATGGAAAATCCGTGGCAATCGAGGTCTGTGCGGATGAATTCCAAAACTCGCCCACGAGACTCGATGAATTCAACCAGTACCTCGAAGTCTTGCAACTAGACTCAGAAGGAGAATGGCCTTCAGACGAAGAGGTGGACGAGGAGGAGGACTATGGCAGTAGCGACCATGCACATGGAGGCGACGAATCTCCCATGCAACGCCCAGTAATAGACCTGAGTCTGGATGGCTGTTATGAGTGGGCGGTTAAGCCCTTCTTGCCGTTGTTGGAGGGGATCGCCCCACGGCCAAGTGGTGATGCAGCCATCACCGTGACCCTGCAACACTTTTTCAGCGGCGATGCCTTCGATGCCAGCCTAAAGGCCGTCGATGACACCTTAATACCAGGCACCATCCATGCGAGGAACGAAATGGAAAATTATGTGGAAGACAACATGCCCCATCTTTGAAGCAGGAGAAGTCGAAGTCCTCTCGGACGATCCGACCTACATTCTCATTGACGAGCCTACCAGAGTCCGGATCAGGGGCAGAGAACTTTTCTTCAAGACATTTATGGATCGAGACGATAGCATTTGGGCCCCCGAGGTCCTGACTCTCGAGAAGATAGCCAAGGCCAAGTTCAACCCGGAGGAGGTGCGCACCTCGCACCTCTACGGCATCGTCCAAGACGCCAAATCGCAAGTTATCGGCCTCTTGTTGCATAACATCCAAGTTGCCGACACACTGCGCTACAAGGTCATTGACCCGGGGTCTTCCAACAGCGATCTCAAGGATAAGTGGAAGAGACAAGTGAGCGGCACAGTGGAGGCGCTCCACAAGGCTGGCATCGTTTGGGGCGACGTGAAGGCGGACAATGTTTTGGTGGATATGGCGGGGGACGCGTGGGTCACTGATTTTGGAGGAGGTCACACAAGGGGGTGGGTTGATCGTGATAAAGCAGGCACCGTCGAAGGAGATTTGCAAGGGCTTCGAGCAATCATGGGATTTATTGACACGGGCAGGGAGCCTGAAATAGTGGACTGAGCGCATGGCTATGGTGGACACTTGCGTTTCGACATCACCCGGAAACCGCAACAACTCCGACTCCATCCTCTTGCTCGACCTAACGATTGACCGGTTTCGATGCTATTCCGGATACGTCCGGGGAAATATATGTCGCCTTCATATGGTGGTAAACGCTCGAGACCGACGTGTGATAGGTATGGAAGTGAAGGGAAAGGAAAGAAAGCAGATGATTATGTGCTGGACGGCACAGACCTTCCTGGGCTTCTTCTATTGAAACTTGATATTGGTCTGCAGAAAATTCCCTCAACTACGCTCCAGCGAGCCCCGCGGACAGCAGATAGATCCTTTCTCCGAGACGATTTCAGAGCGGTAGGGTCCACATGTTCGAAGGCATTGCCAATATAAACAGAGATGAACGAGATATAGGGTGTGGACATGTGCGCCAAAGGGATTGGGCAGGACACGTTTGGGCCATTTCCTTTTGGTTCTCCGCGTGATTCATCGATCGAGGAATGAGACCAATTTCTTCAGACTGGGGCCGTGAAGCTTTGATAGCCATGACCAAGTCGGTGGACCTAAAACAGCCTCTTGCGCCAGGGCCATAACGATTAATTTAGTGACCTTAATATGGCAGAGAGTGAAGCAGGCCTTGACCGCAGTCGACAGCCTCAGCAGCATGCATCAAGACCCACTAAAATTACACTATCCTGAAGATCATGCTTACAAGTGACCGAGACCCACTGAATTAGCGGAATCGCACGTGTATGATCAGAGATCTGGCAGTGACCGGCACTTGATGTTTCGAAAACGTCACTTTCCAGGGCTACAGTATAACCTCGCGGGGCCGTTAGTGGAGCCAAAGGAATCGGCCACCGTCCGCGGCCTGGCGCGAGGCGGAGACGCAGCGGGATTGCATAAAAGCCATAACTTTTAGTTAAAACCCGCAGGTAAAAACCCCCATTCGATGTGCCGAAGGATTCAGAACAGCCTTACTGAGCCCTTCCTTAGAAACCGACGATCCTGCCCGTCAGCTCCGAGTCCGAGCGCTACGCTCCTGCGCCTCGTCCGTCCATCATGATCAGCCAAAAGGGACCCACAGCTGAAGTCATCGGTGCCGAGCATTGACCTGTTCCGTCCAGCTTACCCTCGAGATGAGAACAAAGAAATAAAAAAGCTCATTAGGACATATATCACGGGCGAGGCGGAATCATGCTTGTTCAGGCAGCGAGATGGGAAGAGTAGTTACATCGTGGCTGTGGGTGAGGCAATTTCGCTGCCGAATGTCCGTAATAAGCCTCTAGAGGGAGGCTTGTGCAATCCAAAGCGGTAAAATCTAGTGAAGATGTCATCAAGTCTCCACGGCATGTATTCACGTGTCGTTGTCTGCCGCTCGGACTGGGTGAGCCGGTGAGCGATATAATGCTCGGCGTGTTGTTCTTTGAAGCTTGATACCTTTTGTGGGCATGATGAACGACTAGTAGATGGGCATCATGGCTGTGTGAGTGTAACCAAGAGACGGATTGCGGTTGCCTGGGTTCGGGTGGACCAGGGTGGATGGAAGGATTCTAGAAAAGTTCCACATGCGGCGTTAATGCGTCATGGCAGTGCAGGCCCGGTCGCGTGGCAGAGATCAGCCGGGCGATGGCTGGTTGCGAGCCAGGGACCTTAGTTCCGAGGTCGATTGGGGCGATGAGAGGTCTCTGCGAGAACTCTTGTTAATAGAGGAAGAGAGTGCTGAGTGGCAGGCAGCTTTTGACAGATCTTGGCACGTCGGGCTGGCAAGAGTTGGGGAATGGGGACAGTGAGGCAGTGCAGGGGTCACGCTGGCGATGGCGGAAGTGATCTGCTTGCTAACAAGTCGGGCGTGATTGTCATGGCGGAACGAATTGAACCGCTCCCGAGAAATTCTTTTGTGTCTCAATTGGTGAATAAGGTTTGGCCAGGTCCCAAGAACCAGTCTGACCAAACCAGAGCCCCAGACTGCCTGCCCCGTTCTTGTTGCAGGAGGCTAGCCCGGCTTGGAGTCTTCTTTCGAGAGGGCCACAGGTGACAGGAAAAATTGATGATGCAAAGCCTTTCTTTTGGCTGGGCAGCAGGTCCTCAGGTCCTTTGGGCAAGATCAAGGTCTGATAGTTAGTCGCACGGGTGATGTCTCGAATCGAGGCTTTAGATGTTGCTCAGAACCTTGTCGTCGTCCTACGCCTCTCTGTAATAACTGCTGTCTCCACATCCGACCCGACGGAGACTTCTGTGGAGTTGGATTGGTGGCGGGGGGCTGTGGGTGTCTGAGGGGACCTGGAAGATCCGGGGCTGGCCCTTGCAGCAGACTGCCTGACTGTCTGGACGGTATGTCGTTAAAAAGCCAAGTATTGACAGTCTTGGGTTTCATCATCGGTTATTCATCGCTTAGTGCAGCCGGGCCCGGATCAGTAGAATGGGCTGTCCGTAGATATGATGCCAGGATGCCACGGAACTCGGCACGCGGCGATTCGAGAGGCGTCGGGCGCACAAAGAGCTCTGGTGGGCAGTGGTGGCACACTACCGCAGATTGGAGGTCCCGATTGGGGAGCTGTCAAGGGCCGAGGGGCGCGGCGCAAAAGTCGTTGACCGCACGACGCGACACGCAGAACAGAAAGAGCGGGGGAAAGAGGCTGAGCTGTATTTGCCGCACAGTAGTGTCGATTGATTGCCCCAGAGATATCTCGCAGGTGGTTGCCCCTAGGATGCGTCTGGTGACACTTTGTTGGACTGGTAAACTGGTGAGCTGGTCAGGCTGGGAGGCTGAAACCGAGACGGTGATGGGGCCTGTGAGTGTTGGTGGATTAATACTGCCAGACTGGGTGGATTGGATAGCGTTGAGCATATCCAGAGATGAGAAGCAGCCAGTCGTCCACAACTTCAATGTGACGGCGGGGACGATGTGTTTCGGATACGCACTCTGAGTGTTTGAAGGAGTCCCGCCCGCAGCGCCGTCGAGGGTGGACCGACGCGGGCAGCCTGGCAGCCTGGTGAGCTGGTGAGGTCACCCCAAGTCACCCCAACCCTGGCCCCTGCCTCGTGTCCCGAGCATGGGCCACCAAAGCAGCAAAGCTGCGGCTGGGCCCCGCAATGGCCCTCTGATAGACGCTCCACAGCCCGCCCTTGGCGGTTCCTAACACTGGGGAATGACCCCACATACTGCACCCAAGCTCAAAGTACCTGGGTACCGCTCCCGCTGCAGCAACCATCACCCTCACCACAGCCAATACGGCAACGGCGTGGCGACAGGGTTGAGCTTCGCGCAGAGCTTAGGTCCCCTTGGGAAGTTGGGAGTCGGGGTCACTTGCTCATCCATCCTGTCTGCCTCGCCGCACTCATTCATTCCATCGATCCGTCTCGCCGGCTTACACTTACCTCACTTTCCGACTACCGTAAGCACATACGGAAGGAACAACGGCCCACACTACAGATCGCCCGAGTGTGCCACCTTCCTCTTCCTGGACCAGTTTGAATACATCCAAGATAAATATTCCGTCACATCCTCTTTTTGGGCCTGCCTGCGAAAAGCACCCCTCCCTCACCATCGACCGTCCGTCATAATAAAAGATCGATCACCCCATCTCTTGCCGTCCAATTATCCACACCCACACCCAGGAGAGTCTATTACCCACATACTTGACCACGTAAGTCCTTCCCATTGTTGGACAGAGACAGACAACAAAAGCGCACCGAGCTGTGTCACCGTCACGCATCGCTGCTCACCCAAGCTCCCCTCCCAAGACACACCGCCGACCCGTTACTCGGACAACGCCATACATACATCGAATACTAACAAAACCCCCAACCAGACAACACATTAAGAATACTCTTACGGACCCTCGAGCATCACATCACGCAGACACCATGAACGCCCCCTCTACCCCAGGCTCGTCCAAGGCCGCCGATACCAACGGCACCAACGGCGTTGGCGGCCAGGGCGGCTTCCGCCCTCAAGGCCCAATGGTGGTCCAACCCCCGCGCCAGGAGGACCTGCAGAAGAGCTATGCCAGCATCGTCGGGACTGATGCCGATGCCAAAGGCTGGTATGGAAGCATGAGTAAGTTGGCTACTCCCCCCCCTCTCGCCCTGACCCTCTCTTTCCCGCGCGGCCGTTGCTGATGGACTTTCTTTCTCCTCTGCCAGTTAACGCCCTCGGCTCCATCATTGGAACCGCTGGCGCCGTCCCCTGCTGCATCTGCTGCCCCAACCCGTACAAGAACGTCGGCCAGGGTAATGTCGGCCTCGTTACCAAGTTCGGCAAGTTCTACAAGGCCGTCGACCCCGGCCTGGTCAAGATCAACCCCTTGTCCGAGAAACTCATCCAGGTCGACGTCAAGATCCAGATCGTCGAAGTCCCCAAGCAGGTCTGCATGACCAAGGACAACGTCAACCTCCACCTCACCAGCGTCATCTACTACCACATCGTCAGCCCCCACAAGGCCGCCTTCGGCATCACAAACGTCCGCCAGGCCCTGATCGAGCGCACACAGACCACCCTCCGCCACGTCGTTGGCGCCCGCGTCCTGCAGGACGTCATCGAGCGCCGTGAGGAGATCGCCCAGAGCATTGGCGAGATCATCGAGGACGTCGCCGCCGGCTGGGGTGTCCAGGTCGAGAGCATGCTCATCAAGGACATTGTCTTCAGCCAAGAGCTGCAGGAGTCGCTGTCCATGGCCGCCCAGAGCAAGCGTATCGGTGAAAGCAAGATCATTGCCGCCAAGGCCGAGGTTCGTACAGCCAGCTGTTGTTGGACAGTGCCTAACCCTTGTGAACCGTAACTAACCTGTCATTCCTCCAAAACAGGTCGAAAGCGCCAAGCTCATGCGTCAGGCCGCCGATATCCTGTCCTCCGCACCCGCCATGCAGATCCGCTACCTCGAGGCTATGCAAGCCATGGCCAAGTCGGCAAACTCGAAGGTCATCTTGTGAGTACTATTGTCCTCCTACGAACTTCCGCCTTGCATCCTTTTCACATTGGTTGGGGGCAAAACACCCTACCAGTTAACTTTGACTGACAAATATTAGCATGCCTGGAGCCTCAACTGCCGCCAGCACGGCGCTGGCCGCCGCTGCCAACGACCCCAAGAACCTGGCGGGCGAGCAGGGCGAGAGCAGCGGGCAGAACAACTTGCAGGATTTCGGAGGTCAGGACCCTTCTTTTCAACAGGCCATCAACGCTCGCATGATTGAAAACATTTGAGTCATGGCCCCTGCTGACTAACTCCCCTGCCCGGGTCCAAAGCCTGGTCTACTTGAGTCTTGCATAGTCTATAAACTTGTACGATATAATGTTTTGTCAGGAATGAAATGGCGAGGTACTTGGTAATGCCCGCGGGGCAACGTTTGAGGGGGGAACACACGACATCAAGGAGATTGCCATGCTCAGGTACCCCTTGTTGGAGAAACGATAATAACGCTCGGGGATGGAGAACGGCTGTTGGTTTTGACACAGGATACCCCATACCCCCTTTTAGTCTGTTTGTCTTTGGATTTTGCTCTTTGGTCGTTTTTTTTTTGATACCTCTAGGTTTAATGATACCACGACATTCGTTACTTAATCCTAAGAGTCTCTTGACCCGATCCCTCATTTGTCCTGTCTGTTGTGAGGTCTCTCACTTGGAGTGTGGGGGCTTCTGGGCAGATGCATCTTGGGGCATCATCCACATTTTCAGTTGGTCATCTCATACATGAGGACCGACAGCTGGAGTTGGGTGGCTGGCATATGGGTACACAACATTGAAGGTTGAGGGTGGGCCGTGTCACGTCGAGGTTGCCAGATTGCATGATGAGCGAGTATGGCACGTTGGTGGTGAGAGGGGCTTGAGTGTTTCGGTGGTTCCGCTTCTATTCCGTATACGTCCGAGGACATACATGGCGCCTTTATACGGTGGTAAGCTTGGGTGTTTAATGTTAGAACTTGTTGCCCCTTTCTCGCGGGGTATTCCTAGAATTCCAACTATCATCCTACATGTGCTTGCTGACTGCTTAGAGTCTAGTAGACCTAGAGATGTCTCGGCCGACATTGTGGACTTGTGGTTGGTTGTTGGTTGGTATTTACAAACTTGTAATACCTGCGAAGCGGTCCGCGATAGCGCTTTGGCAATTAGCTTTGTCAGGTATATAGTAGTTATTAAAGGTAATCTAAGGCTTGCTTACTACCGTACCGCACACCCTAGAGTTTTTAAAAATAGTATTCTTATTAATACTTTTTAGTAATAGCTATAACTATTAATAGTTCTTCCTTTTTTAATACTCTCTTTAAGTAAGAAGGAGGTCTTTAAAATAAAAATTAAGTTTTAAGAAGTTTAGTCTTTAAAATTTCTTAATATTACTCTTTTACTTTAATATAAAGATTAACTAAAAAAGAATTCTTTTTTTTATTTATTTTATAATATTTCCTTCTAAAAAAGCTTTTAATTAACTTTTTATTTATTTATTTATTTATTTAACTTTAATTAAGTTTTTTTTCTTTATATTTTAAAGTTTTAAATAAAAGTTTTAAAAGAAAAAAGAAAGTTTTAAGAAATCTTTTAATTTTAAAAAAAATTTAATTTTTTAAAAGTATTAATATATTTTATAATTATTATTAAAGAGTATTAATAAAGAAATAATTTTAAAATATTAAATATTATTTAAAGTATTATTTTAAAATAAAAAAGATAGTTTAAAAATTATATTTAAAAATCTTTTAAAGAGTATTATACTAAGTATATTTAAAGATTTATAAAGTAATTATATATATTATAATTTATAACTAAGAGAGGAATATTATAATAATAAGGTGAGTATCTTAATATATACTAGCTAACTATAGCTATAATAATCTAACTTAGTTTATTAAAGTCACACTCTTAACTAGATTAGGGGGATTTCCTAGGATACTTAAAGTGGGATGGTGTAGGTTAATAAGTGTTGGATTCTAAGTTGAAGGCAACATGGAATTGTGGTTTTTTTTGGCCCAGGGTCTCTGTCACGCAACACTCGACGGGTCCCTCTCAATAGCGAGTCCTCATTTTTGCAGGGGACTGCAAAATTCTCCATACCGAGTTCTACTACTCGTAGATGCAGGCCCCTGTTCACCACGCGGCCAGGCTTGACACCAATGTTGCCCCTGTTGTGTTACAATGAATATTGAGCATAGAACAATTTGAATGAACCACGCACCTTTGAATTTCCGCCCCAAATGGGCAAGAATCAGAGCCGTAGATGCTGGCCAAGACGCAGGGGCACGGCACAGTTTGGGCGGGTGTGCCCATTCCTGGCCTTAGGAGCGCAATCCATACTGATAATAGGCTATTGTAAAGCAGGGAGCTCATTTAGGGCACACTGGGTGCGTACAATTAGAATCTCAGGAATCTACCATGCGGCCTTTCTACTTAGCTGTCCCTGAGTAAGGAGGTGGTTTCGTTTTCAAGCCGTGTGCGTACAGTACGCTTTTTAAGCAGTAGACGTTGACATGTTGGGCATTAACTTGAAGCTTCTAGAGTGGCTTCCTACAATTTAGACCAACACCAGTTGACACACACACACACCAGAAAATTGAGCATGCGGCACTAGTTCTGTTTTTATCTTTAATCCAATGGTCTTATCGTCTTGCCGCCGGAGGTCTGCGTGTGTGTGTGGGGGGTGGTTCTGGTGCCCCCTGCATTTCAGCTGTGTCAAGACCAGACCAGAGTAACATTGGGCTGCGCCACCATGTTCGCCAACCAACAATCCAATATATTAAAGTCTGAATACTTGAAGTTCTTGGTGAAGGAAAGACTCCGTCAAAATCACAACTGATGCTCATACGCCACAATCTGTTTTCTTACAACGTCACGATCTCATCGGCGTCATATCGCAATGGCACAGATCAATCTCGACTCCACCGCTCTCGATGAATTGAATAGCGCTGAGACAAGGACGATTTTTGATACCGCTGACAGATTATCGTCTCTGGGCGTTGGCAGAATTGTCAACCTACCCCAGATTATTGTCGTCGGAGACCAGTCATCCGGGAAGTCGTCTGTACTGGAGGCCATCTCACATGTCCATTTCCCCGTCCACGGGGGAGTCTGCACTCGGTTCGCCACTGAGCTGGTTCTCCGCCCCGGAAATCCTCGGTCTGTGACTGCAAGTGTTCAGTTTGCCGACGCCACCAGGCCGACCCATTCGTTGCAGGTGACGGATTTTAACCAAGAGGACATTGCGAACATTATCGCTACAGCAAAAGATGAAATGGGACTCTCCGATACCGGCCGCGGCTTCTCTAAAGATGTCCTGCGCTTAGAGATCCAAGGTCCTGACATGTACCCCCTGACGCTGGTTGATCTTCCAGGGATTTTCCATACCGCAACAGCGAAACAGTCACCTGAAGGGATGGCAACCGTCATGGAGCTGGTAGAAAGTTACATGAGGAGGCCAAACAGCATCATTCTTGGTATCATAGCCGCCAACAACCAGCTGGCTAACCAGGTGGTCATGCAAGAGGCCGCAAAACACGACCCCTCGAAGACGCGGACCCTCGGCGTCATAACTAAGCCAGATCTCCTCCATCCAGGGTCTTCCAGTGAGCAGGACTACCTGCAGATCGTCCGAGGTCGCGACGCTGTCCACAACCTGGCGCTAGGTTGGCATGTATTGCGCAATTTAGCAGACTACGAAACCGATCGTGGTCCCCGCGATACAGTCGAAGAGCAATTCTTCAGCTCGCAGGCTTGGGGCTCGATCCCAGGCGCTAATCGTGGAGTTGGGGCTCTGCGAGCGAAGTTGAGCCGTATTCTTCATGACCATATTCGAAAAAGCCTGCCGGCTGTTCTTCAGGATATCCAGGATAAGCTATCGCATACGGAGCTTGAGCTTGACCGACTGGGGCAGCCTAGAAATACGCCCGAGGCAAAGAGAGCATACTTGATCGATATTGCCAGTCACTTCCAGCGATTGGTCCAGGACGGCATCCGGGGTCATTACACTGATCCATTCTTTGGCGGTTTCAATGGGTCCCATCGCAAGTTGAGGTCTAATCTTCGGAACTTCAATCGAGCCATCCGGCACATCTTGATCACCTTCGGGTCCACTCAGAAGGTGACTGGAGGTCCTTACGATGTATCACTACAGCCTTCGCCACCTGGATACCTTGGAGAGTTTCTAGAGGTGTACACCGACAACCCGTCCCTGCATGAGCCCGAAACCATCACATGGAGAAAACTGTCGTCTAAGTTAGAGCGTCGGGCGGCGTCACATCAGGGAACAGAGCTCCCAGGAGAGGTCAACAAGGAAATCGTGATCCAGCTCTTCCAAAAACAGGCAAGACCGTGGAAGAACATCGCTGCGCTTCATAACGAAGAGATCTTAAAACTGGCTAGGATGTTCGTCAACGAAGCATTTGAGCACATCGTCGGATCTTCCAATCCAAATAGCACGATAGACGCGATTTTGGACAGTATCGTGCTGAACTTCTTCGTTGAAAAAGAACAACAGCTTTCTACAAAGCTGGAGGAGATCTTCCGGCCCTACTATGAGGGGTACGCGCGACCTCTTGATACTGATTTCCAGGAGGCTCTGGCAACAAGAGCAACTGAGCGTGCCGCGGACTCATCTGAATCAGCGAATGCCGTCTCCGAAGCCTTAGTGGGAGCCGCAATATTGTCCCGGTCTCACAATGAGTTCGGAACCGATCGTATGATTCATTCGATGCAAACATTCTACGATGTAAGGCTCTTTTCCCCAGAAGCGCAAGTGAGGGAAGAGACTGACCTGTTTCTTTCAGATGTCTCTGCGAACGTTCACGGATAACTTGATCAATTTGGGCATCGAGAGCTGTCTGATCCAGGATCTTCCCAACATTTTCACCCCGAGGCTTGTCAATGATATGGATGATGAACAGCTGGAAAGGCTCGCTGGCGAGTCGGAAGACGTTCGCAGCTACAGATCTCAGCTCCGTGACAATCTCGATCTTCTAAAGCAAGGACTTGAACAATGCCGCCGTTACAGGCCGAGAGAAACTAGCAGAGGTGAGTTCCGTGCACTGCTGGATTCAACATGATTAAAATATCTCGATTAGTACTAAGACCTTCGTAGTTCCGTCTTCCACACAACCAGGACGACCGGCACTGCGGCAAAACATTCCTGCAAGTCGAGGTTCAAGGCCTACTAGTAAGCTAACAAGCGGCTCGCGCAGACTGCCTCAGCCATATCAATTGTTATTTATAGCTAATAAATCACCTCAGGTGCATCAAACAACTCGGGCCAGCCTAGGATTGATGGTGCCGTATCAGCTGCCACCCAGTCACCAAGCCGTGGAGGCCAAGAGAGGCCGCCGGCTGCCTCAAAACCCGTGGCGGGCTCCGGGTCGCCTGGAAACTCGACATTTGTGAACAGTTTTTCGAATCTAGCGATTGGTTCAAACTCTCAACCCGCCTCTGGAGCCAATTCGTCCTTGTTCTCCAGTATCTTCTCCAATAATACCAGCGCTGCTACTCCATCAACTACCCCAGGGAACATGTTTTCCCACCTCGCCACATCATCTCCCGCTTTTGGAAGTACGCCAAATAAATCGCAGAGCTTGTTTTCTGGATTTGGAGCAGCATCCCCTCGGTCAAGCAGTACCAATATGCCTGTTTTTGGAGACGCCTCCGGAGCTCAAACTAATGCTACCTCGTCGGCACGACAGGCGAATGTGCCTGCAACAAACCCTTTTGGTCTCCCGATACCACCTTCATTGGGTACATCAGGATCCCCTAATAAAGGGACTCGTTTTGGAGGTGAATAGCGCGCCGTCCTTTAGTTCCCGGGGTCTCGTTGGATTATCAACTCTTGCCTAGATATTGAAATACACTTTTCTTTCCGGGACGAGTCAGGGGCTAATTTTGGCGACAGATGGAAGTGTCATTTTGAACCAGCCTTCAATTGGGAAGGTGCCGCAGCTCGCGTCATGGGGTACGACGTGGCGAGAGTTTTGTGATCAGGAACCAAGAACAAATTATGTCAGCAAATTTGAGCACATCTGTTTTACGGAAAGGTTCCGAGGACTGTCACAGGAGGAGATCAGATTGGCGGACTACTCTGTTGTGCCATGGTTAAAAAGCTGAATTTCTGACTATAATTCACGGTATCAACAAACGGTCCCAAATTTGACATGAGTGAAAGACAAAGAGGGTCAACGGGAGCATGTTGCTGGCGACACGTAAGGGCGTCCGGAAGAGCGTCCAGGTGGGCTATTGTGTTGAAATCGGCCTGCCTCGGGTGGCACCAGGAACTGCACACCGCGAGCACACACCCTTCCATTTCATGATAGTACTGGGCAAGCCACTGAGTTCCTTGTTTTGTGCCAAGAAGTTGCTCAATCGACTTTCCATATATGAATTGGTCACCAATCTGGAGTTTAATCTCTGTCGGCAAGAACGAGATGGTTGGCTTCCTCGTTTTGCTCAGAGTTGATCTGCCCTTGTTTTGAGGGCATATGGAAAAACAGTGCGTCTCCACAGCGAATAACAAGCTTGAGTGCCCCGGATGTTTGGACAATGACCTCCGTTCCATCAAATGTATCAGAGATGAGCTATTAACTGGCCTCGACATCCGCGCCCGTATCAGGAGAGGGCTTATCTTCGGGGAGTTGGTCGCCCATAGGCTCAGGGAGTTCGACTTCACAAGCAGTCGTCCTTCCTCCTACTAAGTATATCACCAACAGCCAAGGACCAAGACAAGGAAGGGGCCGGTGAAGGAAGGCTGATATCTTCCTTGCTGGCTTTATAGCCTGGTTGCTACGTCGCTCATGTTTACTTCGCCGTTGACATTGACAGATCAAGGTGTAGTCGTAACACAGTCAGGGCATCTTGACCACGACACGGCAGCCCACAGCATCCCGAGATGAGGTTTCCCTTGTTTTTGTACGTGACATGTATGTGTTTTTGGTTAAAATTCGTGCTTCAGCACATCATATCTAGATACTCATGCTTCTTATAGACGGACCCATGCTAATGATGCAAATGCCCAAAGTACTATGCCTCGCAGATGCTATAATCTCCAAAAAGAGACCCATCAACCGACCAACCCAAAAAAACGCCAAACCAAATGCAAACATCTCAATCATACAAGCTGCAGTCCCCCCTCAGCTTGATCCTCACCAAGACCAAGGCCACTGTCATCACTCCGGTGCCTGGCAGCCTCCCCGTCCATCCCACCACCAAGATCAGCCTCCTCACTCTTAGCAACCTCGTCCCCAAGGAACCCCTCCCCAACCCGCAGCGCAGCAAGCATCTGCGCGCGCATGGCCCGCACCGCATCCCGCGACCGCGCCTTGTCCCTCGCCGCGTCCCCGCGCAGCCTAGAGACCGTCTCCCCGGCGGCAGCGAGCTCCCCCTTAAGCCGCTGCAACTCGCCCTCGCGCTCGGCGAGCAGCGCCTCGAGCTCGGCGGCGGCCGTCTTCTGCTGCAGCGCCGCGTCGAGGTCCGCCTGCCGCGAGGCCGACGCGGCGTCGAGCTCCTCGCGCAGCGCGGCGACCGTGTCGGCCAGGTGGGCGACGTCGGCGGACAGGTTGGCGGCCTGGGCCTCCTTCGCTGCCTCTGAGGCCCTGCACGCGGCGAGGTCCGTGGCCAGCGCGTCGTGGGCTGCCGCGCGCTGCTTGAGGGTGTTGTCGAGCTCGCGGAGGCGGGCCGCGGCCTGGAGGAGCGTCTGGGCTGCGGACTGGGGCGGCGGCGGCGTGGTCGTGTTCGTGTTCGTGGCAGTGGTGGATGGGCCGGCTTCAAGGCCGGCGAGGGCGTCCCTGACGTCCTGGAGCGCTGCGGCCAGCTGGGCTGTTGTCTCCTTGTTGGTGGTGTTGTTGTTGTCATCCGTCGAGTCCCCGGGCGGCATCAGGAGGGCCGACAGCTCCCCGAGCCGGTCCGTCTTCTCCGCCAGGTCCTGCAGGACGATGTCGAGTTGGAGTACAAAGTCCTGGTCCTGGTCCTCGGCCTGGGCGGATGAAGGGGACGAGGACCCGTGGTGGTGCCGCGCGAGCTTCTCGCCCATGCGGGCCTGCAGGGCGTCCCGCTCCAGCAGCGTCTCGCTCAGGCTGCTCACCTCGGCGCGCAGGGTTCCCAGTTCCTCGGTGAGGGCGTCCATCGCCGGGTCGGGGACGCAGACCTGCGAGGCGGCGTCTGTCGTTGTTGTTGCATTGGACATGTTCACACCCGCCTGCACGCCGGCATCGCAGGAGGAGGAGGGGGAGGGGGAGGCCATCTTGGTCGGGCTGGTGCTGGGCGGCGTGAGCGTTGTCGTCCCGTGGAGGCGCAGTGCAGCCGGCCTCTTTGTCGTGGACCTGTGCTGGTGGTGATGGCGGCGGTGCTGGCCAGGGGTGCCACCCATCTCCAGCTCCGCGAGGGAAGCCTCGCCGAACTCATCCCCGTCGTCAAACTCACGCGCGCCAGACTCGCCCCCGGCGTCACTAACACCCGCATCAGACATGCCGTCCATGCCTGCCCAGCCATCATCATCACCACCACCATCGTCGCCGTAGCCTCTCGCAACAGGTGGCGACGACGTCAACTCGACATCATCATCATCATTCTCACCAGCACCACGCCGGCGGCGGAGGCCCTCGACCTCCTCCCTGAGCCGCGACAGCTCCCCCGCCGCCCCCTCGGAGCCGTCCCCAAACACCGCCGTCAGCTCCCGCAGCCTCTCGATCTCGGCGTCCCGCTCCAGCAGCTCCTCGCGCGCCCGCCGCAGCTCCTCGAGCGTCTTCTGCCGCCGCGCCCGCTTCTCCTCGTACGCCGCGTTCTGCACCGCGCTGAGCCCGTTGCGCCTGATCTGCCGTATGGTGTGTGGGTCTAGGACCTGTGTGCGGAGGGGGACGACGTGCACTACCGTGGGGTTGTTGTTGTTGTCGTTGTCGTTGTTGTTCTTCTTATTTGTCTGGCGGCGGGCCTTCTTGATGGCCCGCTGGTTTCCTTCCTCTCCGATCTGGGGGGAGGAGGTGGTGGTGGTGGTGGATGGCCTCTTCCTCTTGTTGGAGGAGGATATGGGGGCTTCATAGTCCAGCGCCGTGATGCTGCCGTCCGCATCGTCGACGAGCGTGGCCGAGTCGTCCGCGGCGTCGTCCGCGGCAGTGACGCTGGCAGACTCCGGGGCGCTGGCCTTGCCCTTCTTGGTCGGCCTCGCCGCCTTCTTGCCCGCCGCCCTTGTGGTGGCTGGCTTCTTCTGGGCGACGCCCGTTGCCCTCGGAGACTTGCGCGTCGACGCTGCGGTATTTGTCTTCTTGGGCGTCCTCCGTTGTGTGCGGCGCAGCGCCAGAGGGAGTTCTTCCGCCATGATGGGCAGTGTCTCTGGTGTGTTGTGTTGTGTTGTGTTGTGTTGTGTTGTGCAAGCAAGCGAGCAGCCTGGCAAGACAGTTCCGTTCCGTTTCAGTCTCGATGTTTCTCTCTCTCAAACCAGTCCTGTCTGCCTACTTAAGTAGTCTCGTCCGGTCCGATGCTATCTAGGCTTCTCCGGATAGGACCTTGTTGGTGGTGGCAGACGGAAGGGCCACTACAAAAGAATACAGGAATAAGACATGCAAAAGGGGAAAAAAGTACAAATCGTGCCGACAGAACAAGCGTGCTGGGTAAAAAGAACAGAACAGATACAGGCCACGAAAATGAACAAAAACCAAGAACAGGCAGTGAAGCAAGTCCGGAGCGAGCCTCAGGCATGAATGAAATGGAGGAGTTGATGACGGTCGGTCGGTGAGTTGGCACGGCACACATAAGGGGGCATGCAATGCTCGGCGGCCATCCTCTCTTTTTTGTTGGATAACCGGTCTGGGCCCACACCGTCCCGCCCATTTAGGCCCCACCCACGGTGGAGTCGTGAAGAACACGTCGACCTTGCACCGCAGGGACGCGTCTGGCTCGTGTCGTGGCTGGGAAAGGTCTGGGCATTTTCGTGCATGTGGTTGGGGGGTCACTTTTTGGTGACCAAGGCCCCCCCGAGCCGAGCGGGGCCAGCCACATTGTGGTCCTTGCCCACCTTGCAGACAATGGCACGACGCTTCTTTTTTCACGCCTATGACGGGTGCTGCTGCCTGGATTATTGTTGGTCTGAAAGGTTAAAATCCCATGCCCAGTATGGGAATATGTACGATGACGCAGCACCAGGTACCAGGAATGTCAGCCGTCCCCATTCACAATTTCGGGATTGCACATGATTTCAGACCGCGAAAGGGTAGGTAGTATCGGGTTTTTTAGCCTGGCATTGAGCCCAGAGCGTGATCATGTATTCGTCAGGTTCAGCCGCATCGTCTCTCGTAAGACGGCGGGGAACTTCTTTCAAAAGAGCCCGCCTGCTTTGCTGGCCGTCCGTCTCCCAGGTCCCACTTCCCCATCGTCTTGCGTCGCCCCTCCATCCCGGACGACGCAGCTCCAACTCCGCCCGTTTATCGAAATAGAAAATGAAAACAAGGGGGTATATGAATGAACCGAGCCGCTCTTCCCTTCGCAACCTCACAAAATCGTCATGCCGGAGGGATGAAAAAACTGAAAAACGGAAAACAGAATAAGGAAACAAAGACCTCGGCTTCGACCAGTGTCAGAGCCTTGTAAATGACATACACGATTATGCGTCTTGAAACAACACCACTGCATCTCCTTCCCCAGCAGGCCCCAGTGAAGGGAGCGTGCAACGCTCTCCAGTGGGTACCGGTCCGTCCCACCAAACAGAGGCTAGGACGCCTCTCGAGCGGCGTGCTGGTAGATTCCCGCCGTTCCAACCATCGGCTCTATTCCTCAATCCAAGAATTATCAGATCGTCGCGATCAGAAACATAAGTTAAATCAAAAAGCAATGCTGGCTTTGCTCGCTGCTCTTCCGCGTGGCCACTATTGCTGGTGCTGGTGGTGCAATCTCGTAGCAGAACACACGAGAGTCGTGACTTCAAAGGGAATTAAGAATTACCCGATGCTCCGAGACCTCATCTAAGTGGGTATATGATAGTTTGCACTATGAAAAGACCAATATTGGCCAATATGAAGCGGGGAAAGTTGATCATTTACAGTCAACTGTAAGTGCGGTTTCGTTTCGGGTGGCGTGTCAAGGCCGGCATCTAATTTAAGGTTGCGTCTTTTCGTGCCGTCAAAAGCAACATGTGCGGTCGTTGGTAGGAAGAGAATATACAGGGGGTATCGTGTTAAAACTCCATTCCACACGCTTCAGTAAAAAAGCCGCCGGTTTCGAGAGTTCGGTCGCGGTGTGCAGTTTGTGTGTTTGCTCGTCATTGCAATCGCTGAGAGTATCGTCGGATCTCATCATCTGACAGAGCACTCATCCAGAGACAGCGCTCGGTGATGCCCTCGATCGGTTGGAAGTTGTATGTCGTGCTTGCCTCCAGCAGCCTAAGCAAGGTCTTGACCACGCCAGCAGCAATCCGGCATCTCTCGAAGTTCACCAGGGGGGCCGTCGTTGGACTGCTGGCGATCTCGCTTGGCCGTTGTGCGTTGAAGATGAGATCGTGGGTATAAATGCCCACAAAAGGGATGCAACCCATGTCGTGGGTGGTCAGACCTCCACCTTCCATCTCTGAGCGCAGAGCGAAAAAATTCCGGGTAGGCGAGATCAGAGCCTCGAGCTCCCGCAGGGTGTGTACGTCGTGGGGGGGCACCATCCTCCATGTCTGCGACAGGCGCTCAACCTCTCCACTTGTCAGCGCGATGGTGATCTGGCTCATCGTGGCGAAATTGCGATAGCGCCTGCAGTGTGCAGCAATGTGGATGTACTTGATGATGCACCGAGCTCGCTCCTCCATGTTCTGCGTCAGGACAATTTCAGAAACGGCCCATTTGACAACAATGTTGAAGCGAGCGATCACCACTTCCACGCCACGAGCGTCCGCGTCGCGCAGGAACTGGACCCATGACCGACAGTCATTATTATCGGCATTCTTCCACCGCATCTCAATAAGCTCCTTCCAGTCGATCTCGTTAAGAGCGTCCTTCTCAATGAGCGTGAACTGCTGGGCAAGTATCTCCGAGTCAAACGCCAAGATGAACGGCAGGTGCGCAGAAAAGTCCCGGGTCTTCTCTTGCTCAGCCATGTTAGCTGCGTTGCGCGGTGCCTCAGTGGCACCTGGCGCCAATTTCATAGACTGCGTTGCCTGTTCGAACGTTGGCGTGTAGTCTGGTGTGGGAGGCAACGGCTTGCGCCCGTTTTCTTGCCCCCAGATCTGAGCACTGTGCAATTCTGGGACGTCTGCAGTCTCGGGCGACACCTCGAAAGTCTGAACAGTGCCCGAGGTCGGTGAGGCTACGCTAACCGTGCGCTTGGTCTGCGTCCCGAAGGTCTTGTATGATCTTGCCGTGTGGTTGGTTTGAATCTTGGTGAGGGTGGCGCCACGCCGCAGAGACGGGAATGCGTCGAGTTCCTCGTCGTCCTCCTCCATGTTGTCTGAGAGCTCTGACGACAGCTCGTCGTCAGTACTGTCAATATCAAGGAAAGACTGAGATGAGTCTCTCGTCTTGTCACGTTGCCTGGGCGTCGGCATGGTGTCTCCTGGCTTGATCTTCTCGATGCTCTCAGACTTCCTGACAAACTCAAATGAGCGATCTTTGTCCCCTCCTTCTCGTTCATCGGCAGAGGTGCCATCTTCGGGATCTTGGAGAATTGATTGGTTTGTCCATTCCGCTGGGCTCCTGTGGCTATCATCCGCGATCTCGCGTTGTAGCAGAGGGATTGATAAATATGAGCCGTCCGAGCCGTCCGACAAGAACGAGCCAACCTCATCGCGCAGGGACCGGCCCTGTTCGGGAACACGCAGGGATGCCGAGTCCGACGCCTCTGCGGAACTCTCGGCAGGTGGTGCCGGAGACATGACACCTTCTTCCCCGATGTGCTCCTGGCGATGTTTCCGTTTCTCTGCCTTGGAATCGGGCCCCTCTTCTGGCGGCGGCGTTTTGCGGCTGACGGTCATGTTGATCAGAGCGGTGTTTGTCCCATCCAGGGACAGCTTAAACGGCCTCCTCTCGTATTTCCCCTCGAGCTTCAGCAGTGCCGACTCAACGCCACCGTCATCTTCGTCGTCTGGAATATTTGCGAGCTTCTGTGCCTCAGCCTCGAACGAAGGTCTCATGATGGGCCTAGAGGAGGATGTGCTGAGCAAAGAGATCCTACGCTTTGGCCTCTCTGCTGGAAGGCCGAGAGAAAAGACCTCTACCCGATTTTGAGAGTAGTCGCTGTTGACAGCATCCATCAATCCCATTGAGCCGCGGCCCAAAGCTGGGCTTTGGAGGAACGAAGTTCCCAGCGAGTCCGTATAAGCCGTAAGAGACCCCAATGAGCGCGACTTACGCAGCACTTGTTGGTCCAGGTCTCCAACGCGGTTGACTGCTCTAAGGTCTCCGCCAGGACGTCTTCGCAGGACTCTCAACGGCGGTGGCACGGACGATTGCTCTATCGACGCTCTGTCAGAGTACGTGGTCGCATCGAAGCTGCGAACAGTTGATCGCAGTCCCATTCCACTTTGGAATGAAGCATATCTTCTGAGCCCCATTGTGCCGTTCGAACGCAATGAGCGACTCGAGCGGTGGCGCCCATGCCCGTACACTCCACTTAATGGTGGGCGACTCAATGATTGCCGCAGGAATTGAGACGAAGAAAATCTGTCATCCAGAGGAGGGCGGGCTTCATCTTCAGATGGCCTGTGAGCGTGCCCACCAGCGAGAGTGTCCAGGTCCGGAACGAAAGGAGGCAAGGCATCAGTTGACTTGACCGAGCGGAGGACATGCTGATTGAGCAAGTATGAAGACCTTCTTGGTGTGTCTGTTATCCGACCAGGAGGTGTGCTAGGTGGGGTAGGATCTGCTCCTCCCTGTGGCATGAAGGAGTCTGCGAAATCTTCTACCGACTGCGTAAAAGCAGGCAGAGCGCCTGCCATTGCGGGAAACTCATTTGGGACACGCAGTGTGTCGTCGATGATGAGGATGGATTTGCTCCCGGCGGTCACGCCGCCGTCACTGAAGGGACGCGAGCCGTCCTGCAGATTGGCCTGCCGCATTACTTCCATTTGCGGTACCGAGAACCCGCTGTCTTCTCCGGGACCCCTGACTGTCGTCGGCGTGGACGGTATAGAGCCGTGGAAGCTCTGCAGAGCAGCTTCTGCTGCCGCGTCCTCCCTGATCACCTTTTTAAAGTCCTCTACGATCTCCGCTCCAAGTAGATCGATCCGAACGGCTGGTCGCGTACTATTAGTCCTCGGCCGAGCCTGTGGCACTATCGCAGTCCCAGGCAGTCTATTTGTGGTGACACCTCGGGGACCTATGGGCGCGATGTTGAAGTTGCCTTGTGTAGGCGACACATCCTGGCCCCGCGTACTAAGCGCGCGACGAACACCACAGATAAGTTTTCGCATTCCTTGCCCAGACATCGCAGAAGCCGCGGCTTTGTCCATCTCCGAATCATCTGGGTATGGTTGAAACACTGTCGTCTGTCGACTTGCACCGTTTGTTGAGCTCGGTGAGACAATTTCAACAAAGGCCTGGCCTGGAGGCATGACGTTGCCTCTCACAAGACTGCCGGCGTATGGAAGTGAAAGTAGTGTTTCGGTGTTCTGCTGGAGTAGCTGCTCGAGTGTTGTGTTGTTATGTTCCCTCAGGGAGTCGGAAAGACTTCCGTTGCGTTTGTGCGCTTGCTGGGGTCGCAGCCGCTTTCCCATCAAGGCACGGGGTGTCGTCGCGATAGGCTCCATGGTGTAGATTGAGCTCGGGTCAACCGGATGTGCACCCAGATGATGGTTCGAACCAGGGCTTGAGGACTTGAGAGTTCTAGTCGGGAATGAGCACGAGACGATGTCTCCGCTCGATATGCTGGTCGGGGAGACTTGCACTTCCTCGGTCGTTTTCCTGCCGTCGATTTGATTCTCGGGAGTCGCAGGTCTTTGAGCTTGTTGGTAGTCAATGTCCTGGCCGCCAGCCCTTGCGACATCACGATAAAAGCTTGTCTCTGAATCCGGCGGATTGCTCGTTAGAGGCGCAAGGATATTGTCCAGTGTTGGCGGGCCATTGTCCAGATATCTCTGCCAGAATTCGGGGTCCAGACTGGGGTTTCGATGACCAGGAATGCCGCCTGGGACGATGGGCGCTTCAGGTGGTAAAGAAGCTTCGGATTCAGGTCCATCCCAAAATTGAGCACAAACGCGTCTCCAACACTTTTTGAGCTCGGCCAGAATCTTAAGCTGTACCCTGCGCCCTTTCGAGTCCTGCGACACGTCATCTGTCAAGCTATTCAGCAGCTTGCAGAAACCTGTGCGCATTTCGTACTCGCAGACGAAGTCGTCCACGAAGTAGTTCAGAATCCAGTGCCGGAGGGCCACAAAGGTTCGAACACGCACTACCACTCCCACCTCACCATCTCTCATCAAAGCCCATCGCATCCGTGAGAAGAGCATTTTAAGCAGATCCATGGGCGACAGGTATGCCCGAAAAGTGAGGAAGAAGTCGGACAGGAGTTCATAGTCGAGGAACGTGGGAGAAGTGATCTCCGCTACGAGGCGCGGAGGAGTTGCCGCAGTCACAGCTCCGGTGAGAGACGAGTACCTGACAATGACCGGGTTATCGCAGGCCGGCTTGAAGGTTAGAGAGTCGAACATTGCAGGCTCGATCACAACATGCGATGACATGTACTTTGCCCGAGATGCCTCGTGTGGAGAAAGCCCAGAACCCAGCCAGGCAGGTCTCTGTGGCAGTGACAGACGGGAGGCGGCTCCAGCAAGAGAGCCGGGCCTCCTAGAACCCATCGACGAAGCAAAGCGTGGTGTGATGCCGCCTGACCTTCTCATCATGGACTGGTTGCTCGACCGGATGTCTTCAGTGGGAGCGTAACTAGAGCCACGGATAAAAGGTGTTCCTTTGACTGAAAACCGAGGAGTGCCCAACTTCCATGAGGGAATGGAAATTTCGAGGAACGGCGAGGTAGCGGCGTCCAAGTCTTCCAGCGTTTTCGGCCTCTGTTCCTCGCCCGGCTGGGTAACGACGATCTTGAAAGCCCCTGGATCAGATTCTCGAGCCACGGATGACCTCGATTCGTGAATGGTGGAGTCAGACTGGGTCCGTCGGTGCATACCCATACTTGTCTTCCTGTCGTCCAAGTAAGACCGCAGCAGTTCCGTAGTCGGCGTTGAAGGCATCAGGCTTGGTGTCCACTGGGAGCCTAGGGGTCGATTCTCATGGAGGCTGTCCCGCATCTGGTTCTCGTGCGGCGCTGAACCTAAGCCAGCGGTTTGTGGGGGGGTCATTGGGAAGACGAACGGAGGCTGCGGGTGCCTCTGGTGAGCCGGTCGGACGGTGGGCCTAGGCAAGAGAAGAGGATGTCAGCTATTGCGCTGTTGTGGGATTCTATGTTCTCAGACGGGTCATGGGTGGTTAATCTCTGCGAGCCACCCACGCAGGCCTCTTGTAACATACCTCAAGTATATACGACCATTGTTGCCGACATTCGCCACGGTGAACTGCCTCCCCTCGCGCCCAGCCGACCCGCCATCTGGCGTGATATCCCATCTATCGTTATCTGAGTTTTTTCTTGGCCGCCGCGAGGCCGCCCTGTCCTCCTGGCTCTTCCGCTCTGTCACCGGCACAAGTGGGATCGCCTTCTGGGTGGGCATGGTGCGCGTCCGCGGCTTGTTTGGGGGGAGAGCCGGTGCGCCCGGATCGGGAGCCCGCCTTGGCGGAATAGGCCGCCTGGCTTTGGCCGCATCTCGGGGTGCTGGTCGCAAGAACACGGGTGCCCTCGCGACATCCTTCTTTTGGGTGGCGCTCTGCGGGGGGCGCCGGGCTTGCTGTCGCGGACTCGACTTGATGTTGGCGGTGGGCATGATACGGGGCCCTTGGAGCGGAAGCAGCGGAGGGTCGTGATCAGGTTCCATCTCTTGGCTCGTCATGGCCTCGGTGGGCAGACGAACGTCTGCGGGTGCTCACTGCGGCGCCGGTCAGATATAGGCATTTGGGGTCTGGAAGGGTCCGAGCGGATTGCAGGCTGGTGTGCAAAAAAGAAAATAGCGATTGAGGCGCAGCGTGAGGAGAAAAGCAAGGGGATGCAAATCCAGAGGTGGCGTGCCAAGAGGCTTGCGATCCCAGGACTTGGTTGGAGTGTTGATTGGTTATGTCGGGACAAGCAGAACCGGAGGCCGTCACACAAAGAGGTGACGCGAGGGGTGAGTGGCATCCCGGCGACAGGCCGCCGTGGGAAACAGCCGGCCAAACGGCGGCAATCCGATGGGGGTTATTGAGTTGTTGAGTGGTAGAGTCGTGGGCAGTGCTGGAATAAAAAGGGCCATGGAAGATGGGACGAGACGTCACTTACAAGAACCGGACTCTTGCGCAACGCCATAACAACCGCACACGATAGACGCCAGACGCGAACACAAATACACACAGGCTGAACCAATTCGGCTCCGGCTGGCCTGTCGATCCCAGAGTCAACGTCCGGAAGCCAGATGCAGCAACTGGCAGACCAAGCCGCCTCGAAGGTGCCGTTGACACCTTGCGCGACAAACCCAAATTGCCTTGGTGGGATTAATTCGGCCGAGTCCTGCAAAGCCTGGCGTTTGGCTGGGCGATCAAAAGACCGGAGAGGCTGGGAGCCGAAATGCGCGACTCGGAAGCAAACCTTGTCGGATGCGAATGGAACTCGGGTTGGGCGAGGACAGAGAGAAAGAGAGAGGAAGGCGAAGGATAGACGGGGTTGGTCACGTCAAGTGGAGTCGGAGTCGGAGTCGCGATGGTGGTTGTTTATCGACCAAGGGAAAAGGAGGGTCAGAAGTGTTGGAGCCCGGGTCGGAAGTGGTCAGGAAGAGAATCGTGGGAGACGATGCATGGCAGGATAAGGTAATGCAAGCCAATGCAGGCGTCGACCTTGACTACCTATTTCAGGGTGGAAGGTAAACCAAGATTGGCAGGGCAATGCAAGGCAGGGCGAGGCAAGGCAAGGCGAGGCAGGGAAGAAGGCAACGGTTCATGGAGAGGAGATTGTGAGATTGAGGTGGTCCGTGGGCCGTGGGCGGCGCCCGTGGCAGGGAGCTGAAGGTACCCGGGTACTTGGGCGGGTAGGGGGAGCAATGAGCCAGTTGAGCATACGGAGTACGACGCACGGGAGTACAAGGGTACCTGGCGTATGTAGCAGTAGGTTTGGGAGGGGGGAAACAAAACGGTGCGAGGAAGGCTGGACAAGGAAGGCGTGCAGGCGTGCAGGAGGGCATGGCACTGGCAGATACTGTGTGCTTGCTGGGTGCTTGCTGTGCTCTGCTCCACCCAGCACAGCACGGATGTATACCGTGCAGGGTTGGCCTGGGCCCCCCTCGTCCTCCTTCACAGCGTCCCTGGGTCGAGTCTCCTCCGTACGTCCAGCCTGGCTGGCTTCGATGTCCTGTCCATGATTCCTCGTCACCCCATCGCGCCCTGTCCTTCTGCCTCCACCTCTACATCGTCTCACGGACTCAAGCTGGGTCAGTTGACTGTATGCAGTGCCACTCTGGGAGGTACTCTGGAAGAAGACACCCGACCTGGTCTGGTCTGGTATGGTCTGGAGTTCCGAACGACTTCAGGTGCTCGTGTCTGATTATACCTAGGTACCTGCCTACCTACCTACCTAGGTAGGTACTTAGTGTAGAGGCGTGCACTCTCCAGTTGCTGCCCCTGCCTCCCTCGCATGAAAGCCTGGCTGTCATCCGGATCATGCCATGCGGTGCCACGGCTACCAAGAGGCTGGCCCCGGGATCAATTGATTGATGCTAAAAAACTTGGGGACGGCTATCATACTATGGGAGCAGCACCTGCCTGTCAGTGCCTGTCAAGCTGCCACACCCACCCGAATGCAGATAAAAATCCCTTGCAGAAGCCCCATTGTCGAGATTTCAGGCAAGAGGATGGGCCCATCCGACGATGCGACGAGCCCTCGCTGCAGGAGACAAGAGACACCTCGGGAAGGGGAGGCGGACCCATGCGCACGGGCGAACCCAATTTAGAGCCTGCAGGGTGCAGAGATAGCGTGTGGAGAAGTACCTCGATACCTTGTCCGGGCATATTCCACGTATGGCAACCTTGGGTACTCGAGTACGAATCGACTCCTCGCTGTGCCATTCAGCTTGTTCAGCAATTCAGCTCACTACAGCAGCAGCAGCAGCAGCAGCAGCAGCAAGTCCGTTGCTGACCAAGACGTCCGTCGTCCCCGCAGGCTGGGCCACAGGTTAACCCGTCAAGCCCGCCTTGCCCGTTCTGTCCCAAACGGTTTGGCCCGGGGGCTCCTGGGCTCCTGGGTTCCCAAGTCCAACGGCCGCATCGACATCCACGTCGTCATCATCATGACTTACAATCCGACTCAATCACAATCATTGATCCCCAATTTAGCTTCCTGGATCTGTGTGTGCTGCAAATCCCAGATACCACACGTGTCTTTTTGGCCTAACAACCAACCAACGAGCCGACCGACCGACCGACCAACTGGCGAGTTGGCGAATTGGCCAACTGACAAAACAAACACGCCTGAGTGCCGTGCACTTCTGCCCCTTCTAACAAACAGCCTCGACCACTGGTGTGCCAGGCCCAGAACCAAAACTGACCATCCAGCCCATCTCGTCCAAACTTCAAGCACTCGCCCTCAGAGCCTCTCCACCTTGCACACCACCGCGGATGCCGGCCAACCTTGCACAGAGTAGAGCTATGACTTCCGTCCCATGTTGATGAGATGCATGGCCCACTCACATGCTCAGCGGGGCACGTCATAGCATCTTGCCCCCTCTCCCCCAAATCCCAATCCCTCCAAGTTTCCCAGCTTCCAGTCCAGCCAGGCAGAGCTTCAGGGCAGAGGGCCAAGGCAGAGCTCGAGCTCTGGCCACCTGCCACCTCGCTCTGCCCAGGCTGCCAGGCTGAGCGTTGCACTCGCCACGGTTGTACAGACCTGAGTATGTACGTCGAGGTGTCCGTGTCATGTGTGTTTATATTTCTACTTAATAAGATTCTTCTAGATGGCTTCCTCACCCGCGTGGGCCTCGCCACGCACTGCCGTTGCGATGACTGCAGCGTCCGTCTCCTGCATAGTCACAAAGTCGGGGCCGTCACCGACCAGGCCATGAAACTGGCTCCGTGAGCCTCGGTTGGATTCTCCTCGCCTGGTCCCGCTGGTCTGCCTGTCACCTGTCTGCTTGGTCGCCGGCTCCAGCTTTGCCTGTAATTTACCCCCTGGCCTGTCAACGACGGATCATCGCCAGATTGGCACTGGTGCTGCTCAGAAACTCGATTGCCGAAAGCAGTAGGCCCAGACCAGACCTGGGACCCCGTGGCCTGCCTCTCTACACTAATGTACTGTGTATATTGCGAAACCACCATCCTGCGACTGTCCAGGCTGCCCTGCCAGCCCTCGAGCTCCTCAGGATGCCGCCAGCAGCTGCTATATTTTGTGTTGTAACATGCTTGGGGCTGGCCATGTCTCTGGGAGCTCCAACTCCTCTCGGTGAGGGCCCATAGCCAAGCCACTTGCCCTGTAGCTATGCTTGCTATGCTTGCAACAAGGTCCAATTGGGACTGATATCTGTGACCGCACGACCGCGAGCCCCTGGATTGCCCAATCACTGCCGACGACCGAGCTCCCAAGTGGGCAACAGCTGCATGCAACGTGCATGCAGCTAGCATCACAGCAGGCCTGTTCGAGTACTGCACCCTAACAGCCCAAGTACTACTGCATGCTTCTCACCCATGCGCCTCAATTTTCTCTCCACGGGCGTTCGCTCTTGTCGCGCTTAAGAAGGGAAAAGGAAAACAAAGTGAAAAAGAATCGCAAGTCCCGCAACCCATCTCGGCAGTTGCTATTCGTTCCCACAGCATACACGTCCATCGTCCAACATTTCGAACCTCTGCCCGTCCGGAGATCACCGTCATCACAGCTCTCGCTCACTTCCGCCGACCGCCAATCTCCCCTGGCCACACGTGGCTACGGGGTCACCACGAGGGGTTGTTCCGATTAGGAAGGTTGTGGGGTCGATCATTCATCACGATCCTCAACTACCAGACGCTTTTTTGGTGCCGTGCCCGCCATTGCCCCTCACCCACCCATTGTATCTGATACAGGTGCTGGTCACTCAGGGCACTTGACCGTTGTGTTCCAACCGCGGGTATCCAGTACATGCGACCACTTGAAACCTTCGTGGCAGCACAGGGCTACAGCTTCTGCAGGAGCTCTCCCGAGGTGGGTGTGTCATTGCCATGCAGTTTCTCAGATGTTTCGCTGCAGCAGTTCGTCCTCATTGGGCTCTGCAGCGGAGTCAAAGCCACAATTATTATTTTCACCTTTCCCAGCAGCGCCACTCATGGAGGCCCCTGCGAAATTTCCGACATATGAGAGGCTCTCTTGACTTGCCTCTGACGATTCGTTGCGCTGACATTCGAGCCAGAATGAATTGCTTCTAGCCTGGATTGCGACCTATATGCGTTCGAGGGGGTCACAAGCCGTGGCAGATCAAACTTTCGGCCATCGACCATTCTTGTGGGCTTTGTTGACAAAGGCCGGACACTGTGTGGCCTGTGACCGATAACGCAATGCCTCCACACCTGGGAGATGGGCTAGAGTTTAACGAACCCTCCTTGCCCTCCCGTACCCACGTTTCTCCATGGATCAAGCACCCTTGGCATCGCACTCGCTTCGAGTCAAGACGGGCGCTGCGCAACGACCGCAATGGCCACAGTGCCAACGCGCCGGCCCCATCCTGACGATGTTCGGACCCTTCTTCTCAAGAGACGTGAAAAGGGTCTGCGACAAAGGGCTCGGAGAGGTGCTCGACGTCGCAAGCGAGCTGCGGACCTGTCACCCAGCAGAAGATCTGTCACGAGTAGACAGGCCATCTGCAGCCCGTCCACCTGCCACTTAATCATGTCAGCGAGATTATTGACCAGGGTTAGGTAAGTCTGTGGAGCGCCAGGCCGCGGGCGGGGGCCCCGGCGGACCATCACACTCCTCCGAAGCTCCTCCGTTCGGAGGACTTGGATCGATCTCATCTAGCTGTGGGCCCCGTCGTCCACGGTAGCGGCCAATTTTAGCTGTTCTATTGTGGACGACTGGAAAAAAATCCAGTGAAGGGTCAGGCGGGCTGGCGGGGGCGAAGGGCACCCTGATCTGCTGGATCAGAGATATAAGGCCGCAAGATCATCGATCCGCAGCAGAGCACATCCCGGCACGGCCACGGCCGGCACAAGCAACAGGCTTACTTGGTACGGGAGACCTACTGGGCGGGGAGCAACTGCCGGGCGAGCCGCAGGGCCCCGATCTGCAAGCCCCCCGACTAGAAACTATCTAGACCAGACGACCCCGACTAATGAACCACGACGTTCGTCCCCTCTCACGCGCAACGCCGCCCAAAAAAACAGGACGGCGCCCGGTGGCTTTCGACCGGCTCGGTCCCTAGTCCCTTGCCCAGGTGTCACTTGTTAGACTCCCAGACCCTCGGAGAAACAAGGCCGCAGCAGCCTCTGCATCGTCCGCCGTCCGCCGCCGGGCAGCGCTGGAATCCGCGCCAGGCCTAGCGCCTAAAGCTACTATGTAGTATGTACTATGTAGTGCACACACGCCTGCCGGGCCCCCGACTCATGACAGCGTGGTGAGCCCGGCCAATGACCACGGCGTGCACGCCACCCTTCCAACTCTTGCCAGCGATGCCCGTCGCGTATAATGTAATGCCGTACGACGGTGCCGAGAGCCTGTATGCGGAAGATGCGCCGGGCCAGGTGGGCGGAGGCGTGTGGCGGGCGGGCGAGCGGGCGGGCGGGCGGGTGCTGCAGGCAAGGGAGTGTCCCGGACCCGACGACCTCGACACCCTACGCTAGAGTCTGTCCCCACATGCACATGATTAGGGGTCTATACACTACATACGTAAAGGCAAAAAAAGAGAGAACAAGGGACGGAAAAGGCGAGAAAGCATATGCAGCTGGACAGCCCTGTCGGACGTCGATCAGTCTGGGGTGGGGCCCCTGTGGTGGGTGGCTCTTAAGCTTCGCATGCGGGACATGGATCGGGCCAGTGAGATGGCCATGTGCTTCTCCTGTCCAAGTTATTTCCTGCGTCGTGCGTGTGTCGTGTGTGGATCAGTCGGTGTGTCTCGGTCTGCACTGTTGGAAAGGCCGAGCCATCACGGGGGGCCTTGGTGTGGTGATCGCCGCCGGGGGCGGGTTTTGGGAATCGGCTTGCCTTGTTTGTTGTTGCTGTGGTTTTTTGGCTTTGGGGCCGGGGATTTCTTGTGCAGTAGTTAGTTGCTCCCTGAATAGTGTAAGTCATCATATGCCTTGTTTCTTGTTGGCCGCCTTCTCCTCCCGAGTGGGGGTGGGGGCAGGCGGGCTTCCGGACTGCTTACGTCAGTTCTGGTAGTGGGCAACGATGAACTGGATTGTTCGCTTTGGTATTTGTGTGACTGTCCGGTGAAGTCGATCTTGGGAATTTGCAACACGTGTGTGTGAGAGAGTGAGACTTTGCAGAATTAGGCATGGAATTTGTCGTACGTGCATGTGGGATGCCACGCGCTCGCGATGTAAGTGACATAGAAGCGCGCTTGGCGCCGGACTGGTCAACAGAACGGAGGTCAAGGGGTTGTGAGGCGCTTTCGTAACTCTGGATCCGAATGTATTTTTTCATACGCTTTGGAATAGCTGTTGTTGTAACGAGATTTCAGTATCAGTCTACGTAGTGTGCATGCCTCGCAAATCTCAACATAGGCTGCCCATCCTATGACTTCTAGATATCCAAACTCTGACGACCATTCCTGATATAAGTCTTTGAAGTTGTGCTTCAAAACAGTATCTGCAAGTGAATAAGTGAAGTGCGCAAGTTTGTCCGTTAGTGGCCCAGGCCAAGTCTCACTGTTTCTCCGCCTGGCAAGTGAGATTCTCATCTCGTGCCTCAGAGACATCACAATTATCTCTGGGTCTTAGTTCTTCTCGATGAACTCCCCAATCTTGCCAGCAACCTGCTTTGCACTCTCCTCCCACTTCAGACCATCCCCGATAAGCAGCGTATCGTGCGGCGCATTCTCCTCAATGTAGACCTCCACCTTGTTGGAGCCACCACCCTCATATTCATTCATCTCACGCGCCCACGCCGCCCCATCCGTCGAGAATATCTCCGCCCCGCCCACGCTCACCAGCACGGGGGCCCCAGCCTTGAAAGGGTGGCCCAGCGCCTGGATGTACGGGTTATCCCTCGTGGCCTCGACGTCCCCACCGGGAGCGTACGTCTTGACGCCCCACTGCAAGAACGACGAGGGCAGGATATCCGAGCCGTAGTTTTCCATCTCCTCGACCCTCAGCTCCCCCACGGGCCGCCGGGGGAAACAGGCCGCGGGCGCGACCCAGGGCGCGATCAAGACCGCCCGCCCGGGCGGCTCGACCCCGCCGAACTCGCTCAGGTGCCGCAGCAGCGCCACGGCGATGTTGCCGCCGGCGCTGTCGCCCGAGAGCGTCACGGCCGAGGGCGGCAGCCCGACCTCCCGCACGAGGTACAGGTATGCCGTGAGGGCGTCCTGCACCGCCGCGGGGAAGGGGTTGCGCCCGCCGTGGCCGGACAGCCGGTACCGCAGGGAGAAGACGGCATCGACGCCCGCGTGGGCCAGGAGGGTTGTGCTGAGGAAGCCCGAGGCCGGGGTGCCCGGGTGGTCGCGGACGAAGGCGCCGCCGTGGATGTGCAGCACCACCTTCTTCCAGGCCGCTGCTGCATCAGGGGGCGGTGGGCCCGGCCGCCAGATGCCGCTCACGGGTGCTGGGGATACGGACGGGTCTGAGGCCAGGGGCCCGGCGTACAGCGTTGCGTCGAAGGGCTGGACCACCACGAAGCGGTCGCCTTCGCCCTTGGGTGGTGCGAGGGATTGGGTCTCGGCCTCGCCTATGCCGATGACTGAGTCCGTGTGTAGCGAGGCGCGGAGGACGCGCGCCATGACTGTCTGGATGAGGGACCACTTCCGGTTGGGCCGGAGTGAGGGGATGAGGCCGATGACGAGCCAGAAGGGGAGCCGAGCTGCTATTGATGCTGCGCCAAGGATCTTGTAAAGGAGGCGGAAAGGCTGGTAGGACACCAGGGGGTATTTGCTTATGTTTGCCATCGTGATGGTGTGGTCGCTGGAGGCACGCCGATAAAACAGTAGCGAGGGGGTTGCTGATGGCTCGAGCTTAAGCTTGAGCTCAAGCAATGCCCAGTGGATATGAAGCTGAGAACTTCTTGACGTTCCGGCACAACGATAGTGCGGGGCAAATTCTAAGTTAATATGTTGGTTGGGTCGCACAAGATGAGCGCTTTCTGAAGAAGGATATGGAACATCAGATTTGAGGGGTCCGCGCAAGGATCTAACGTCGACTCCCGAGGTTCTCTCCAGGGAGGCCCACTTATGCACACGGCGGGCATCTACCCAAACCCGGATGGGCAAGGCTGGGGTAACAATAAAGATGTTTGGACAGAGAAAACGCAATCATTACAGTCGCAGGTTACTAGTAGATGCTTGTGATTAAATGTTTCACGCAAGCTCCCTTTTGGTTTTGGGTCCCCAAATCACACGAACTTGGTTATATAGGCTTATACCATGTGAACGGTGTTCAATAATCATATCCACTATCGCAGAGAGCTCGCTGATTTACAAGACCACGGAAAACCTCATTTATTGCTGTCGTGGGCATATTTAGTGCGTTTGAACGCACCCGAGGTTGTGAGATTCATGCGCAATCAGCGTTGCTGGACATCAATCTACACATACTAGACTTGTAGTATGGAAGAGTGAACTTTTAAAAGTCTCTAGTACAATGGACATAGTAGGCCTGCCTATCCGTACTATGTATGTACTCTGTAGTGAAGCGGCATAACTTTCTACAATGCCGTGCGA